GCAACATTCAAAAACATTTTCGAGAAATTTACGATTTAATGTTCTATTTGAAATATTATCCAAAAAAGTATTAGCAGAAGAAAATGAGAAAAAAAGAATATTAGAAAGTTTTTTATAGGATTTATAAGAATGGTTCCAGTCGAGTGAATGTATTGAGGGTTTATTGATAAATTAGTTTTATGGGAATACTGCTAACTCCCCCTAAAATTACGCATCGACAGAAGGGTCGGAAAGGGGATTCCCCTTTTTTTATATAAATATGGTATGGTTAAAAGATAACTAATGTTTACGTTATTTCTTTTTAGAAAACTCTGAGACTATAAAATTTCATTTGAACCATGAGATTTTTTTTTCACGAGAAAAGAAATTTTTGCTTTTAGCCTTTTTTTGATCATGTATATTTTTCATTTACTTAGAGTACATCTTCGTGATGCGCTATGAAAATAAGGAGCAAAAAAAATTTCAAAGCTTTATAATTTCTCTTATTCATGAGAAGGCAAAAACAAAACTCTGATTTTGTCAGTGTTGAAAATCCTGTGCAAGTAAAATATAAAGAGAAAAAAAAATATTGAAATCTGGTAATTTCGTATATAATAATTTTTTTTACTAATGAAATAAATGTAAAAAAAATTAGAGCGGTGCTTTTTGTAAATAGATTTTTCATAAAATATATCTTAACCTCTGGCAGTGACTTTGCCCCAATTTCCTATATAAAACAATTGATGATGTTTTAAAACAATAATAATAAAAAGTTTTATTTAAATGTAACGAAAATTTACTCGTTTCTATAAAAATAATTAAAATACATTTATAAAATCAATAAAGAATGTAAAAAACAAAATAAATTTGTTTATTTTTAATTAAAGTTTTTTGCTAATGGAAATTCGCGAATATCTACGAATAACTTTCAAGATGCATGAATTTTTTATTATTTTAAATTTAATTAAAAATGAACACCAATTTAAAATTTGTAATTTATTTGAAAAATATTAAAATTTTTTAAATAACGGAAAATTGAAACAAATGAGTTTCTTTTATAAATTAAAGAACATTAAATATCTCGTACACTGAAACTTTTAGTCTACATGATCTCATTATCAAGAACCAATAATTGTTCCTTCCTCTTGATACTTTATAATTAGTACAAATTAAATAACCTGATAAGATCCAATACGTACAAACTAAATATATACTTATTTTTTATTATTTATTTAAATTTTTTATTTGCCTTTCTTTTTACCAACTAATTTTTAATTTCAGATAAAAACAAAATCTTTAGAATTAAGAATAATATAGATATGTCAGAAAAATAGATACATAACAAATGATTTTTCTTATAAATATAAAATAAGAAACCTAGGAAAATTTTCCCTGGGACGAAAAATTTCTAAGAAAAAAGATAATTTTTCACTTAAAATATGCTGAGAGTGGCAAGATAATTGAAATTGAATGGATGGCAGTAAATTATGATATTGAATAGAAAGAGAGAGAGAGAGAGAGAGAGAGAGAGAGAGAGAGTCAGGCGTTGATTATTTAGAGAAATGTTCGAGATCGAATGTCGAGAACATTTTTAGGAAGAACGGTGTTTGCCTCTCGCGATATTGAAAAAGCGGTTTCGATTGCCTAGTTTCCTAAGTACCCATCTATTCAAACGTTCGACCCAGAATCGATCTTAAAGGTTATCAGAGATTTTCGATTTCATGGATGAAAAGTAAAAGAAAAAAAAAAAAGAAATTGAAAAGAACAAACATATTTTAACCCAAGTGTGAATCTAATTCCCAATGCATCAAAGGAGAAAAATAGGAGATTCCATTTAGATAAAATGGAATTTTATTTTGCTAGTTCAATTTGCATTAGAATAGAAAAACAGCTGTTCTTTTAATTTCACCCTAGAAAAAAATTTGTTTTAAACGAAATTTTGTTCTATTCACTAAATGAATTTTATGGCATTTATTGGAATGAAGAAAAAATTTAAAAAATTTTAATTGTGTCAAAATAAGCAATTTAAGGGGAGGGACCGCTGAAATTTTAACACATCAAAATTAAAGCTGTTTAAGGGTGGTCAATTTTTTTTCTGACAATATTAATTATTTAAATGTATAATATATCATGAAAAATTGAAAAACTATAAATTTGTTAATAATTTTTAAAATCAAATTCAAAATTCTCGAAAATTTAAAATTTAAACTTCTCTCACAATTTTAATTATTTTTGACTGCCGATTTTTTTATACGCTTGTTTCATGATTCTAAACAATCAAGCGTATGGATTTTGAAAAATTTCAATTTTTTCAAAAAATGAAAATTTTGAAAAATAAAAATATTTGTAAAATTGTTAAAAATTACCTTTTGTTGTTTTTCTCAGTAGAATAAGATTTTTGGTTGAAAAAAAATGTTGAAAAAAATTATTACCCCTAAACAAGATCAATTTTGATTGCTTTCAATTTTAGTGGTAATTTTGAAAAAAATTCAACTACTTCCACAATTTTCATTATTTTTTATTGTCGAATTTTTTTTACGCTTTTTTCACGATTTTAAACAATCAATCGTATGGAATTTAAAGAAATTTAATTTTTCCAAAAAATAAATTTTCTAAAATGGCTAAAAAATTTTTTTTTTAAATTTTAATAATTTATAATAATTTTGGATCCTAAATTATGCCAGAAAAAAAATTGACACTCTTTAACAATAATAACTTCAGTAGGCTGAAATTTCACCGGTCCCTCCCCTTAAATGAGAGAAGTAGAAACTAAAAAAGAAAACAGCGTTATTAGTCCAATATTCTAAGAGGAAAAGATAAACGAGTCTCCACTGAAGAACCAACTATAATGTAGTTTTCAAAAAAAGAGGAAAAAGAGAGCAGTTAGAAATTGTACTTTCTTTCTACAGTTTTTAGCGTCTTTGATCCCTGGAGAAACATTTCCTGGCGTTCAACATCGTTAAATACAGTATATAGTAAGGCGAGAGGACAAAATGGATATATATATAGGTGTGTAGATGAGGGTGGTAGATAGTGCAATTGAGAGCCAATGAAATTGCGAATAGCAAAGGGTTGCAGACCAAAGCTTCAATGTTTACATGAATATAATTTTCATAGCATTTCACCTTCACTTAACCCAACATTTCACTATAGATTTTCAGCTTCACTGTCAAGTGCACTTTATAGTATTTTATGTAAAAAGTTGAAGAAATTCAAAGTTTCCTTAATTTCATATATTTCGTTTATTATATAATGCATTTAAAAAAAATTTCGCTTCCTAATTCTCCAAAAATATAATAATTTTATTTATTAACGTATTATTATTACTATTATTATTATTATTATTACTATTATAATTATTACACTGAAATAAATTTATTTGAATCAAATAAATTGATTACTCACTCAAACGGAAATTTTTAATAAAGGCTAAAAGAAATAATCTATATATAAAACTGATTCACAAGAGAAAAGTTGATGCCAAGTTTGACTTGATTTTTAGCTTTGAAATAGTTTGGCAAACTTTTGAGAAAGCGTTAAAAAGTTTAATGAACTGTGAAATATAAGAAATCAAAAATATATATATAAAGAATGTTTTAAAAGCATGTAAACAATTTTTTGAACTATTTTTTATCTTAATATAAAAAATAAAAATTAAATTTTATTTGTAAAAAAAAAGAAATGAATTTTCTAACAATTTTTAAGGGGGTTTGGATTTATATATTTGTATATGTGAATTAGTTAGCTTCGAGGCGTATTTCATTGGCTATTATCTGTTACATTTCAGCAATGTAGACACAGAGAGAACAGGATTTATGAGCTTTTCAAACTATTCTCTCCACCTACATTATATGCGAGAGGTTTCTCAAATACATTATAGGTATATTTTGTCCTAATTATTCCCTCTGGCTATACAATTTTGCTGTGTCATTAGAATACATATATGGATTAAAAATAAATGTTCAATTCTTTAATATAAAATATTTAATTGCTCATTTATTGCATCAAAGCATTAATTTCCTTTCATTATGGATGAAAATAATGATATAAAAACATAAAAAAAAATAAAAATTATTAAAATTAATTAATAAAAAATAATAAATAATAAATAGAAATAATAATAATTTGTGATAATTAAATAAAAAAAAAAAATTTTCCGAAGTCTATATTTACGTAAAAAAAAGGGATAAAACTTTATTTCTGGTTTTGCAATTTTTTTTTCTAAAGTTTCTGTTTTCAACTACATCTTATCACTCTTATCAAAGCAATTGTATTAACATAAGCATTACTCGAGTCCCACTTGACTTCTTTTTCTTTTCTCTCTCTCTCTCTCTTTTTCTATCTTTTATATTCATCTATATTTACATTTTTACATTGCGAATGCACAACTACTGTATAAATACTTAATTCAGAATCAAATGAAATCCCGCGCATGGTAAAATATAAATTTACAAAATTTCTCGATATCTAATAAAATAACTGCATCTTTAATGAAAATTGCCGCACGTAATATAAAAATCATTTTAAATAAAAAACTGTATATAAATTATGCGAATATATTTTCAACTCTCTCGGAATATTTTTGAATATATAAAATATATAATAATAAAAAAAATTATCACAAACAAGTAATTTATAAAATTTGCAATATAGGGTGATAAAGTAAATTATAAACTACAATGTGTGAGAGTATTATAATAAAACTCGTTACTATGTCGCGTAAAACACTTATATGCTACAAAAAAAAAAAATTATTTACATGTACAGATTAATCCAATAAATTGCGATATTCATAATAATGAAAATGCTTTTTATTAAACTGCGAGAGAAACTAATAAGAGTCAATTTATTTTTAACTAAAAATTATTTGTTAAAATTATTAATTATAACAATATAATTATAATTTAACTAAATAATAATTATTATTATTAGAAAAATTTATTAAAATAAATCAAATTAAATATTAATTAAAAAAAAATTAAAAGCAAAATAAGTGATTGAATTTTTGTTTTTTGTTGCAGCAAAATGAAGCTTGATGTGGATAGAGATAAAGCTCTGGAATTATTCGGAAAATTCATCAGGACAAAAAATGTTAGCAGTCTTCAAGGTGAACAAAAAACTAGGGCTGGACAAGTATGTCCTCCAGAATCTAAGCAGAAATTACAGGTAGGTGTAAATAAAAATTTATTTTAAAATATGAAAGAAGCCATAGTAACAGTTGCCATGGTAATAGTTGCTATGGTACCGATTACTATATGGTACCAGTTACTATGGTACCAGTGACTATGGTACCTGTTACTATGGTAACAGTTAGTTACTATGGTACCAGTTACTGTGGTACCAGTTACTATGGTACCTGTTACTATGGTACCAGTTACTATGGTACCAGTTACTGTGGTACCAGTTACTTTAGTACCAGTTACTTTAGTACCAGTTACTTTAGTACCAGTTACTATGGCAACAGTTAGTTTCTATGGTACCAGTTACTTCGGTACCAATTACTATGGTACCTGTTACTTCGGTACCAATTACTATGGTACCTGTTACTATGGTAACAGTTAGTTACTATGGTACCAGTTACTGTGGTAACAGTTAGTTACTATGGTACCAGTTACTATGGTACCTGTTACTATGGTACCAGTTACTATGGTACCAGTTACTGTGGTACCAGTTACTATGGTACCAGTTACTGTGGTACCAGTTACGTTGGTGCCATTTAGTTACTATGGTACCGGTTGTCATGGAAACGGTTGCTATGATAACTGTTACCACACTGAAAAAAAAATTTATTTGATTCAAATACCGGTGTATTTGGTTATTATCAAATAAATATTTACTTGACACTTTAAAATTTCCGAAAAAAAATTTGATAATTATAATAATAATTATTTAGAATATTATTTTTAAATGAAAAATATAATCGAAAAGCGGATATGTAGTTATTATTCAGTTGCGCGCATTAGATATCGGTTTTCCATGGTGAGCATTGCAAATATTCTTCACACACAGAATTCACACAACTGTGGTCAATTTCCGACGCATGCATCAGAATTTCCGTCTGATGTTGATTATAGAGAGAAAATTAATTACAAGGTCGCATTTGAATGTATATGTCAATTTTGTGACAAGTTATAATTATCTCGTTACACTTCCCCATTCAGAATAAGATTTTATTAGCATTAAATGAAACAATACACACACCTAAATTTGAAATATAATCACTTTTACGCTATAATTCAACTGTACTGATTCCGTTTATATTCTAAATTCAATTTTTATTTTATAAATTGAAATTTTATCTTATAAAAAGAAAAAAAATCATTAATTATACAATTTAGAATTGTATATGCCAAGAGGATAAAATACACTTTAGAGATTATATATACGATATAACTTTTTATATTACTAAAAATTATACCGCAAGCATTATTTGATCGAAAGAGAAAAGGAACTTAGTCGTTTGAAACAAACGAACAATTCTTGTTACGTTTCGTTTAGGAGTTTGAAACTAGTTCACAATCGGTTACCAGACGTGCACAAAGTTTGCCAATAGCAGATCTTTTAGCGCCATGTATATATATATATATATATATAGTGAATGTATATTCTTGATATATTCTAAACTTTACACACACCTAAGGAAAAAAAGGAAGTGTTGAACAAAAGGAAGAACTTATATTATTGCTTCTTTTACTTTATTTTTTATCCCATTTTTTTCATTTCCTTAAGAGGAAAGGCCTTTTTTCTCAAGGCAATTGGTCGAGAAAGGAAATTTTATCCGCTTTAAGAGAATAAGAAAAATCCATTTGAATAGAAGAAAATAAATTAAGTTTAAAGAATTCAAGATAAGATATCTCTCGACTGAATGAAAATGGGGCTTATCCTGTGTCGTCAATTGTGTTTGATATTTTCTTGTATATATATATATGGGCTGTTAATTGAATTCAAGTTTAAAATGAAGTCTCATTAAAACAACTATTAAATTAGATTGAAAATAACATGTATTAGCATTATAATGCTCTCCTTGAAATCTCGTTCCTACTTTCATTGCACATTAACTGTCAATAAGAATCTCTCTAATAAAATGAATTTATAACTCTTAAGAAGATTTTTTATTTTCTATCGAATAGAAGCGCGAAACAATTGGTTATTGTAAACCGAATATTTCTAAGGATTAGAGAAGCTTTCATTATTTTAGCATCGTTCCAAAAACATCTGGGTTATTTTTTGCAATTAAGTTCTTTTTTCTAGTTCCTGTATAGCTAATTTAAGTTTAGTTACTCTCATGTTAATTCAATGTATGAAAACATAAAACGGGTTTTTATTCTTTTAGGTCAATTACATTCATCATATATAATACCTCCAGTATTATTTAGATGATAACCTACAATTATGAGTGCATTTAGTACATGATTATTTTATCTTCAAATAAAATCAATATTTCCTCACGGAGAAAAATGAAAATTGAGATATCGGACTGAGTATAAAACAATTGGAATAATTTCTATTACCGTAGGAATGAGTTGAAAAGTTTAGGTTTCTATCCCAAAAAGTTTTATAATGATTATCAATTAAAATGAATTCTAAACATCTTAGTAAACGCTAATATTTTCCTTTAAGCGAGTGCTATTCAGTTTCCGTGATTTGTTTTAACTCGTGAAGGAATAACTTTGAAATAGATTTTATGATCGTGTTGTAGAGAGAAATGTAATCTTAATTGAAGTCTTTATTAGCGGTTGCATTAATTGTGTACATATTAGTATTTTTGAAAGCAATGTATTATAAGTCGCAAGGTATTGAGAACAATTATTATATTTACATTTATTTCAATTCAGTTTTTCAATTATTAGAAACTGTGTATCAGCGTTTACTTGAAGCGGATTGTTCGCTCCAAGTTTCATTGGATTCATTCCCAAACAATTTTAGTCAGCCATATACTCATATAAGCACACAGCCACACAGGTACAGCAGAGATAGACGCGCCTGCGCTGTGCGCTCGTGTCAGTGTGTTGCTCACCATTGCATTACGTCCGGAACGGGCATTATAAACGTAATACATCCGCGTGTATATACCGCTATTTATTAATAATTTTGTGCGTGTTTTATTAGTTTATGATGAATGAATCAAACGCTGATGTATTAATTCAAGGGGACAACACCATATATCTTCAACCAGAACAGTCTAAAAATTCACTTGAAAAAATCTACGAAATAAAAAAAATATCTCTAAGTGTAACAATAGTACTCGCATTATTTGTCCGAAAATGAGAGACCTATACAATTAAAAAAAATTATTTATCTATCACTTATTCTATTCGATATATTTATGAATATGTTTCCATGAGGAAGCAATTATTTTATTGGAATATTCAATTAGAAATTCAATAAAAAATCTAAAATCTAATAATTAAAAATATTAGAATAGTTTGAATTTTAAAAATCTTTACAAATGAGATTTTTATTTATCTTTATATGCATATATTTAAGTGTGGAATCTTTTTAAAACTTTTTTAAAAACAAAGCCTTTGGTGAAAAAGATGAAAAAAAACTTAGATTTAATTTTTAAAGAGATTCGATGTTTAAATATTTTAAAGATACAACAAAAATCCCTCTAAAAAGCTGCTTAAAATTAAAACTATTCTAATATTTTTAATTATTTTATTTTTAGATTTTATATTTAGTTTCCAAATTGAATATTCTAATAAAAGTAAATATATATACTTTTTATAGAAACATAAATAAATAATAATGAAAAATAGTTAGTTTATTAATAATCGCAAGAAATATGAATGCTTTGATTAATAAATATAATAATATAGGTTACAAAAAGATTGCAGTTATTGCATTAAATTTTAAATGAAACGATCCACACCGCTTTGCACACATTATAAGCGTGCTTGGACTCAGTTCCAAACTCGCATAAGAGCATTCTCCACAAGCGCCTACCAATATGTGCATCTGCTTTGGACTGCCTATAAGCAAGCGTATGAACCTAAAAATGTAAAGCCTATTAACGTGTTATTTCCCTTTTATCATTCATTTCCAAATTTTTCATCCTGGAGCGGCAAAGGTAGACTAGTTTGGGAATTATATCTAAATTACTAGTACTGGAGCCCAAAATTTTAAATCGGATTTCTCTGCGTGCTTTTATGAATATATTCTGAATCAACAACTAGGAAATAAACTTCGAAACTTTTTAGCTCACTAATAGGAAATAACGTTTGGATCCAAGTTTATCTAATCTAATCGAAACTTTAAGATTCAGTATTTTTTTTAGAGTAAATAGACTAACCTCAAATGAGGTTATTTAGTTGCTGTAGGAATAACAAAAGTCGACAAAATTTTGTTCAACTTCAGAACCAAAAATCAGACAATACTTTTCGAAAGTATTTTGAATCTGACCTCAGAATCTGTAACCTAAAAAGACGTTTTTTTACCGTCAGATTCGGATACAGCACTGGTTCTTGGTTCATGAAGTAGGACAAAATTTTGTCTGTGTAATAGTTTCAGATTCAAATGGACCTTTTTGTCTATCTAAATATTAGATAACCTCAACTTTAGCCACTGAAGCAGCATCAGCGTGAAATGAACTTTTTCAGAACTTGAAACAAAGTTTTGAGAATTTGAAACTAATATCTTTCAATATTGAAAGAACGTATAATCTGAATTCTATAACTTTCAATCTAGAAACAACAATCGCTAATAAATAGTTCTATCATCCGAAAACTAACATCAACAGAAACTGATAACTAAACTTTTTGCTTTTCTTGTTAGAACCGTTATAATTTTTGAATGAGAAACCCTAAATATGGTTATGATAATTTTAGTAAATCATCTTTATTGTACTCAACTAGTTTGAAATTGTATTAAATCTTCTCATTCTAAAATTATTATTATAATTACCATCAATGGTGGTCAAATTGGGTCAAAATAGAGGGATCAAAAATTAGTAGATGTATTTTTTACACTGATAAATCCTCAGATTAAGAAGCTCAGTATCCGATTATTTAAATTACTATTATTGTTTTAAACGACTATTACAAAGATTACAAAAAATGTAAATAGAATTAGTATATCAAAAATGTAAATAGAATTAGTTTATCTAAAATGTAAATAGATTATAAAAAAGTATATATAGCATTTGAAGTGTAATTTCTGAGTGTTTATCGTGAAGATTTAATTATCCATATACAATGCAAGAAGAATAGGATTAAACTTTAGTAATTAATTTTCTTTTGTTTTGCAGAAGTGCCTGACAACACTGGACCTGACATCCCTTGGAGTGGGATCTTGCGTAGGAACAGGAATGTATTTGGTCGCGGGAATGGTAGCACGTACTGTGGCTGGGCCTGGGGTTGTGATTTCGTTTGTCATTGCAGCTGTGGCCTCAATTTTTTCCGGTATTTTTATCATTCTATCACATTACAATTGATTTTTTTTTTTTCATTTCATATTCACCTTAATTGCTTAATAGAAAAAATGTAAATTATCTACTTTCCATTGCAAATTCACATTACAATTTATAATTAATTTTCCATTTAAAAAATTTTAAATATCTATAATTTTTTATTGAAAAAAAATGAAATGAAAAGTATAGAATAATCATTTTATGGATATGAAAATTTTTTTCAAAAAGATAGAAAAATATTTTTGTTTTTGATGAAAATTTTTATAAAGTAGAAAATTTATAATTCAGTTCTTTGCAAAAATGCAAGCGAATAGTGATTTTTTCTATTTCTTTCTATTATTTAAAATGATGTAGTACAACTTAAATGTTTGGAAAAGATTTTAAAATAAGATACACATTTTCCCCTGAGGTTTGAGATTTTGCTATTACGCTTATGGAAGTGTGTAAAATAAATTCTCTTTCGTTAAAAAAAAAAAACTCTCGGCGAAACCTGTTTTTCCTGGTCTTTTTTAGTACTCTTTAAATTTAAATTAGTGAGAATTCGTTCACTAATTTAAATTAGTAGAAAATTTTCACTGATTTTTAATAAAAAATATTACTATTTGATTTAGTAATTTTAATTAAATAATGTTTTAGTGAAAAATGACTAAAAATTATCAGACATTTTTTTTACTAATTTAAATTAATATTTCATGACTATTTAAGATAGAATTCTCACTAAATAAATTTTTTTTTTTTAATTAGCCCTGTTACGAATTAACCATAATTTTCAAGTAACTGTGCAAAAAGTTTTGAGAAATTATGGCATGGCTATAATTTTTAAAACTTCTTTAATACATGCCACCAGCGTTATCATGCGGCGACAAAAAAAAAAGTGTTTTCTTTCTTTATACCGTTTATTTTCGTTTTTCAAAAATAATATGGATTAAATTAACAAAAAATTTAAATTATTCAACGCGAGTACCAAAAAAATTATTATTTACTACATAAAATTTGAGCTAGATTCATGTAATTCGAATATAATTAAAAATTATTTTCAAAATATTTTCGAAAACCGATTATTTGAATCAAATAAATTTTTTTTTCATAAAATAGAAAAAATTTTAGATTTTAATTATGATCATCATTCGATCGTTGATATTAATCACTATAAATGACAAAGCTTTAACAATTTCCTGTAAATGTTAGCTATCGATATAGCACCTCTAATCGCTTATCGTTTATGTAATAACTTGTCACAGGTAGATATTCGTCGGTTAACGTTATTGGTTCCTAAAATATTGATTTTATGTTTATATAAAACATAATCCTCTGGTATTTTGATTGAGAATTAATAATAATTATTTGCCATATTGCAAATAATTAACTATTCTCTTAATACCTAATTAATTTTAATTATTTAAAGTGGTTAAGTTATAAATATATTCAACTTCAGATATATAAACTACGCTAAATGTGAAAACCAGTAATTTACACAATACCTATACCCAAACAGTAGTATAAACTTGGAATATATTCAACCAAAGTAGTAACAGTCAATTTTACGTCAGACAAGTTCCTCTACTTATTTTCTTTAAAGATATAAACTATTTTTACACTCTTTTTCTAATTTCGATACACAAAAATTTTTTATTTATTTATAAATACAAGAATTTTATTTATAAATAAGGATGTGGGTTTTTTTTGTGGTTGAATATCAAAATAAATAATTTCCAAACATTCAGATGGGATATCGTGACACATTCTTATTATTTATTTAAAGATCTACTGCTAAAAGACTGCAAAGTTATTTTCTCTTTAGAGTAAAAAAAAGAGAAATCAAGATAGAAAGAGACACGGATAAATGATAAAGAAAGAGAAAAGTTACCAACAAAAGTATGAACTTACTCAAAAGAGATTCATTCCTTTTCATCTTTTGCTATATATACATAGCATCAATTAAACTCGGAATCAAAATTATTATAAATTGCTCTCTATGTAATTCTAAGAAGTAGGTTAACTCGAACAATCGCCAACTGAACAACTAATAAATTCATTCTTCAATTGACACAATGAAATTATTTTTCCCGCACAATTAATTTTAAATAAAATTAATGAAAATTTCATTTTTGCAAAATAGTTTCAACAAATGTAATAATACAGCTAAAGCAACCGTTTCCATGACAACTGTTGCTATAGCAATACCGTTTTTATGACAATAGTTACCATAGCAACCGTTTCCATGACAATTACCGTTGCCATAGAAACCGTTTCTATGACAATAGTTACCATAGCAACCGTTTCTATGGCAATAGTTACCATAGCAACCATTTCTATGGCAATAGTTACCATGGCAACTGTTCCCATGACAATTACCGTTGCCATAAAAACCGTTTCTATAGCAATAGCTACCATGATAACCGGTACCATAGTAACTAAATGGTACCGAAGTAACTGGTACCATAGAAACTAACTGTTGCCATAGTAACTGGTACTAAAGTAACTGGTACCGAAGTAACTGTTACCGAAGTAACTGGTACCACAGTAACTAAATGGCACCAACGTTACTGTTACCGAAGTAACTGGTACCATAGAAACTAATTGTTGCCATAGTAACTGGTACTAAAGTAACTGGTACCAAAGTAACTAGCACCAAAGTAACTGGTACCGAAGTAACTGGTACCGAAGTAATTGGTACCACAGTAACTAAATGGCACCAACGTAACTGGTACCGAAGTAACTGGTACCATAGAAACTAACTGTTGCCATAGTAACTGGTACTAAAGTAACTGGTACCAAAGTAACTAGCACCAAAGTAACTGGTACCGAAGTAACTGGTACCACAGTAACTAAATGGCACCAACGTAACTGTTACCGAAGTAACTGGTACCATAGAAACTAACTGTTGCCATAGTAACTGGTACTAAAGTAACTGGTACCGAAGTAACTGGTACCGAAATAACTAAATGGCACCAACCTAACTGGTACCGAAATAACTGGTACCATAGTAACCGGTACCATAGTAACCGTTATCATAGCAACCGTTTCTATGACAACAGTTACCATAATAACCGTTGCCATGACAAACACTATTTCCTATTATCCAATAAACTAATCGTCATTCTATTTTTTTGCCGAATGTATTTTTCTAAAATTTTATTTAAAAAAACAAACTTTCTCTCATTTTAGGAGCCTGTTATGCCGAATTTGGTGTCAGAGTGCCTCACACAACTGGCAGCGCGTATATGTACAGCTATGTGACAGTAGGAGAATTAATAGCGTTCATTATTGGATGGAACATGGTACTTGAATACCTTATAGGTACGAGTGCGTGTGCCTGTGCGCTTAGCGCTTGTTTGGATGCCTTGGCGAATGGTGCCGTTTCCGGAGCCATAAGCAATAATGTTGGTACCATTTTTGGTAAGTATAGAAAAATAATTTTATTTATCAAACTTCTAATATATACTCTTAAATGAAAACAATATTAAACAATTTAAAATTGTTTATTTAGAGATCATAAATTTTCTTTTTAGCATATAATAAAATATTCATAGAATGGAAAAGTAGAAAAGAAAAAACACAATATGAAGAACAAAAAAAAAATTAACAGCACATTTTTAAAGCGTTAACAGTAAACACGCACAAGGTGTAAAAAAAAATTCTTCACATACAATGTGAAATCGATTTTTATACGATCCGTATATATAATTTGTTTTGCCATCTCATTTATATTGAATAACGATTATATTTTCTGCCTATTGCAAATCATTCACATTATTTATGTTCTAGTTTTTATATAGTTTACAGTTCAATAGAATTAAAAATAATTAATTAAAAATGAAAATTCGTTTGTCGTTATTAATATATCTGGTTATTAAATGCAATTAAAAATCAGAAACAAAAAGGAAATTTATGAAAGTAAATTACTTGATATTATTAAACTTTCCGTATGTGTAAAATATAATTTTTTCTGTAACGAAAAAGATTTCATCAAAATTATAATTATACAACAAAAATCTCAAGTCAGTCAACTAAGTATATGTTAATATCAAGGATCTCTCAACTAAAATAGCGTATTGTGTGTTGAAAAGGGACTCCATTAAATCTAAACATTACAACTCTTTAGACAATAGACCGTAAACATGTTTACGTTTCACTCGACTCGTTGAACTTTGCACATTTAACTAGCCACGTTATACTATACACATTCAACCATCATTCACTGAATTTGCCTTTAACCTTTCACATGATATCTGTTATCAATTAAAACATAAATTTTAACGAGAGAGAGAGAAAGAGAGTTCACGTCCAAATTATTAGTTATAATTTAAATTACATTCAATGAAGAATTTTATTAAAAATGTTTTTTTTTCTACATTCACCATCGGTGTTCTTTATTAAAAATTGTCTACTGACACAGTACTGATACCCTATTGATGCGATAGCATTTTTGCCAAAGGTATAAAAATTATTGATTCTGAAGCATAAGCTACAGAATCTGTATAATATTTTACAAATTCTATATGCTTCAAAATCAATAATTTTTATGCCATAGAATTTTTCTACCTTTCTCTAATTTTTATATGCCTTTAACAGTAATGCCGTTAAATAGCATATGTTTCTCAGTGTATAGTATCAGATGATTCAAAAATTCAAATTACGATAATAAAAATTCGGTCAAAATGCTTCGAAAAAGTATTAGGACAAAATTTTGTCGGCCTTAGTGGAAGGAAAATGTGTTTAAGAAAACGGAAAACAGATATGAAAATAAACTAAAAGGAATCGTTAACGAATGACATTTTTTCCCTTCATTTCATGAAAAAGAGAGCTTGAAACGTTCTTGATACTATTGGTTGATTTCTCTTGGGTAACTTTTAGAAGAGATAAAAAGAGAATTCACGGCATTTACGATCGGTCGCTTCATTTCTTTCTACTTTTGCAAACGACAAATTTCCCTTACAACCTTTCTTTGATCAATGTTTACCTTTCTTGATTTGCAATCTCTCTATATATATCGTTTCTAAAATTGTCCAGAATTGTTTCCTTCAAGAGAATACAAAACATATTTTCTGATTCTTTCTATAAATAACCAACTAATGGAACTTGAAGATATGAACTAAATATAATAACTTTATACAAATATATCGTAAATATAAAATATAAATGTTATTTCTAAATTTCTGTCATAAAAACATAAAAGCTTTCAACAATAAAACGTAGTTTTAAAGCATATATTGCATTTATGAACTCGTTACGGTTTTGATCTGTCCTTTTTAGGATTTGTCTATCCATAATGCATATATAGGACTCTGTATTTTTTCTTGTCTCGAAGTCTATGAACGAAGTAGGTCGATTGACGGGAAAAATAAATCGATCGTAAGAATATGAATAGTGTGAAATATACTTTTCATACTCGAATGGCAAACGTGAGAATGTTGCAATCAACTCTGACTTTTACTGAGGTAGAATATCTTTTAAATACTTGATGCTTTTCCAATAACCCCTCATAAATTCGTCTCCATCATTCTTAAAAGATTTTTATGACAATTTCAAATAAACCACCATTAAATTTATATTTCCAACATTAATTTTTGAATCTGTGGATAAATAAAATCGCTAAATATTGCAAAGAATTAAAACTAATCGAAAAATTCTAACAAATTTCTATAACACAAAATGAATTGACAAATTAAAAGTGAGAATCAAAGTATACATGGAAACAATATTTTTAATTTTTTTTGTATTTTTTGGTGGTTTCACGTGTCAGAGGCGAGTCTGCGTGTTGAGGATATTCAAGGAATACACAGTGCAAGTGTACTTGACAGAGAAGAATAGTGTATAAAGGACGCTTGCGCAAATGGTTCTTGGTCTGGCACCTGTGGACCCCATCGATCCGATCTGAACCACGTACACTCTGACACATCAACTTGCTCAACTGCACCTACCACCTTGAACCTTCTTTTTATTCTTAGTTCTCTTAGTAAAACCTGTTCCAATTATAAATGGTAATCATCCGAATCTTTAGCCAACAAGAAGAGAGAATAAAAATCAACTTTTAACTATATGACAATTTCCCCAAGATTCGATTTAAAATAAGAAAGCTGAGATCAAATTCAAAATCATCAGAATTTCTCTAAACTAAAATTCCTAAAAACTATAATTGATTTTTTAAATTAAATTCTTTAAATAGCATTTTTCGATCCTAAAGAATAAAAGAGAGTATATAAACTACAAAAAAAAATAGTGGAGTAATGTTTACAATATAAGCGAGGATTAAGCGATTCTACTAAATAACTACATTCTTTCTGCGGTTATTGGTTTGCATTTTAATACATGACTTTCTATATCCCCCGCAACTCTATTATCTGGAACGCATCCAAAACGAAGCGTAAATAACATTTTACAAACAGGAATGCTGCGGAATATTCCAAAAAAAAATACTTATACCACATATATATTAATCTCGGCAAATAACAAAACATTAAAAGAAAATTAAAAACTACATTAATGGCAAAGATAATCCTTTCAAAAATTTACTTTAATTACAACATTAAAAAAAAAACCGGAAATAAAAATGAAATATCAAAGGGGATGAAAAATTTTCATCTTGTTTTTTTATAACATCAAAAAACTCACTGTTTAAATTTTTCAACAAAATTTTAATAAAACGAAAGAGAATGAAAAAATTTTTGACAAATGAAAATAGAATCACAAAACCCTAAAAAAGAGAGAAAATTTTAATATTTTACTTTCGGTTTTTTTTTAACTAATAGATAATTTCGATTAGATTTTTTTTTCTATTTGCCAATATTTATAATATGTTATATTATGAAAGAGATATTAGTAAATAGAAATAAAGTATTTGCCTTCTAAATATATAATATAAGAGAGAAATATTCACTCTCCAATATATATACCTAAGGAGTGTTACGTAAATCCTGATAAAAGAAACCTTTATTTTCAAATATATATGCAGAGTATTGTATGAAGAAAATTGATATATTTTATGACAATTGAAATTCTTTTATATGCTTTTTTACCAGTTATAATGCGAAGCTAGTATAAATATTCCAAAGAAAAAGTCAAGAGAGCAATAATATTTTTCATTTACCTTCAATCAATAAAAATTTTATTAAAACACAATCTATAGGATGGCAAAAAAAATGTATTTTATTCAAATAATCTTGTAATTTGACTATTATAAAATAAATATTTATTTAAATAATTATATTTTTAGCTACTAAATGATATTTAAAATGCAGAAATTGTTGGCTCAAATATACAGGTTTATTCAAATTCAATTATTTGGTTTCAAAAATTATTAGCCTTTAAAAATTATTTGGTTTCAAAAATTATTTGCCTTTAAAAATTATTTGGTTTTCAAAATTATTAGCCTTTAAAAATTATTTGGTTTTCAAAATTATTAGCCTTTAAAAATTATTTGGTTTTCAAAATTATTAGCCTTTAAAAATTATTTGGTTTTCAAAATTATTAGGTTTCAAAAATTATTTGCCTTTAAAAATTATTAGGTTTCAAAAATTATTTGCCTTTAAAAATTATTTGGCTTCAAAATTTATTTGACTACAAAAATTATTTGGCTTCAAAATTTATTTGGCTACAAAAATTATTTGGTTCAAGTAAACATTTATTTTGATAATAGTCAAGTAACCGATTATTTGAATCAAATAAATTTTTTTTCAAGAATAGAATATACACAATAGAATTGCAGGAAGGAATTTAGCGATACTGAAATTCCTCAAAGATGTTTTGCGTTGAGCTTTATTCGGTATTTGATCTTACACACATGGTTGAATGATTGATTTAGATTCGCAAGATTAGAGTTTATCAAGAAAAATCGAAACTAAAATTTACTTTCTTTTCTCTATTCATTCAATTATTTTTTTTCCAAATTAAAATCGAGTTTAAAAAATCAAAATTTTTTATAACAAATAATTTTAATAATAATAAAAATAGTTTTTTTTTTACGATTTTCGGAAGTTATTTATGAATATTTGTAATGGCAAAAAAAAAAAACGAAAAACAACACAACCTCTGTGGGTATTATTACTGTTAACGATTCATGGAAAAATTGCAAAAACATGGCAGTTTGTATCACGCAATATTTTCTTTAACATGGAAACGATAAAAATCAACAACTTCTAGCGCATACCCTCACACTTAATTCCAAATTATTTATTAATAATGTTTATATCGTAGATGAAAAATAGAAATAAAATTTTATTATTAAGCTAAATAATGACAAAAATTGAAGCTAATTTTATCACAATCGACCCCTAATTTGTATTTCTTTGTACAATGAAAAAAAAAATTTATTTGATTAAAATAATCGGTTATTTGACTATTATTTGGTAAATATTTATTTGATAATAATGAAGTAACCGAATATTTTAGTCAAATAATTTTCTTTTTCCAGTGTATAAAATAATAATTGTTCAATTAATAAAAATTCTATCGTTCAAAAAGAAACATATATATAGTTTCTGAAAATTATGATCAAAGAGTGAATGCTTTGTCGTCAAACCTATATCTTTGTCTTCAAAGATTGCCTATTCATTCTCCAAGTCTAGTGATTTATCTTCGTTCCATGTCATGAATCACCTAATTTAATTCAACCCCTAGTATATAGGAAATTGCTTTCAGAATACAGACGACTTTTTCCTATACATAAGGTGTCCCAAATCAAAATGAACACATTACGTGTATATTTAAATATATATGTTTTTTATAAATCGAAAATTTTACTTCAAAAATAATACAAATTAAAATTTGCAAATCATTAATAATAATCGAATGCGGAATTGAAAAATAATTCCGGACAGTAAATACTTCTTTTTAGAATATAAAATAATACCGCACACCAATCCGAAAAGTTTGAATAAAAAACTCAACAATAAGAAGAAGAAACAAGAAAATGATAATATAAATTTAATATACAAAAACAAAATTCATCTTAAAGTATCCATAATAGTATAAAAGTAAAAGTATCCAAACTCTTAATTGGAATCAATATATAGCAACTATAATAAACAATAGAAAAATATTTCTTTTGAAAAAAAAACACGTTTCTTTTAGTGCGGAAAGAAAAATTATCAAAGTTTTCTTGATAACCCATATATATCCCATTTCCTAATTACTATTTATATAGTTGATATTAGTATTTATTTTGGAAGTGAACGAACCATCCCTTTTTTTTTATCAGACAATAATCAAGAGTTACTATATTACATATGAGAAAGAGAATGAATTTTATTATTTCGTTACGTCGAAACCCTACATATCAATTTTCTTTTTAAAATAGAAAAATTAATTTGACAATTTTTTTCTACTCAAAGGAAAAAGCGTCAAAAAATAAAAAAATAAAAACTAAACTCGCTTTTAAAAATAAAGATAACTTTTCTTTTGATCTTTTTCAACCTAGCAAATTACACACTGAATGCGACAATTTAAAAAAAAAAAATTGTAAATTCATTAAACTTCTTTGTTATATAGTTTCTGATAATTGGAAAAATGATAATTAATAATAATAATAATAATAATAATAATAATAATAATAATAATAAAAAGTAATAAAAATTTTGAAAATTGTGTTCAATTTTTGTCAAAATACATAATTAAATTTATACAAAATTTACTCACTCAATGTATCATTGCGGAAATTATGTTATCTTCATCAGAAAACTAACCTGAAACAAAAAAAAATATTTTTTTTGTCACAAATAACATAAATAATAAACAATTTATTAATAAAAAAAAATAAATTTGCCCAAATTTGGTTATTTTATTTACATTTAATTACGTAGTTGAAGTACACAACGTTTATATAAACGATTTTTAAAGAAATAATTTTTTAAAATGAAAAATTCTATAATTTTTGGCCTAAACAATATTTCTTGCAGTTTTCATTAATCAACAAATTATAAAAAAATATTTTTTAAAAAATTATAGAATTTTTCATTTTAAAAAATTATTTCTTTAAAAATCGTTTATATAAACGTTGCGTACTTCAACTACGTATTTAAAATTACAAGTTCAGTATGATTTTTATGTTCCAGACCCCCTAAAAAAAAATTTTTAAATCTTATTTTATTTGTTTTTTTAATAAACAAAAAAAAAGGTGAATTAAAAAAAAATTTTTAAGGGGTCCGGAACATAAAAATCATTCTTAGTCTCAAAAAGAGATTTTTTTGTGAAAAATTTGAAAATTTTCAAATCATAATTATATATATGGCTATTATTTCTTTTTTACTTTGTAAATTGTAAATGTTTTTGTATATAAATTATGAGAAAATTTTTTTATAATTAAATTATTTCTTTTGCAGGAGGACCGCCGGATTTTCTAGCGTTCGTTATCACGTTGTTAATGATGCTGTTAATGGCAGCAGGAGTTAAAAAATCTCTCATGTTTAACAATGTGTTGAACACTATAAATTTGGCCATTTGGGTCTTCATTATGACTGCGGGTCTATTTTACGTGGATTCCTCCAACTGGACAGAGCACAAGGGCTTCCTTCCTTATGGCTGGAGTGGGGTAAAAATAAATTTTTTCCATTAAAATTCTTTTATTTTATCCAATTTTACAATCGTAAATTTTTTTTAGTCAATTTTGATAAAATCAAAATCATAAAATCATAATTTTAGCTTTTCTGGCGTTAAAATTTAAAAAAAATAACTTTCCTTTCTCCATGACTCATATAAATAATCCCGGTCTTATGTTTATAATCCAAGATTAATATATCTATGCAAGAGGAGTGTGTTTTCATAGGGAATACGGTTATAAACGTATAGAAAGATTTTATGTTTTATGTTTTGGGATTAATTTTGTAGAGCATTCCAGAAAAATTAATTTTTTAAACCCCGTAAACTTATGTAAAGAGAAAATTCGCTTTGACATAAATGAAAGAAAAAATATTGCATACAATATGCTCAAAAAATTTGATTCAATGGATTATTTAGCAAAAAAATATTTCTTTAATAATAAAGTTTTGAATGAAATATAATTTTTTTTCAGTCTTGCAAGATTACTCTTCTATAAAAAAAAAAAAAATGTGTGGGTGTAGTTTTAAGCCAATTGCATTTCTAGAAAACTAGGACAAACTGCAACAGCCTGCATCGTTTGTGGATATGAAGAATTCTCCACACGATTTGTTTTCCAAACGCAATGAGCGTATCATCTGGTCATTATAAGATTTTTTTTTTTCAAAACTTGTATACTTATTTGACAAATACAATTTACGGGCAAAAAGAAATTATCCCGTCACAAATTTTGAAAAATGTTTTTCGAAAATTCAAAATCAAATCTAGATTTTATCAAATTTTATAGAAAAAAATTTCTAATAAAAAAAAATATATTATTTTCAATAGAGATTAGAAGAAAAAAAAATCGTGAAAATCCAAAGGCGAAAAAATATACAAAGGCTTTTACCTTTTTCTTCACACGACGTTTTTATGATACACAATCCCCTTATGACCTCTATTTCTTTTTTTTCAACCCCCTTCATGCGGTTATACAACCGGAATATTGGGGGGTTTTTTTTTTTTCACGATTTCAAACTTTTCCAACGTGACTGTAAATGGTCTCGGAAAGATTTTCCGTCCACACTTTATTTCGTGAGAACAATGGCAAACTTGTTGCGCAAGGTTTGGTCTATTAAAACCTTGTTCGAAGAAAATAAGAACGTGTATATGTGTGTGTGTCTGTTATATATAAATATATGGTAGCAAGACGGAAAAAAAAATTACTAAATTTTTAAAATGCTTTAAGTGGAGATGCGAAAAATAAAGAAATAGGGAAAAATCGATACTGAGGTTAGGTAGAATCTTCTCTCACACTCTCACTTCCGTATAGATTAAAACCTGAACCTTTTGTTTTCTCTCTCAAAAAAAAAAATTAATATTTTTTTTTGATAAAATGTAAAATAATAAATTTTGAACTAAATAAAATGATTGATTTCTTTTAATGAGAAAAAATTCACCTACAATTTTGATGATTTTAAACCGAGAGCAAAAGAAAAAGACTTTTTAATCATGAATGCATTTTCAGGTCATCTTTTCTTTTCTTCTTCTATGTTTATCGGAAAATATTTATAATACATATTTTCAAAAAGTTTAAAAAAAGACTCGACATTCCTAAAAATAAATTTTCTCCCATCATATAGATTTTATTATAAAATCAATATTTAATATAGTGAATACGTTGGGAAGAGAATCAATATAAAATTATTTTTCTTTGAAAATATCAACTTAAAAAACGGAAATAGAAATTTCATTTCAAATCCAATAAACAATATTCTTTTGATCGTTTAGTAATTTCTATTTTTGGATTTTTAAAAAATGTTTTTTTTTTTAACTAACAATCAACTTATTAAAAACAAATAAATTGTATATACATAATGTGAAAAATATTATTAAAAAATAATATGAAAAATATTATATAAAAATATGGAAAAATATTATATGAAAAGAATTTTTTATAAAGAGATATTTTTAACACATTTTTAAAGTCAAGTTTTTCCTAGTTAAAAATGTATCATACCAACATTCTTTTAAAATTAAATTAAATTTTAAATAATTACGATACGAAATTATTTTATATCCTTTTTTTCGTAAAAAAAATATTTAGAGGCATTTTTGTGTAAAAGGAAAAAACATATTTTTTTTTCTTTTGAATAAAACGAGATATATTCGGATAGCTTTTTGGGAAAAAGCATACATGTAGAAAATCTATATTTACATAATATGCATTTGAATTTTGAATATATTTAAGGGCATTGAGTTTATGTTCTCTCGTGTACACCCCAGAAATGTGTAGTATTTTCAATATTAGGTCAACCGTGATTGACCTACAAATTGAGACCGCAAAAAGTAACTTTGGTAAAAATAATTTCAATTCCAGACTGATTAAACTACAGAGACCTTGCAACAAGTAGTAAAAATCATTTCATCGCGTATTTTAAAAATAATTTTCAATCAATATCCGTTAAACTTTATAATATTTAGATTATTTATACTACAAATTATTTATTAAATATTGAATTAATTTAGAAAGAAAAATTTTATTTTCAATTTTTTTTTTCCTTTGCGCAAAATTCTTCTAAATTGAAGAAACGCGTTTTCATTTGATCGTAAAAAATTTTTTATGATTTAGGAAAAGTTTTCTTTAAACATTATATAACTTTGTTGACCTTCGTAAAAAAGTGGAAAATGTTTTTTTTTTTTTTTTAGAAAACGGCTACATTTGACCTTTGAAAGATCAGAAAGGGTGGGCGTGTAATTTGGATGACAATTTGAAACTTGAATAAAAGCGAACAATACAAACAAGGGTTGGGGAAGGCTATATATGGGTTTTTTTTTTCAAGAATGCTCTTTTCATTCGCTTTTAGAGGCTCAGGAACATCCGATATTTAATTATATACACACCATGAAAGCAAAAAAAAAAGAAAAAGAAGAACATACAAAATAACAAGAAGAAAAATTTAAACAATTTTAAAGCTCAGTAAATTACAGATTTACAATCACTGTTTTCATTACGAATTCTTATTCAATTTTAGTAAAATTGAAAAAAGGATTTGGTTTTGACAACAAAACATTTGCTTTAGTAGATTTATACCAAAAATTTTGATGATACCTAAACAAAATTTTGATTGTAAAACATTTGCTTTGGTATATTTATACTAAAAATTTTGATGATACCTAAACAAAATTTTGATTGTAAAACATTTGCTTTGGTATATTTATACCAAAAATTTTGATGATACCTAAACAAAATTTTGATTGCGTAAAACATTTGCTTTGGTATATTTATACCAAAAAATTTGATGATACCTAAACAAAATTTTGATTGTCTGAATCAAAATTTTATTGACAAAACCAAAATTAAAAAGAATTTTTGTTCTCCTAATGGTTTGAGACAATCAAAATTTTGTTGAGGTATCAAAAAAAAATTTTGGTTTAAATACTAAAGCGTTTTGTCAAAACAAAATCCGTTTTTCAATTTTACTAAAATTGAATCAACTAACATAAAAACCAATTACACAGAAAATTAAAAGGCATTAAAATAAGCTGCAACGCTTATTATTTTAATCAAATTTTGCTTATTTTAATCCGTTGCAGCTTATTTTAATACCTTTTAATTTTCTGTGTATCTAGCGCATTTGAAAGATTTTGATTTTATCAAAATAAGATTTTAGAAGAAGCTAAAATGAAAATCATCTGATTTTCAGGTATTCACTGGCGCTGCCACTTGTTTTTATGCCTTCATTGGATTCGACATAATAGCCACAACCGGAGAAGAAGCAACGAATCCAAAAAGAAGCATCCCTCTAGCTATAGTATCATCATTGCTCATCATACTCATCGCATACGTCACCAGCAGTATGATATTAACATTGATTGGTACGTTAATGAATGTTTTTAGAGAAAATTTTGATTTAAAATTATTTCTACTAAGTATTTGGTAAATTATTAGCATATTATATATATGCATCTAGGAAAATAAAAATTATTGTTTTAGTTCCTTATGAAGAGGTGGATCAAGACTCGGCATTGGTGGAAATGTTTGGCCACGTTGGTGCTAATAAATGCAAATACATTGTTGCTGTCGGCGCTCTTGCCGGATTAACTGTTTCCATGTTTGGAAGTATGTTTCCAATGCCTAGAATAGTTTACGCTATGGCTCAAGATGGACTGATTTTTCGGTAATATTTATTCATTCCAGGAATGGCAACCGAAAAAACCAAAACCGAAATCTTTTAAGAAAACCAAAATTTCGGTTGCCATCCGTTATTATTTCACAGCAAAGAACTTTTCATCAATAAATGACAATTTATTACATAGATCCTTGAGCCAAGTGTGGCCCGTGACAGGGACTCCTGCCTTAGCCACCTTTACTTCGGGAATATGCGCTGCTTTTGCAGCATTATTAATTAAACTGGAAGTTTTGGTGGAGATGATGTCGATTGGTAAATATTCAGATAAATGTTCACACAACCAAAATTATACAATACATTTTCTTTATTAATTTAATTTAAAATTAAAATTTTCAGGTACTTTGTTGGCCTACACTTTAGTGTCTACTTGCGTCCTGATATTGCGATATCAACCTCACACCACAAATTTGATTGAGCTTCTCCCACAAAGTTTACGAACACCTTGCCGTACTCCGACAAAGGAAACACAGGGCAATGGTCAAGTTAATTATGGGAAAGAGTTGAGACCGGATCAGCTTTCCACCGCCTTGAACACAGTTCAGGTATCTCAATCAGAAGTCGTCGCAAGTAATAATGGCCAACGTGTCATGGTAAAAAAATATTTCAATATCCTAAAAAAAAATCGATTTCAATCACTAGAACATTAAAAATAATAAAAAAACAAGAACTAAGGAGGGGAAGAAAAATGATCTTAATTAAGAACATAAAGCGAAAAGATGAAAGAGAGAACTTACAAAAAGCATGAAATAGTCTGACCTAGACAATTTCTCCTTATTCTAAAGCACGAATTTTAATTTCATTCATAATTGAAAGCACAGTAGATATACAATTGTAACTCTTATCACGTAGAAGCAAAAGTCCTCTCACCACAATAAAGGCCAGTTAAATTAATAATATATGCAAAAAGGGCTAATTAAACAATTTGACAAGAATAAGTTTATAATATTATAATCATCAATTTTTTTTAAGAAAAATTAATTTTATATTTAACTGATGCGCAAAGAAAATTAAATGAATTTTAACGATTGATAGGCAAATTAATAGAAATTTCTTTCTTTATTTTCAGGTTCGACGTGTTAGACGAGCTAATAGTTCATCGCCTGATTCAGATGACACTTATGGAGGTGAAGAGGATGAAATTGGTTTGGGCAAAGATGACCAATATTTGGTCAGCGATCGTACTGAGAATAAATTTTATGGAAGTGTTCATGCTGCTACTGCAGCAGGATCTAGTTGTGGTAGTGCACATCAATATCCCGGAAACACGCCCATCATAGGGCCACCATTAAATTATTTGCAACGCAAATTACAGGTAAATTTCCTTAATTATTATTAATTCCTTTGACAAAAGCAGGATTAATTTGCATATATTTATTTATTTTCAAAGGCAAATATAAAGTAAAACATGATGCATTTGTTTAATGAAACTTTCCAAATTCATGTGTTTTAAATGCAAATGAATTTCTGATCATTTTGCGGATTATGAGAAAAATATGCTATTGAATCAACAGCATTTCTGGCCAAAGGCATAAAAATTATTGATTCTGAAGCATATACTACGGAATCTATATAATATTTTACACATTCTATTCAGAATTAATGATTTTTATGCCTTTAGCAGAAATAGCATATTTTTGTGAGTGTAATAATAGTATAAATTGTAAATTATAAATTTTAGGACGCTCAATACCTGTGTCCAGGCATATTCCCTTGGGTGGACAGGGGACCTGCAACCGAAGCAACGGGTCGATATGTCATGAAGTTGGTCGGAATTTTGTATTTACTCATTTTAATTTTCGACCTGATAATAGTCTGTGGTATGGGTGAGTATGCAGAGCAATAATAATACAGGAAATTCTAATCATGTTCGGCAAAAAACCATATGTTTCAAAAACATTTTTAGAAATATTTTTAGAATGTTTTATGCCAGCCAAAAGATGTTCTACAACATTATTTGAACATTCATGTTCTTAAAATGTTTTAGAACCTTATTTGACGGACCTGAAACGTTCTAAAAACGTTCTTGAAACATGATTCTTTTGCCCCCTTGGGGATTTGTGTTTGCAAATTCTAAAATTGTGAAAATATCTACTTGCAGGTAACATGGGAACGTTTACCACAATTTTGATGTTTGGATTTCTGTTCGGAATCATTGGAGTACTTTTAATTATCAGTAGAAAACCGCAAAACAGGTATTGCATTTTTTTATCTAATCTTTAGCGTACCTTTCTGTTTCTAAATTGGAAATTAAAGCTAACTGCAACTTCATTTGCAGACATTCCCTGATGTTTAAGACCCCAGGATTGCCATTTGTGCCAGCCATTGCCGTCACGGTGAACATTTATCTAATATTCAAACTCAGTGTATTGACATTAGTAAGATTCACAATTTGGATGACACTTGGTAAGTCAATCATCCGGACAATAAAATTCTAAATCAATTCCAATTATTCCGAACAAAATCTAACTAAATAAAATTTCAGGTTTTATCATGTACTTTTACTATGGCATTAAGCATAGTTCGTTGGAAGAAGGTAACAAAACGGACAGTATGGATGATGGAGGTGCTGAAACTGCTGGTAATATTGAGCTCACCGTTACAGAGCATACAAAACCACAATCATCCTATCCTGTACAAGATCGTAATATTTACGAAGGCCAACAACTCGATGTATTTGGTCAACCAGTATTTGGTAGTACGAATTTTGGGGGCACGCCTAACCATAATGCATCCCAATCACAAACGAGAAATTTGTTTATACCACAAGACAGTTTTCCCACTTGGGATGATTGAAGATAAAAAAAAAAAAAAAAAATTCCATTCAATATCGCGCGATTAAAATATGAATTTCGAAATTTTAGACTCATTTTGGAAATTGCAGATTTAAATGCCATGAAATTTTCTTTATCTTCGGATATTTAAAAATCCGAAAAAAATTACAATTTTTTACTTTTTAAAATTGCGATTCGAGTGTAATAATTGGGTTTTAATGGAATACAAAAATTTAATATATCTATAGTATAAGGGGGATGAAATATTTTTTATAAATAAAAGAAATATATAAATAATACAAAATATATATACGAAAGCATAATCAATTTATACGTTTCGTTTATTTAAAAAAAAAAACGGTGATACTCTCTCTGTAAATCTGAGTTATAAAAATAACTTGTAAAATCGTAAATTTACTATAAAAATTAGTTATTTTTAACAAATTCAGATTTAGAGAGCTCATGACAATATATCGAAAAATGAAAAACAGAGGGATCAAATTTACTACATACATATCATTTTAATAATAATTTTTTTTTTTTTTCCTTAATATGTTACTGCAAAATTGGTGTTTTAATAAAAATTAATAAACATATTCATACGAATCGCAATTTTGAAAAATTCTTTTCTCTTCCACAATTTTTTTGAAAGTTATTTATGAACCTCGCGCTTCCAATAAAAACTATAATATTGAGTATATTAAAAAAGAATTTAGGAAAATATCTGCAATTTTCCGAAACGAAATTCGTTCTTGTTGAATAATACTGTTTGGGGAAAAAATTTAGCGAATAATTTTTCGGCAATATTAGTACCATAGTGTGTTGTTGTTATGGGAAAAAAAAAAGTATTCTAATAAAAAACAATGGGAATTTTGAAAAATACACACATTAAAATCTCTTTTCTATAGACACTAAATAATATAAAAGCTTTGAACGAAAAATAAAATTGTTTTATTGTTGAAAAAATATTATAAGGAAAACGTTGATCGAGTTTTTCCTGAAGAGAGAGAAAGAGAGAGAGAGAGAAAGAGAAAAAGGAATTAAACGGATGGAAGAGACCACTTTAGTTTATAAGATAAAAAAAAACTTGTGTTTCGCACGCGAACATTTTTAGAGAATAAAGAAAAAATTCTATAAATTTTAGTGTATCGAGGAAGTATGAATGAAAAAAATGCAATATTAAAAAAAATTGAGAATGCAGAGAGAAAGAAATCGAGTATAAATGTATGTGTGTGTGAGAGAAAAATTCGAACGCAGGAATATTCAATGATCTTGCCTAAAAAAAATTTTTAGTCTTTCCAAAAAAAAAAAAAAAAAAAAAATTAGTCATTATAACCCTAAAAATCTATAAGCTCACTGTAATATTTATCTACGTCTTACCTCCCTTATAAATCGTATATAATTGTTATTTTACACCATTTGTATATTCGTTCCCTTGTAAACTATATTAGAATCGCATATATATAAAAAAAATCCTTAAAAAAAACAGAACACAAAAACTAATTTTTTCATTTAATAATGAATGTCTGTAGATATTTTTCCAAATGTAATTAATAATTTCGCTGTGCTTCGTTTTGTAATCACTGAGACATATCCAGGGATAAAAAAAAACTCGTCTTCCTCTCTATTTTATAATTTTATATTTTTTTCTCAATTAATTTTTTTTTATATTCATTTTTAAAATTTCGAAAAAAATTTTTTCAACCTTTTTAAAAAATTAAACTTCCATTTGAGAAAAATTAATTTCTATATTAATTTTTCTCTTCTATTATAGAGATTAATTTCTTACGGACAAAATAAAAAAAAAAAAAATACAATGCATTCATAAATAATCCTGGATACGTTTCTATATATGTATATTCGAATATATTGTGAATTTGATTCGAAGTCGAGTCACGAATTTATATTCATAGAATCCTTCAATATTAATTTTCCACATAAATATTCCATCGGCGGGAACGATGGTCGATATTTCAAGATTTTGCTTTAAAATATTTTTGAAAATTCACTAATTCCATTTTTGCTGCGTGCGCAAGATATAAAAAGTTTTAAACATTCAAATGAAAGAAAAACAAATAAAAAAAAATAATAAATACATTTTTTAACTCAAATTAATTAGAAACCAAAAAAAAATTGTTCATTTCATTTAAATGTTTGAAATTCAAAGAGGGAAAAAAAAAAATGAGTTGTGGAACTGTTGAACAGTAGCGATAGAATTAATTATGTGTATACGTGCGTGAGTCGCGCAACGTAATTATAATAATTTAATATATTTTTTTTTTAAATTAAAAAATATCGATAATTAATTTTATTAAAAACCAAGCATTTTATATTTATTTATTATTTATTTATTTATTATTTTAATTTATTATTTCTTTATTAAATTATTTATAATTATTTATAAAATTATTTATTGAAAAAATTATTTTTAATTTGCGTCTCACGTACGCGCATACTTCGAAGCGCTACCTGATGTAATGTATGTATTGCGAATTTATATATTGTTAAATATTTTGAATGCACATTTTAATTTAACGAAAGATAAAAATTTACATCAATAGAAGCTACAAAAAGATTAACGAAAAAAAATAGTATTTTATAATTTATAATTCTTTAAAAAATATTTTAATTATTTTTTTTCACTTTTAAATTAAACTTCAATTTACGAGTTTTCATTTTTTTTTTAATAATTATCTATATAAAAAAAAGTATTAAAAATGAAAAGTTTTATAAATTATATATGATTATATATAAATATCAATCAGAATTGATAATTATAAACGTGTGCTTCAAATATAAAATTTGATCTTATTAAAAAAAAAAAAAAAAAAAACATATACGTATTTATTAATTCAAAGTATATGAATGTATCTATATACCTATATACACACTCTTTAAAAAAAAAAATAAAGGGAGATTATTATATTCTGTGAAAAGAACAGTGCCTGTACCTCAGACGCTAGGGAAAAAAAAATTAGATTCTTCCGTTTGATTTTTGAAAAAAAAAAATCTCCAAAGTTAATTCAAAAGAAAAGCAAAAATTAAACGTGATTATAAAATGAGATGACAGTAAATAGATTTTTAGAATTATTTTATCTGCCGTTTGTCAATATCATAATATCTTTACAATTGCCGGTAATCCGAAAACAAAAAAAACACAACTTCCAAAAAATTTTATTTTAAACAAAAAATAACTTCCTGTTTGTTTAGTCAACATTTTTTTTTTACATTTAAAAATCAATCAATTTATCAAATCAAGTAAATTTTTTATTAAAAAATTTTTTTTTTTTTTCAATTTTATTTCAATAGAAAATTTTTATTTAAAATTAAATATATAAGAAATTTTCCACTGTGATAAATGAAATAAAAATATATTGTTTCGGATTGTCGGTGAGAAAAAAATAAATAAAAACAGAATTATACATATCTTCCGTCGTGTTCACGAGTTATGCGTTATGTTTAAATAATATATAACTAATGCACTAAAACAGTTTTAAGACTCATGGTAAAATATTTTTTATACTAAGCAGATTTACCAATCTCAGTAGGCTTGAAATTTTTCATCGTTGGCTAAATTTAGTTATAAAAAAAAGAATGAAAAAAAAATGAAAAATATTTTCCAACTTTATTTAAAATTAAAAAAAATAAAAACTATATTAATATTGTATATTTAAATCTACAGTAACAAATGACTATAGATAATTATATTTAAAAAAAAAAGAAACTTCCTTATATTTTCCATTTTAAAAAAAACTGTCACATCTCAAAATTATTTCTCATTAAGAAATTAAGTTTTTCTATATAAATAAAGACTTAGAAGATTTCATGTGAATCAAATAGCACAAAATGCTTTTTTATGACAAAAAAAAAAAGAATTGTAGAAATGAATTCTGGGAAAATATACGAGCACGGCCATATGTAGTTAAAAAAAAAAAAAAATTGTTACAATGTTTCTCTCTTTCGACTTTTACATGAAAGTAAAATTACTCTATTTGTCCTGCGAAAAAAAAAATTATAGTTGCGCACCATTTAAAAAAATTGCATTCGTAAATTATTTTTTAATGAAAGAATGGAAAAATAAATTTTTGTCACGCAAAAAGTGAACGAAAAGAAATAATAAAAAAAAAAATAACGAGGAAAAATATAAAAAAGATTTTATTGAGGAAATTTCGACTTAGCAGATAACTCTGTGCTTTTTTAGTTAGATTTTCAAATTTTTAGATAAGAGGAAATGGCCTATTGCATTTTATGAGTACAGGGTGTCACAGAGACGATCTTTATTAATCTAAGGCAGCGAAACAGATTTAATAGGCGGAGAGAAAAATATTGTTATAATGATCTAAATTGTTTTTTTTTTTTAAATTAATTGTAAATAAAAATAAAAATGAGAAAATTTTTAGAGAAATTAAAAATAATTTTTTTTTTCAAATGGCAATAATAATTTTTGCCAATATAATTATAATAGATGCAATAGATGTAATTGATAAAAGAATATATCTATATTAACGCACAATAGTCGTCTGTAAATCAAGAAAAAAAAACAGTAAATTTTAGATAAATTTGTAGAAAATAATTCACATCTATGCAAAAAAAAAAAATCTCATTAAACATTTTTTCTCTCCAGCCTGATACATCCTGTATACTATAATTATAATTATTGATGTACTTGTTCCCAAAATGTTATTGCGTTATAATTTAAATAATAATAATAATTCGAAAAAATTTCTACACTAATGAATAATTCACTTCTAAAAGAATATTTCATTTTTAATTTTATTATCCAAAAAAGAATTTGGATTAAAAAAAAATTCCTTTTGTTCGAATTAAAAAAAAAAATTTTTGGATAAATATGGTTGTAAAAAAAAAATTGTATTGAAAAAGTTGAAAAAATGCATATGGTATGAATGTCTCTGTATAATGATGTGGAAAATTCATATATATATATATATATATGGCGATACACGAACACATTTTGTCGCCAATAAAACGCCAGTTATAAATTTTTTGAATTTATAGTCGATAATGAAAACAAATTTTATGCCCGAAAATGTATGTACATGTTCTGGCGGAATAAGTCGAGTTTCAATATTTGATACTTGACGCGTCAAAGAACATTCTACATTAAGGACAACAATTTTCCATGTAAAATATATACCCCTACATAAAACTACGTTATTTAATATCGATAAGGATCAAAAATAAAAATGATTATTCAAAAACAATTTCGATTTTTCATTGCTTTTTCATGTCGATGTATGCGAATAACGCATTGAGAAATACTAAATGTATATCTTAATATTCATACATATATAGAAACGTATACAGTAGATTATTGTTTTAACTCATCAAACTACATTAATTTCATGCAAAAAACATAAATTGTATACCTTTAAACACATGATGAGAGATTGGAAACGATGTACGATGTGGCTCATCTTCCAAAATCGTCGATGATTTAACACATTTTACACACAAAACACTTTCACCATCGTATATTTAACAATACTTGATAGACTATAATTGTTGAAAATACTTTAGAAACAATAAAACTCTTTAATAATAGCAAATATCAGTTAACTTTCAAATAAAACTTAACTTGGCGGTTGGCGCTACCTCACTCTAATGCACGAAACACACAAATGAGAAGTCCGACTCGCGTTGACTAAACGCAACTATAGTTTCAAGTTCCGCCACCAGGCGTCGCTCTATCAAACTTCTTTGTTTCTATTTGAAAATGTTTACTTATTTTCATAGATTTATTAGTAATAAATTAATAAAAACAAATTTTTCTCTATATACCAATAATTAGAAATATTTAAAAAAAAAATAAATAATATTTTCTTTTAACATTAATTATTATTTTATAAACAAGGACGCTCAAGGTGGCGCTGTTAACACCGGCGTCTTTTCCTTGCCTTTTGTCTTCCGACATTTCGATGCGTGTATACATTTAAGTTATTTTAAAATAAATTTCCGACACAATGCAAGGCACAATTATTGAAAATTTAAGTGGCAGAAAGCTCTCTGTACTAGTGTCGTTGCTGATAATAGGACAAATCACTTCTTTTTTAATTGGCGGTCTCATTGGTAAAGTATTTATTTATTTTCACTGTCATTGTTTATATACTGCATGTGGCATTGTCAACAAATCAAAAACAAAAGAAAATTTAATTTTTACAAAGAAAATTTTAATTTATATCATTTTTTTGAACTTTTTGAAATTTATTGAATATTCATTGTTAATTTTTATAGCACCTACACCATCGAACACTCAGACTATTCTTGGTTATACCTGCAAGGATGTTCGAATTAATGGAACAATACCGAATGATAAATGGTACTATTCCCGAGGAAAAGGAGCTTGTAATCTTGTTGATTTACACACATTTGATGATTACGAGAGTCACTTGAAAGCCTTTCAAGTTGTCTTCACCTTCCAGGTAAACCAAAATTTATAATTTAATGTTTTTTTTTATATCAATTTTTCTACGAAAAATATTTTGTTACTAAGTATTTTTTTTTTTTATTAAATTTTTGTGAATTTTCAGATGCCATTGCCTCGAGATAAAGTTCAATTGGATTATTCTCGTTGGCATCATAGTTTGATTGGTGTCTTGCATGTTGAAATGGCTTATCACAGCAAAATCACAATACGTAAGTATTTTTTTAAAAAAATACAAATATTTACACTGTTAAATTAAGATAAAATTATTTAATAAATAAGTATAATTTTTTTTTTTTTATAATTTTCAGCACCGAGAACAAAATTAACAATTGACGCTAGACTTGGATATAGAAATAAAGAAGATCCTGACGATGCTTGGAAAATGTATGCTTCTTCGGAATTTGAAAGAAATTTAGAATGCAGTATCAGTAATGTGAGTAATTAATTTTTTTTAATTTTTATTTAAGAAAATTACTGAAAAATATTATTTTTTAATTGAAAAATTAAATTCTTATTGATTTTAATGAAATTTTGATTCACTTTCAGAAAATGGATCAATATAATTACAATTGCAGTCTTGTTTCACTTTTTGAATTGGGTTCTCTTTTCCATGACTATTATTTGCTCAATATTCGTCTTCCAGCAGATAGTGATAAAAATATTAACCAGGAACTAGGCTACGTTACCGATTTATTACTTACTGTAAGTATTTTTATTTTTTAAATATAATTTACAAATATTTTTACTTGTATTTTTCCGTTTTGAAAAAATTATTTATTACAGACTATCAATCAAAATGGAGGATTTACAAAAGTTTGGGTTGGTCTGAAAACATTTTACTTTCCAATTGTTGTGTGCCTTCTTTTATGGTATTGGCGAAGAGTTAATATGCTTACTAGATCGCCTGCACTTTTGGAATATATGCTTCTAACCCTTGGAATATCCCTCACATTTTTAAATGGTAAATTATTTAATTTAAAATTTATTAAATATTTTTTTTTAATAATTTAGTAATACATTTTGTAAAATTATATTAATTTCCGTTAAATAATGAAAAAGGGAAACTTTTATTTATTTTTCAGCACCTTTGGAATATTTTACACTCGTTTTTGATATGCCGTTTATGTTACTTTTGGAAGATATTCGCCAGGGTATATTTTACGCGACTCTTCTCTCATTCTGGTTAATATTTGCGAGCGAACATCTTATGGTGAGTTTCAATAATAAAAAACCAATTGATTATTTATTAAATAATAATAAATTTTCTTTTTTCATGTCAACAATGAAACTACCAGATTCAAGTAAGTTAAATCCAATTTCCGTCTACTTTACAAATTTAAATAATATTTAATATAAAATTTCTATTTATTAGGAAGGTGATCAAAGAAGTTCTTTGAAATCCTATTGGCGTCATCTCTCCGCAGTTGGTATTGGATGTTTATCACTCTTATTTTTCGATATGTGTGAACGTGGTGTTCACATTAGAAATCCTTTCCATTCCATTTGGGTCACAACTGTTGGTGCACAAATAGCTGTATCCTTTTTAAAAATATTTAATTTTATTTTTAAAATATTTTTTATTATTACATTAAAAAATTTTTTCTTTCTAATTTAATTATTATCCTTAATGAAATTTACAGCTTGGCTTTATAATTCTAGCTGGTGTTTCAGCGGGAATTTATTTCTTATTTTTGTGTTATATAATATGGAAGGTTTTCACCAATATCAGTATTAAAAGAGCCACATTACCATCAATGAGTAGCGCTCGTCGTTTACATTATGAAGGTATTATTTATCGTTTCAAATTTCTTATGATCGCAACATTGCTCTGTGCATCTTTAACTATCACTGGATTTATTCTTGGAGAGGTAAATAAAAAATTTTTTATATTTAAATAAAAGAATTTGTGACGAAACATTTTTTATTTTATTTTTTATTTTTGCGTAAAGGTAGCAGAAGGACAATGGAAATGGGATCAAGATATTAAATTAGAAATGACTTCAGCATTCTTTACTGGCGTTTATGGAATGTGGAATATTTACATTATGGCACTCTTATGTCTTTATGCGCCTTCTCATAAACAATGGCCAATTGAACCTTCAGGTAAGAAAAATGATTAAATAAAATTTTCTATTAAAATAGATGAAATTTCAAACACGTCACTTTTGTGATTTGACTGTATTATATTATATCGTTTGTTTTCAATGAAAACAAATTGAAGAAAATTTAACTTATTTGATTTTCTATTTACAGAAAATAGTGCAAGCGAAGAAATTGAATTTTCACGATTGCAGTCAGAGCCAAATGAAATGTTGTCGCTGACAGCATTCGCTCGTAAAACAGCCGTAGAATAAACGGCAATTGACAAACAAAAAAAACGAAACGAAAAATTCATATATATTTTATACGGATCTTAAATTATGGTTATCGCTGACATTTTTTTTTTCTGGGGATAACTTGATAATAACTTTTTCGACAAAGTTATGATTTTAGACATTTTTACACAGATTTATAATTTATACACGTTTAATTTATTATTTTTTTTTTTAATTTATACATTTTCAATTGACTTTTTTAAATCTATATACACATTTTAAAACGTGAATTTATACAAAAATTTATATATTTTAAATTACAAGTATACAAAATTTTTGATATACATTTTGAAATTATACATTTCAAAATATAATTCTGTACATTATTAAATTTCTTTTTTTATTTATTTATTTTTCTAATTTTTTTTTACAATTTTTGTATATTTTATTTTTATTTAAAAAATATTTAATGGCACTAAAAATAGTTCAAACGACAATCAAAATGAAAAACAATGCTTGCACTTTTACAAATTTTATTAACAATATTTATGTGACAAGTAAATTTTTTAATTAATTTATTTCAGAAACAATTTAATATTAAATTGCAATATCAACGAAAGTAGAAAATCAAAAGAAAAATAGAAATTTTTAGATTAAGATTTAGATACTGAAGAAAGAAAACAACTGCTAGTATATACATATCAAATATTGGGCATTTAATATTGTGTTTTGAGAAAAGTTGCATTTATAAACAAAACGAATTATTTTGTAGGCACTAAACAGTATTCATTATTTGCTTAAGAAGTGCTGTGGTACGTTATATTAATCTTAGAGGTAATTGAATTTTTTTTTTTTTAATTATTTAAAGTAAACTTTACACCTACTTGGTCGTAAAAATTTTTTTATTTAATTTTTTTAAATGTTGTGTATGAAAATATCGAATTTAGAAAACGTGATTAAATAGATTTAAGGTGCAATAATCCCTCACGTGAATTTAAAGTCAGAATTCACTGATTTTGTTTTCTATTTACATTAAATTGTTTTGGCATTTTGAATTCTATTTTTTTAAATTAATATTGAGACTATAATTTATTAGAATAATTTTAATGTTTAAATTATAAAAATTGTTCAAGGAATTGAAAATTTAATGGAATTAATTAAATTGAATTTTACTTAAATTACTATAATTGTTCACATTATTATTAATATTATATTTATTGAATCAGTTAAATTCATCAATTAAATAAAAAAAAAAAATTAAAAATAATTGTGATTTAAAATTTTTGTAATCTTCATTAATGAATATCTGACTTTATTTGACGTTTACAATAATCTGCATGAATATGTAAAAGTATTAGCCGATAATAGATCGATCATATAAATATATAATCCGAATCAGTATTCAAATCATAATAGAATTTACAACTAAAGTCATTAGTATAGCAATGAAGAAGAAAAACGAAAATAACTTCAATATTATTCTTGCCTCAAGAAATTTTACTTTCTTAAAAAAAATTTTTTTTTTAAATTCCATTTCAAATTAATTTATATATTTTGTAAATTATAATTTATTTTTCTTATTTTTTTACTTAAGATTTTAATCTAGACAAGTGAAATGCATGAATGATGAAATTAAATTAATAGAAAATATAAAGTACATGTGCCATTTACAAACTTTATATTATTAACAATTAATTCAACTGTAATTCTTGTAAACTTTTGTACATTTTTTTACAATAAATTGATTTGTTATAAAACTTTATTTCAGACACTTTACAATGATTAGACGATAAACAGAAATGATGATTAAAAAACAATTGTTTAAAATTTATTATTTATTTATTTAGTAAGTATAAAGTAATTATTTTAATATTTTTATTTATTAAATAATAATAATAATATTTTAATAAATTAAATATTTATTAATAATTTTTTTAATTAGTTTAAAATTTGTGATTTTAATATTCAAGAAATTATTTACAAATGAAAAACGATTTTATTTTGTTTTAGTAATGTCAAAATAAAATTTGGAGACAGTTACACGTAAGGAATCATTTATAAAAAGTGCCCTAATTATTTTTATAATCATTTCTTTTTACAATTATAATTCAATACATTGATTTGAGCCTTAACTGCAAGAAAAAACTACAATTTTCACCTTAAAAAAGAATTTTTATTGCAGGTATGTTTTGATATTATAATATTTTAATTTATAAAATAATAATTAAATATTAAAAGTCATTCAAATTATTTTTAATATTTTTAACTATTAAATTAACTGAATAATGATTTTCTATTACTAATATATTTATTTTAATGTTTTTTTTTTTTAATTTAACATCAAATGTTATAAATAATTTAACTAATTGAATTGAAATTACATTTTAACTCATTTAAAAATTAATTATTAATCAATTATTCTATTTATTAATATTTATTTACATGCTAGAAATTTGAATTTTTCCGCGGCATATACTGATTGGTTGGCTAGATGTCAAAACAAACTTGACGCATGCGCATTATGTGAATTTGAATTTTCCCGCGTAGGGGATTTAAAGATGGCTTCCACAAGTTTTACCTTTCACTTTCACGGATTGGCTGGTTCTAATCTATCTCAACTTGCTATTGGTTGAAATTTAATAGCCTAACGACAATTCAAAAAAAAAACTAAACTCTGGCGCAGTACATAACGCCTGGAGAAACACACAACATAGGAGAACACACTCACACAAAGATAACACATATTGTGTCTACACATGCCCTTATGCGCATGTGAAGCCTTTGTCCGTATTTGTGATTGCTTTTCGCAGCAGAGTCGAGTAGTGTGTGCGCATTGCATTCACGGGATCAGTCTGGATTGTTTGGCAACGATTGCTCGATTAGCAACCTGGCAGAGTCTACAGTTGGCTAGTGCTGCTATCGAGATTTTAAAGTGCTTGTGACGGAGATTGTGTGATTTTTGGAAAATTGTGTAGTGTTAACGTTAAACAGTCCTCGGATTGACAGATCGCGACAAGTCCGCTGAACGGAAGTTTTCATTATCCGTATAACTAAAAGTGGATAGTGTTCGACATTCGCAAAATTTCGCATTATCAATCGGTAATTTCTCGCGTATCTAATTAATAAGTCATTTCGTGTTGACTCTGCGTTTTTCTTGAAATTAAAATTGTAGATGATCGTGTCGAGAGTGAGAAAAAATGATGATAATTTAGTATTGGTGTTTGTGAAGTGTTGGAACAAAGGGACGATTCGATTGTTTATCAGCGGACCACAAATCTTAGTACGGACATAAAAATCGGATCATTGACGAATCTCTTTTTCTCTCTCTTTCTCTCACTCTTAATTCGTAGACGGTTGATTGTCGCAACTGTTTGTTTGTTTCTTTTTTTCGGTGCTGCCATTGCTGCTAGAGACTGAAACCCCCTCATAAAGTGCATTTCAAGTAAGAAAGACAATTGGATTGGAGTTGTGCAGTGTCGTGCCTGCGAGGCCCTTACATGAGAATCGGCTCAGCTGATTCATAGACTGCGCCATCACGGGCTCTCCGCAGCTTTTCCAATAATCAACAATAAAAATGTCGTCTCCAAGTGCTGGCAAGCGACGTATGGACACGGACGTTATCAAACTGTATCCTTGACTCTTTCTCTCTTTCTCTAACCTCCCACTCTTTTGCTTCTTTCTCCCTGTCTCTCTCTCTCTCTCTCTCTCAGCTTTGCATCTGTCTTTCTCTTGTACTGTTTCTCTCTTTCTTTCTCTCCCTCTCTAATTCTCTCAATTTTTCTCGTTATTTTGATGTTTCTTTTTCTATTACATATATATATATATAAAAGGTTTGTATTAAAATTATCTAAATTTTAACTTTTGAAAGTGGACAATGATAGTTTCTTTTATGATAGAAAGTAAATATACTTGAATAAAGAATTTAACAATGGGATTTTATTTTTGTGGAGGGGCATTTAACCTCGTGCTACGCCGATGACAAGCACAGCTGTTTTTAACCAGCTGATTGTGTATAGTGTTTTGTATATATGCGCAGATTTTCATATTATTGTGTATAAAAATGTCAAAAAAAAAAAAAAAAAAATCAGGTGTATTTCATGAACAATATATTGTCCCTGTTGCTAACGGGAAATGGAGTGCCAATTTTGGAATCACTTTGAATTGAGAATTAAACCCTTTGTGTATATATTTATGATTATTTTGCATTATTGATGTTAAAAAAATGACATTTCTGTCAAAAATTTGTCAGCGCGTATCCCTTGATTATATAATTCATTTTATTGTTATTTGTAAATTGTTAATTAATACAAATTCTTAATTTTAGTAAATCAAAATTCGAAATGTAAATTTTAATTTAAAAAATTAGGTTAACATTATCATTAACATAACCTAAAAATTAAATGCGGTAAAATGACAGTACAGGATTATTGTTCATATGAAAATTTTCATAAATACTGAATAAATGATATTAATAGTTATTCGTATAAAATAATTAAAATGATTCAAAGAAAGTGGAAATGTGAAAAGAGTACGAAAATTTAATTAAATCCTCTGAACTTTACGCGTGTAATTGTAAAATACAAAAGCACATTATCTCTATTCTGAGTGAGTGTAAATCAGATTAAACTAAGAAATCCTATTACACTTTTCATCTCTCTTTTGAAGTTAAAATCAATAATAGAACTCTCGTCAGAGTTGTATAAAAAAAAGAAGTCGAGATTTCAGAAAATTTGATAAAGTTTTTGATTTCCTTTGACATGCGTCATTGACATAACAATTAATAGTGTTACATACATTTTTATTTTCCATTTTGATCTGCAACGCGACCTTGGTCGAAAAGGAAACTTACGGATGACTTAATATTAATTGCATGTGCTTACACGCACGCTAAAATCTATTCGCTTTCGAAAGAATACGTCACAGACGAACGTTTCACATAATCATTTGTGCTCTATCGCTCATCGTTTTTTTTTCTTTTTATTATAAAAACGCGTATAATTTATTTATACATAGGGGGAAAAATTTAATTAGAAAAAATGAAATAATTTTTTATTTATTTAATATTCTAGAATGAGCTTCAAGTTTCTTTTTATAGCTTATTTTCGTGAATATTAGAATGATTTTCTTTCACTGGAACCAATCTTCGCTTTACACTATGTAATTAGGGTTTCTTTCTTTTTTTTATATCGTGCCAAATTCTAATTTCAATATGAAATTATAAAGCTTTCTCTAATTGAGGTTAAAATACATATATAATACAAAAACGTGCGTGATTGTCGAAACTCGAAAGATTTCATCATTCTTTTTTTTCAAAGCTCTTTATTGATTTTTATATAACTTTTGAAGATCAAGATCGTATTTCTCTTTTAGTTATTCTATTTTATTTAAATTAAATATAATATTAAATCTATTATAAATAGAAAATTATTAATAATATAATATTAAATTCTAATTATAATTATTTTGTGAGAATAATTTTTTTTGGAAACTAAAATATTTGTATATAAATTGAATATTTTTTTAAATATCAAAAATATTTTTTGCATTTATAGTGAATTATTGAGAAAATAAATAGTTTGGCATAATATATATTGGAAAAATGATGATGCAACTGCATTTTTCCCTTTGTCCCATTCGTTTTCCTAAAGGATCGTGTGTATTAGATTGAGGTTCTTTGTTATAGGAAAGTAGCGATTTTCAGAAGGAAGGTAGAAACTTATATATTACAACAGGCTCTAAAACGGCGGGCATTGAACTAGAACACTCTTTATTGTATTAAGTTTATTAGTGTGTGTATATGTACATGCGCGCGCAAATGCGTGATTATTAAGAATTTCCATCTCTTTGAAATCATAACAATGATTTATTTTCAAAAAAAAATCTATTTCCAAATGTCACTCTCTTTTTTTTTAGAAAATTTTTATTCAAATCTTTAAAATCTACAATTCTATATTAAATTTAATTACTAAAATTTGAGCTATTTAAATTTTTTTTAAACGAAATAATTCTTTGAACTATAAAAATAGAAAAAACAGTTTTTTTTATATAAATTATTTCCGTATTGTAATTAATATAAATTCATGTTTGAAATACAAAAAATAAATTTCGTTTTATATTTGATCAAAACTTTTGTATATATAAATAATTCGGAGTGAATTTTTTTTTTTGGATGGAAAAAAAATATACATATATTAAAATTTGAAAGTCAATTTTATTGTGACTTGAGTTTCGTAAATGAACGCTCTTGAACGAAAATAGACCGTGGCATTATTTCTAATGGATCTCACTCGCTTCTTGTTCTCTTTTTATTTGATAGTGTCTCTAATTGGCATCGTCATTTTAACACATCCCTATAATTTGGATCTTCTTATCATATATATATATATATGAATATATTTCAATAAATATTTTCTATATACGCGAAACAAAAATTTTTTCTATAATTTTATTTTCTTCTCTTTCTTTTCTAACGAAAATTCTATATTAGTTTCAATAGGAAAATAATATTTTTATCTATTTAAATAAAAAATAGACAAAAAAAAATTTTTTTTTAGGAAAATTTGATTTTCTCAAAGCCACGTGTGTCTTTTAAATATAAAAGAACTAATTTCTATAATCTTTTGGCTGAATGCCCGTTCATTTATTTTTCACTAATTCTAACCAGATGTTGATGAGTTTTAGTCAGGAAATGATGCTTTTTGATGACGTTATAAAAAGTATATTGTCGGTTAATCGTCATTTTCTACAAATAGGAATTTGCCAAAATATTTTTGATTTTCACAACGAATGAAACAGTTTTGTGTAAAATAATTTTCTATTTTTATTTTAATCGTATTTTGATTGGAAAAAAATTAATAAAAAAAATTTTATTCTAATGAAAAATTATGACAGAAATTTTTTTATAGTAAAAAAAAAAAAAAAAATTGTAAAAAGTTTCAAGAAATGCATTTAGGATTTTGACATATTATTCTATATTTAACTTTTGTCGAGTGATTAATTTGTTTTTCTTTCTTTCTTTCTTTTGCTTAAATTTAGAAACGTATGTGTGGGGAAAAGTATGAAAGTTAAATAATATAATAATAAAAAAAAAGTAACACTTTCAACTCTCATTGTAATTTTATATACTTTTTCAATCGTTTTAGAAATCAACAATAATTATTTTAGTGAATGGTAGAAATAATTATTGATTTCTGAGATTTGATAAAAATAAATTTTTTTTCGAATAGAAAGGGAATTTTTTTTCATTTTAGTCATGATTTTATTTTTTCGTTAAACATGTTATTTTTCAATTTCTAATATTACTATCTCTATTTTACTTTCTATCATATATATATGTGCTATCGTATCATGTTTTCCTATAGTTGCTTAATCCTTTAATTATTGCTTTTCTATTACTTTCAGCAATTATTAAATTATTGTTATTAATTATATATATATATATTTTATAGACACCCACTATTTTATTCCTTAACTTATTTTTAAAAAAAAAACAGAATAGAAAGCAAACACGAAGTGACAATTTTAGGTGGACTCAACGAATTTTCCGTCAAATTTTACGGACCTCGAGGGAGTGAGTATTTACATATATATATTTTTTAATAATAATAATAATTAATTTTTTTTTTATTTGATTTAACAGGCTAAAAGCCCTTACAAAATACAAAATTAAAAAAAAATAATAATAATAATAATTTCAAAAGATAGTGGATTTAATTAATTAAAATAAATATTAATTTTAATTGTTGCTATAATTAATGTTGCAATTGCAATTAAGAAACTAATTAAAAGTTTATATGTAATATTTATTTTATAATTAATGATTTAACAAATTATTGCTTCAATCGTAAAAAAAAAGATTTATATTTTGATGATGTTTAAGTGTGCCAAACCCCTTTTTTCGACGGAAGTGGCAAATTATGCAATGGTGTGTTTGTTTTCCTGTTGTCGATTTTTAAATAATAAAATTATAATTTAAATAATATTTTAATAATTATTATTTTGAATAATTTTTATTGTTATTAAAAAGCAATTTCTAATTTTATTTGAAAATAGAAGAAAAAAAAATAGTAAAATTAAATAAACTATAAATAATTAATTATTTATTATAATATTATTTTTATTTATTATATTATTTATAATTATTATTTTCTCTGAATAATTTTTATTGTTATTAAAAAGCAATTTCTAATTTTATTTGAAAATAGAAAAAAAAGAGAAATTAAATAAACTATAAATAATTAATTATTTGCAACAATTTATTGAAAATAGAAAATGTTTTTAAAAAATAATTTTTTGGATTTTTTTTTATGTAATAATTATAGTTTTTATTAGAAACAAATTCTTCATTGATTGAAAGAAACTTTTTTTTTCTGGGTGTGCCAGTGAGAATAATAAATAGTACATTTATTTTTCCATTCGAAAATCTTTCTCGCACTTTCTCTTAATAGATATTCCATAACAGCTTCCATATTAGTTCACTATGATAAATTTTATTAGACCTATTTAAGCATTCTCTTTCTTTTTTTTAAAATTAAATTCACATTTACTAAATTTGGTGAATTTTAATTTTTATAATTTTATTAAAAATATTTACAAAATCGAGATTAGAGGAAAAAAATTTTTTTTTTATTTTTCAATTCATAGATGAAGACAAAATAATGAGAATTTAATTAGCATATAAGGTACTGTGAATCGAGAAAATATGTATTTACATATGTATAATGATTCAAGATATCCTCAAATGGTACATGCCCTTGTAAATTCACACCTCTGCGTTCATAATCAACAAAATGAGAACAAAGAACAATTATTATCGCTTAGAGATAGTTTTGTTACTTTCATGGAATTTTGCATTAAATTTATGCTAAATAATACAGTCTAAACGATAAAATAAAATTTTTTTTTTATCGTCATTTTTATTTTCATTTAAATTTAATTTTAAATTAATTAATCGTAAAAAACGGGTTTTATTGCACTGAAAAAAAAATTTATTTTGATTCAAATAATAATCGGTTATAATCGATTAAAAAAAATATTTCTTTGAATCGAATAATTTTTATTTGAGTCAATTAAATTTTATTTATTTTAAATATACATAAATTTTGTTGGTTTTAATGCAGTTTTTTTTTTAATTCAAATAAAAATTTATTTGATACAATTAAAAATGTATTTAATACAATTAAAAATTTATTTGATGCAATTAAAAATTTATTTGCAATTAAAAATTATTTGATTAAAATAAATTTTTATTCTCCCTACTAAAAAAATTTATTTGATTCAAAAATTTTTTGGTACGATTACAGTTTTATTAAATTGAAAAAAAAAATTTATTTTGATTGAAATAATAATCGGTTATACTCGATTAAAAAAAATATTTCTTTGAATCGAATAATTTTTATTTGAGTCAATTAAATTTTATTTATTAAATAAATAATTTATTTTTAAATATACATAAATTTTGTTGGTTTTAATGCATTTTTTTTGAATTCAAATAAAAATTTATTTGATTCAAAAATTTTTTGGTACGATTACAGTTTTATTAAATTGAAAAAAAAAAATTATTTTGATTCAAATAATAATCGGTTACTCGATTAAAAAAAAAAATATTTTTTTGAATTGAATAATTTTTATTTGAATCAATTAAATTTTATTTATTTTTAATATGTGACGCTCCACGAGAAAAGGGACCTAACGTGCTTTTGACTTAAGGTTCGCTTTTACCGTGCAATGACACAGTGAATGAACCTTAAGTCAAAAGCACGTTAGGTCCCTTTTCTCGTGGAGCGTCACATATACATAAATTTTGTTGGTTTTAATGTAGTTTTTTTTTAATTCAATTAAAAATTTATTTGATGCAATTAAAAATTTATTTGATACAATTAAAAATGTATTTAATACAATTAAAAATTTATTTGATGCAATTAAAAATTTATTTGCAATTAAAAATTATTCGATTAAAATAAATTTTATTCTCCCTATACTAAAAAAATTTATTTAATTCAAAAATTTTTTTGGTACGATTACAGTTTTATTAAATTGAAAAAAAAATTATTTGATATAATAGACAGGTACAAGATTATTTTAATGAAATATTTATTTATTTATTTTTTTTTTGCAGTGTATTAGCATAATTTATTTTGTAAAACGAGGATCATGGACAGAGATTGTGCGCGCAAGTGAACTGTATCATGAGCACAAAGGAAGCCTGGTTCCTATGGTTGCTATGGTTCACACACAGAATCTAGTTTCCGCGTTTGCACATGCAGATGCAGTTGCAGGGTTCGATAGAAGTGCAGCTCGGGTCCGACACCGCGCGCTTGCCCTAGTGACCCAGTTTTCCTGGGTTTCGCATGCGTACAACTAACGCAGTCCTGTTCCTCGTCCTTTATATATATACACATATATATACATATTTATCATCGCAAAATAATTATCACTAAAGATGCGCTAATCTCCTCTCGTGAGTTAAGAGTGGAAAAATTAACTCCAAAAACAAAAAGGGAGAGGAAACTAAAAAAAATACATGTCATGAGCTTCATTGAATTTTACGCGTTTCGACAAGTTACGAACGTTTTTACGCAATTATACTGAATCCAGAGAATGCGTAATTTCCGCCACTATTGTCAAGATAAATGCCTGGCGATGTAAACGACACTTTACAGAAAAAGAGAGAGAGAGAGAAAAAAACTATGTTTCAAAGTAATTTCAAAGAAAAGAATCAACAAAAAATTCCCATAGAAATTTTTTTTTTATTTTTGTATTTTTTATTTTTAAATTTATATTTTTTTAATATTTTTTTTATTTATTTTTTATTCGTATTTTATTATCCATAATTATTAGTATTTTATAATAATTAAAAACTATTAATAAAAATATTTATATAAGGTCAAAAATTAATTAATAATAAATTGAACTATTATCGCAAGAATAGAAAAAATTTAAATACAATGAAAAAATTTATTTTTGAAAGAATTTTCAATTTTACATAATGCCATAGTATTTTAAAAAAGTCCCAAAAATAATAATGAATATGTAATTAATTTAATGTCAGTCAAATGTTATTTTAATTAAATCCACGCTCTGTTTCAGTTTATTTATTTAAAATTTTTTTTATTACTATCTGGCTTGAAAAATCAAATTCTTATAAATTTATATTAATAAATAATTATTAATAAAGAGAAATCAATAATTGTTAAAAAAGAAAAATTAATAATTAAACATATTGATAATTGATTAGTAAATTAAAATTTTCATAATCTTGTATTTTGTAAAATATATAACTTTCTGTATATTAATATTTTTAAAAAAGTTGAAAGTGCGAACTAGAACATTCACTGAATATGTAATTTAAATCAATTTTTGATTAGCGTTAAATACGTGTTAATCAGAACGGGGAAATTTATTCTGAAACGAGAGCTGTTAGTATAGAAAAAATTATTTTTTAAAAACTTTTTTTTAAAAAACTTTTTTTAAAAATCATATATTTTATAAAAATTAAATAACAAAACGATATATTTAATTTAATAAGAATTAATAAATTAAAAAAAAAATTAGAATTAAAAAAAAGTTGTAATTAAATAGCAGTTAATTGGAAATGACATTAAATTAAAAACTAAATTTTTTTTTTTAAACATAAAGTAAAATTTTTTTTTCCTTTTTATTTGGAAAATTTTAGTTTTAAAATTTGAAAAAAATTAAACATGGATTACTTTTCTTAGATACATTTATTGAAAACTCTGTTACCAGGATTTCCACTTACTTCAATTTACTTTATTCTAAGCACTATATATATATATGTATAGTACTTTCACCAGAAATTATCGCGATTCCTTTTTTCATATAATACAAAGTAAAAAATTTAATCAATAAAATTGAGACAATACAATTTTTATATAGGGTGATTTTTATGTTCCGGACCCCCTAAATTATTTTTTTAATAATTTTTTTTTTTTTTGTTTAAAAAATGAAAAAAATGAGAAAAAATTTTTTTAGCGGGTCCGGAACATAAAAATGTTATAATATTAATTAACAGTCATACATAATAATATCAATTAATTTTTAGTTTTTTTTTTTATTTTTTATTGTTTATTCACATAAAAGCATTGTTTTCTTTAGGGCTAATCTTGAGTCTCACTGACAAATCGAAATCGTCCCACTTTCTTTGCATATAAACGTTAGATAGGTCTCATAGCTAAGAAGATATTCCGTTATTAGGGGTCATCAAATGTATGTCAAGGGAATGTAAGGGATCACATAAATTTTCTATCAGTTCAATAATAATTTCCAAGTCTTATTTTCATTTCAAAAATTGTATTTGAAAAAAAAAAATCATTATCATTAATTTTTAATTTCGTAATTTATTAATTTTTATTAATTTAATAATTAATAGAAAATTGGTATTTATTTATTAGAAAATAAAATTTATTTATAATTAAAAATAATATGAATTATATTTTTATTGGACGTTTTGTATTAATCTATATATATATATTGTTCTGGCTTAGTTAATTACGTGATTAGTTGCGTTTATTTGGTTTACTTACCAAAGTCGTAAGTAATAAAGAGAAAATTAATTTGACCTCTGAATACAAATGTGGCTTTCTATTTATTTACTGTTATCTCATGATTATGATGTTATTTTTCCATTCGAAACTTTCAGTAGATGACCCAAGGTTAGATTTGTCTTCGATTTTGTCATATGAATGGGAAGAAATGCATTACTTTGATTTTTTTTTAATACAAGCTCACTGCTTTAAAAAAAAAAAAAATAATAATTAAAAAAATTTATTTTTCTAAATAAATTAGAAAAATTTTGCAACCTTTGAAAAAAATAGTTTTTAGATTTTCAAGTTCAAAATACGATTAAATAAAAAAATTATATAATTTAAATGATCTAATAAAAAAAAAATATATGGTCAAGAAAATATATCGGAATCTTCATGGCCAAGTGTTATATTATGGATTCTTGTGAGCACATTGCACGTGTATGTGTATATATATATAAACAATATCGCACATATCATTTTTACTTTAAATGACACTGAATCAGTCATAAAAATTAGATTCTAGAATTACGTGAGTTAATTTTTTTTTTTAATTTAATTCTTACAAAATATTTTTTATAATACTTTTTAATCTAGACATTAAAGTTTATAGACTTTTGCACGTTTCTCGCAGAATAAAAAATATTTTTTTTACTTTCATTTTCTAAAAATTTGCAAATTAAAAAAAAATTAATAATTAAAAAAAATTAATTAAAATAATTAAAACGAAAAAAAAACAATGTTCTGTGAATCATGAAAAAGATCACTTTTATAAAACTCATATTCATTGCCTCATTTGATTAATAAGTTTGTGTTTGTGTCATTGTTAAACATACGTCGCAGAAAACCTTGCATAGAATGCTTACTACTTTTGCAATTATTATTGTTATTATTATTATTATTATTATTATTATTTAAAACCGGCATACATTTTAAAATGTCATTTGTGAAATTAAATTTAATAGCGTTTTTATACTATTTAATTAGATTAATTAATTTAATTTTTAATTTTATTAATTATAATAATTAATAATAAATAATAAATTAAAAATTAAATTTTTTTTAAATTAATAATTAATTATAATAATTAATTAATTAATTATTAATAATTTATATTATTTTTATTATCAACACTTCAATCTGAATTTGTTTTTTTTTTTTTTCATTTTCTTCATTGGTCTTTGATATTTTCGCTTCATTTGGAAAGCCAAACGTTTCTTTTTATAAAAATTCTTTTCAATGTAATGCAAGTTTTAATATTTTATATACTAAAATCCTATACAATTTTGTGAATAGATAAATGTAGGATTCACTCTTTTGTAAATAAATATGTGACCTACTTTTTAGTACACAAAATTTATTAACATTTGAAATGAATCGAAATATATGTTTATATATCTTTTTTTTTGCATATATATTTATATACAAAAAAATGTTTTGAAAATAGGATAAATTTTATATAAAAAATGTTTTAAAAATAGGTTAAATTTTATATTAAAAATAAAATGAGGAATATAATTTGTCTTAAATGAAAAAGTTGGAAAAAAAAATAATTTGGTCTTTATACAAAATACTCATTGATAATAATTGTTAATTGATTGCGAATAATTGTCATGTACGTAAGAGAAATTTTTCTTACATGATTCCTTTATTAATTGTGTGGGTGTTTTATCATCTACTGAATCCAGTTTGATGATTCAATATGTTGCCTTAGAAGCTGTATTAGGTGACAAGTAATATGTCTCACTTTGATTAAATTACTGCAAGGTTACATATTTATTTTTTTTTTTTATTTAATTGTCTTCAAGTTACATTTTTCTCCTTCCGCAGTTTTTTGTTTCATTCTCATCTTCAAAACGCAATTAATTTTTTTTTTTTATTCAAAATTTATTTTTTTAAATAATGACATTTAAATTAAGTTTTTTTTAATAAAAAAAACATTTTACATTTTAAAAAAAACATTTTAAAATAATTTTTAAAAATATTTTATTATAATTATTTTGGATTTTAACGATTTTTTTTTAATTTCAGCGCCATATGAAGGAGGAATATGGAAAGTGCGGGTTCATTTACCAGAACATTACCCCTTCAAATCTCCTTCGATCGGTTTTATGAACAAGGTTTACCACCCTAACATTGATGAAGTATCGGGTACCGTCTGTCTCGACGTTATCAATCAAGCGTGGACAGCCTTGTATGGTAAAAAATCTATTTTTATTTTCGTAAATGTAAAACTTGATATAAAAATCAAAAAAGAAAAAAATAATGAAAAAATTCAAAAATTAAATATTTTCTTTATTTCAGATCTCTCAAATATTTTCGAGTCCTTTCTACCACAGCTGTTAACATATCCTAATCCAATTGATCCCTTAAATGGCGATGCAGCTGCAATGTACCTTCACAAGCCAGAGGAGTACAAGAAAAAAGTCGCAGGTACTTTAAAGAAATTTTTCTATTTTTTTTAAATAAATATTTTTTTTCTCGTAAATTAATTATTTTTTTTTTGGTGGATTTTAGATTATGTAAGGAAATACGCGACAGAAGAGGCACTTAGGGACCAGGAAAATGGTACGGGGAATGGAATGTCATCGGACAGTGAGTCTTCAATGAGCGACTTCAGCGAGGACGAGACGCGAGATATGGAGTTGTAACCAAATATTTTACCATCCATACCCATACCCTTAATCACGATTCCTTGTAATCTCCGATCGCTCGTCTTATCAAATAGATGCTTACACCTAAATTTCTTCGACCTTCGATCGATATCAACCTCAGACTTTTGAGAGGCTTACAAAATATTGATGGCGATCGGTTTGTAGTGTAACAATGAACACATTATACCCGGAGTTGATTTCTTTTCAGTGTCAAAAAAAAAACAGAATCTAGCTAACAAGATGCCAATAGTTACGAATTTTATCTCTCTGATCGAGTCGAGTTTCATTTTTCGTTTCGTTAAACAATCGCCAACAATAAACGCGTATTTTGTCCCACTTAAAGAAAAATTTATTTTAAATTAATCACCTTTTTCTATTTAATTTTCGTGAAAAAAAAATTTATTTGGAACCGCGATTAAATTTTTGCTAATTTGTTTTCCTTTTTTTCCCACATTACGTATCCTTTTTGCATCTTTTCGTAACAGGCGACAACATCACGAGAGGGAGATGACGAGCTCAAGTGATGGGAAATCAGATGAAAAAATAAAACGTAAACGTCAACGAAGCATTGATGGTGATTCAAATCAGCCATTATTGAAATTTGCTCGCTCAACGAGCTATCAAGAAACAAGAACGTTAACGGAGACACTCAATATCTGCATTTCCTCGGCATCAAGTTTGCAAATTGGAGCACCTGGTGATACACATCGAGTAGAAACCTGGAACTGTCGCAACGACCAAGTCCTGGGAGCACAACAGTACACAAGACTCTAGTTTGGCTCAATAGACTCCGAATTTACTAGAGGAACCGCAAAACAAAACAAAACAAAAATACAAAAAACAGAATCTCAAATTATCGGAACAAAGCAACGCTCGATTATTTTAAATGGGCTAAAATTTTTATTTTTTGCTAACCCCTAGAAAAGAACCCAAGGGGTTGCGTATCTTTCATAAATATTCGCGATTTATATTTTTCAATTCGCGAAATTTACCACTTTTCGAATTTATCTTTTTTTTTTAGTTTTGCGAATTTTTATCGAGTGTTTTAATATCGACGAAATAGAGAAGTGAAACAGAAGAAACGAAATAGAGAGAATAACGTTAAAAATGAAAACAGAATTAGAAAAGAAACAACAATGGGGTAAAGAAAATTAGAAAAAGAAATCTAATATTTTTTCTAAAAAAAAAAAAAAATTCCTTTTTTTTAAATATGCTCTTAAGATTTATTGTTTTTTTAAAAAAAAAGAAAGTCTGTTTTAATTAAAAACTCGATAGTTTTTGAAAAATGTTTTCTTTTTCGAGTTTTTTTTTTTTTTTAAATAACGGTCTATTACTGTTACCGTTGGACAATAATTTTTATATTTTAATTAAATTGCAAATAATAATTATAAAGAAGGAAAAAAAAAAGAACACAGAGCGAGCACAAGGTTTCTCCAGATCGGAATAATTGAATTCGTGGTCTCAGATCTCACGCATTAAGATTTATAAATATATATTTAGCACTATTAGTATATTATACATATTAATGATCTATATGCTTACGATTAGCGAGTACGTTACTTTATTAATAGGATAACATCTAACATCCAGAATTTGTAGATTTATTAACATTTTCTCAACAAACAAACAAAAAAATGTCTTTTTAAAGACTTAAAATATTTTCTTTTTTTCGAAAAGGGAAAAAAAAATTATAATTTTTTTTAAAAATGAATTTTTTCAGTGTTATTATTTTTCTATTTTAAGAAATCCTAAATTTTTGAAGGATACGTAACTAAAAGGGTGTCGTGAGAATTTTTTTTTTTTTCGCCTGGAAAATTTCTGAATTGCTTGATTTTCTTGAAATATTTGTGACAAATTTTCCAAGCGTAATATATTTTTTTTTTGCTCGATAAAGGCGCGTGTCAAAAATGAAAGAAAATTGTCTATTCAACACATGCATGTAAACTGCCATTGATTCACACGGACATGCATATATTCTATCATTGTAATAGTTCGTTGTGGTTGTTCGGGTTAAGTAATTTAGTAGAAAGCGATTAGAGTTCGATAATTAATAAGCACAAGATTATTTATTAATTGGAAAAGTATTTTTATTTGAAGAAATAAATATTATAAAAAACAATTTTTTAAAACAATATTGAAATGTGAAGAAAAAAATACTCTTTTAAAAAAAAAAAAAAAAAATTTCTGTTTAACAAAATCTTGTAAAATAATTTTCGAACTCATAAAAAGCTTAACGAAACGAGGAGAAAAGTTTTTTTACACTCATCTCGTCGTTTTGTGCTTGTTGATATTCGATAGATTCTTGCTAGGCTTCGTCTTGGAAGATAAATGGTTGCCTCTGTGTCTTGTGATTAAAAAATTACGTCGAACTGTATTGCTTCAAGTTATCAGAGGGCGAACACATACGGATTTATGATTAGACCTTCTACATTTTACTGATAAGTGAATTTTCAAGCAAAAAAGCAAGACTTTTCGTAAATTATTATTATTATTATTATTATTATTACTATAATTATTATTATCATCATTATTATTAATGTAAAATTTAAAAATCAAATTCGAATAATTATTTTTAAATTTCGTTGGCAAAATCAATTTTTTTCAAAAAAGAAAAAAGGAAACTTGTTTTTGTTTATTGAAAACGAACTCATTCAACGACAGTTTCAGAAAAAAGTTGATTTTTAATTTTCAAAAATTATTGAAAAATATTCCTGACAAGATTTTATTTTTAATAAATCAATTTTATATGAAATTTAATTTAATTGTGAAATTTAAATTTTATTATTAATTTATTAAAATTGTTAGAATTATTGCAAAAGACAAAATTATTGAAATATTTTCAACTTTTGATAGAGACTGTCGCGAGTGACGTTAATAATTTGCAATTCTTACGAAATTCTGGTAATTTAAATGAATAATACTGCGAGAATTCGAATACTGTGTGTCAAATATTGTAAAAGTTGAAAACTTTTTCGATTGTATTAATTTTAAGAATTTTTGTTACAATGCAAAAAAAAAAACAAAAAAAAAAAATTTAATTGTGATATATGACAATTTTTAGTGAGCGGAATTTCTACTCATTTTCTTCTCGAAAAATTTTTTGCAAAAGTGAGAAAGAGAGCGAGAGAGAAGAAACAGAAAAGTACATAAATTCTTTTCACCAATTTTTTTTTTTTTTTCAAAAATAGAGAGAAATATTGACAAATTTATTTTTTTTTGCATTTTTAAAATTTAAATACAACAAATTTTCATATAATTTCAAATGGAAAATAAATGTAATCAGATTTGAAAAAAAAAAAATAAATTTGACAATATTCTTTTTCGAAAACAAAAAAAAAAGAAAATGGTTGCTTTGAAAATTCAAACTCAAATAAATAATAATTAATAACAAGAAATCACGTACCAAAGATAATCTCGACAAAGTGTTTAATATGGTGCTTTTTAATTGGAAGAAAGATCACAAATAATTATAAATATACTCGAGAATATGACTTTCCTATTTGTTGTAAACTTTAGTCGAGAGAATTTAGTGGCACACGTGATTTAGAAAGTGGTATTAAAAAAAAAAAGAAAAAAAAAATAATGAAAATGTAGTGAAATATATTTTTGTATTTTGAGTGGATTTTTTTTTGTATAATACAATTTTATTATCGATCACTTGCGCAGCTGCGTTTTTTCGTTTTAGATTTTTTTCTGTTTATCGAAATTATTGTCCATCGCCCTCGCTATTGTCACACGAATAATGCATTGCCGTTCTAATTTAAGAAAAACAAGATATCAATATTATTATTAAAAAATGAAAAGAGAGAAACTTTCCATATTCTTGACAGAAGTAGTTATCGAAAGATCGTTTAATTCTAAGATAGATTTCAACTTTTTGTAAGCATCGCTTACTGAAAATCTAATTTTCAATTTTCGCTTTCTTTAACTGGATCGAAATTTCGTTTATTAAATGCAAAAAAATTCATGTTATCGTTAGAATACGAAAATTCCGTTATTATTAATTAGGAAAAAAAAAATTTTGTTATCAATTTGTTTTAAAAACAAATTCTGTTAAATTTTTCGCTTGTAGAAAAACAAAATTTTGTTAATTGTGTTAAATTTAATTACTATTTGTTGATGAAAAAAAAAAAATTTGTTAAATTTAAATAAATTAAAGATTGTCATTTTCTATAATTCGAAATTTCGATTCAAAATAGAAGCAGCAGCTGAATTAGGAGTTATTTTTTTTTCTTTATAAAATATCTTAAACGTGTAGTTGTCTTTTCTAATTCCACGTATCACTTTTAAGACTTCTAGAGTCTCTTTATAGCTCCTGAAAAAAGATAAAAAAAAAAAGAAAAAAAGAGTAGCACTCGATGGCTACGAATTAAAATATTTTCAAAGAATACAACTTTTATTGCGAAATATGAAAAAAAATTACGGGGCGTTTTTGTAAAATATTTGCTGATTTTTAAATGAAATTAATGAAGTCGACGAAAAATAAAATTGTATTTTTAATTATCGATAATCAAAATATAAATTTAAACAGCAAAAAAAATTTCAGAAAAGAAAGATACAAAAACTATTTTTTTAATAAAAAAAAAAGAAAAAAGAGAACTATTAATTAATTATTTAAATAATTAATTAAAAAAAAAAATTTATTACATTAAAATTCTTAACAAAAAAAAAAATTAATTAATTTTAATTAGAAACTTATTGCAAAAACGCCTTGTAGAAAAATGTGACGTAGGGATGAAATAAAATTCCCAACGAAAATAAAAAATTTTCCGTTGAAAAAATAAACCGATAAAACGACAACAGCTGCAAAAGAATGTTTCACATACATTGTTACAAAGCGTCTCAACAACAATGAAATAACTACAAAATATTTATTATAAATTAAGTTTAACAAATATATAAATTATAAATATATTATATTAAACTAAATATAAGTGAACAAGATGCAATTTTTTGGTACAATAAGATAAAAAAGAATCAAGATGGTGTTTTTCATTCACAATCCACATTCTTTTTTAAATAATATATTTTCTTCGTTTAGAATATTATCAAATTTTCGAAATTTAATAATTATAGTAAACTAGATGTTCAAGAAATTTGAATTTTGCGCAATTTTACGAATTTTGAATTTCCCGCCTTTTTCAACCAATAGTCTTTAAATTCAAATTTTTGGGGAGAAATCGGTAAAATTAATTATTTACATAATACAATTCTTATTATTTATTAAAGAATTTATAAAGTAAAAACAAAAACTTAAATATAATACGTTAGAAAAAAAAAATTAAACTAATAATTATGTGAAATAAAATTTTGACACAAATTTTTTTTTGATACGCCCCTGCAAGAACCGGAACCGATGAAAATAGGTCGCCATATTGGTTCCAGAAGCGGAAACGGAACCGGTACAATGTTTTTGGTTCTTGTGTTGTCAACGATAAAACTTTCGCGGCTCTAACAAGTCAAAACATTTGCCACTCGTGATCTTCTGGAACACTGATTGTCCTGTGTACTCACAACACAACTCTATCTCTCTCTGTCTACCACATGTGTTATCCAGTTGGAGCGATTCCAGCTCCAGTTTTGTCTGAACCTCCGTAGAGAGAACATCGCTTGCGCTTTGTGTTATATTTTTAATCCGCCCGTGACTAAAACAATTCTCTAAACTAAAGCATAACTGAAATAATCAATTTAAAATCAGAAGAGATATTTAATTTTCCATAATATTATTAATAATTGGCGATATTTCTTTGTTATTGATAAGTGCGCGGTTAATTAAAGTAAAACGGTTGCAAGTTACACGTATTTTTGACTTTTATGAATCCTATTAAAAACTAGCAGTGACTGGTGATCAAGCAGTAAATGTGAAGTGAACCTCGTGGCACCTTCTCCTTTCGTTTTGTGTGATAGCCTTCACCCTTTTGTTTTTCTTTGAGATGTACTATTTTATTGAAGATATTTTTGAACATAAAAACAGATGAAATAGTTGGTGGGAAATTGGAGGTTGAAGGAAACCGGGATATCATCTCCGCGCGATTAATTTTCGACTTTTCAAGCGACTTGAAGTTCGCTGGAGGAGTCAATTCTGCGCGGTAAGGAAATGAGTAAACACGTTTTTTTAATTCCTTATTATTATTATTGTGATAGATACGAGTGTACAAAGTACGAGTTTTTCCCAATCATTTCCATGTTATTACAATTTAACAGCTGTGTCAATTATTTTTATTTATTTATTTACCGTTTTTCACAAATTTTCTTTTTATCTTTTATATGTTTTATCATCACCATATAGTCTTTTCAATCGATTTTTAGATAATTCTAACGATTTTAACTGATAAATATATAGGTATTTTTTTCTATTATTTTTGTTTTTAAAATATTTATAAAAGCTGATAAAAAGGGAATATAACCTGAAAAAGATAAAAATTTAAGGATGAAAGTGATCATGTTTATTTCATTGTTTTTACATTTACAATTGTTATTGTAATTTTCAGGTTATGGTAAATTTAATTATTAATTACTATTGTTCACTAAGTTTATTATTAATAAATCATAATTTTGAATTTATATTTTAATCGCCCTTGATAAATTTAATTCGAGTTTGAAAATAATTTCAATTGTTTATTCAAGTGGACCAGTATGAATTTTGATTTAAAAACACGAATGTTTTAATAATAATCTACATTGTTTTTACATTCTAAAAAAAGCTGCTCGATTTCTAAATGGAAATTAAATTTCTTACGCAAATAATTTTGATTGAAAAAAAAAATCGAAATCTTATTTATAATATTCCAAAAAACTTGTGATATTTCTATGTTTACAGTTATAATTCCAATAAGTTGCCAGAAATCTCATCAACTTTTATTTATAGCTCAGGGTGACTTGAGTCTGTCATTCTATATATTACATGGGGATATATGCACCAAAAGAATTTTAATGGTGTTAGTGATAGTCCACAAATAAATGAGTATTAAAGCCTTCATATATGCTCAAAGTTTTATCAATACAATTGACAATTTTCCAATATCACAGCTTCTTTATATGCAACTAGGTGGCAACAAATCGAATTTTAAATCAACTCCTTGAAAAATATCAAAAAAACTCTCAATAATTAGTAAAGTTTAAAGTTCAATTGTATTTTATATTCTATCAATAGATTTGAATTTTTAACTTTATTGAAATGTGCCAGACAAGGATTTAATTTTTTTTTTCTATTTTATTTATTGGCTGTGATTTGAAAATATTAAAAAAAAAAAATTAGTTTTGTGGTTTCTTTTTTAATTGATTTATTTAAATTATATTTTATTTATAATTGAGAAAATCCGTATCAGGTATTTAATTTTGATTCAGTTTGCAATTAAACGAATTTTGCCTCTTGTATATGGAGAAAATTCTATACTTTGAGTAATACGATATTCTGTCTATATAAAATTACGAAAATGCGAACGATTATGCAATTTTGTTGTTGGATTAACTGCAATATAACGGCAAATTTAACCGTTTAAAAAAAAAATTTTAAGAGAAATTTCACGTTAATAATTTGATTTACATATTTAATCTGAAACAAAATAGAATTTTCAATTTTATTTATTATTACTATGTAATTATAATTATTTATGATCAATTTAATTATATATAATCAACTTTATAATTATTGAAAGCAATTTTCATTTAATGTATTTTTTGTATATTTTTTAATATTTAATATAAATTTTTTTTTTTTATAAATTTTCTTTTGTATATTTATAATATATAAAGTTAGAAAGTTGAATTACATTAATTTAATTAAACGTGTAATAAAGAGGATTGATTTCACCGCCATGGAGTTAGGAAATTTAATTCTTCTTCCTCCTCTTTTTAAACTCGTTCCTGCTGTAACAATGTTATAAACACAAAGGCACACACGTGTTGTCTCTTTAAAAGTCATTTTCACATAAAATGTGACTTTATTTTATCAACAAAAAAGAAACTAGTTATTTGCTTCTTTATTTATTATATTTCAAATTAATTTTTATATATAATGAATTTTAATGAATTTTTTTTTTTATTTATTTATTTACTAATGGCCTTTGAAGGAAAGCGAAACAAACAATTATTATTGATTTTGGAACATTTAAATTTTTGCTAAAAGAATTTAAATGAATAATTAAAAAAAAAATTTTATTTTTAATTTAAAAAAATTTCTTAACTAACTTAATTTTAATATATTTTAGCACCTATGATGATTTCTGCACACGGTTAAGAAACAGACGAGAAGAGTAATTAGAAGGATATCAAATTTCAAAAAAAAAGGATCAACATGGGGGAAATTCTAGGATCAGCGAGTTTTCTTCATCTCGGCGATATTGTCAGCTTGTACGCCGAGGGAAATGTTTCCGGATTTCTTTCCACACTCGGGTTCGTTAATCACAATTTATTTTTTACTCAAATCAAATTTTTGTGAATTTTTATCAGAATTTGAAAAAAAAACAATTTTTTTATTTAAATAAATTTTCATAAATTTTTTTTATTAATATTTGATAGTAGCGACTATTTGAATCAAATAAATTTTTTTTGTTATAGGATTTATAGTTTTTTAAAATTTATAGAATTTCAAATTAAATTTCAAATAATGAGCAGAAATTGAACTTTTTTTTCATTTTGAATCGATGAATTGCCATGATTAAAATAAAATACATAAATGGAATATTGCTTGAGGGTACTTTTTCTAGATCCCCTAGTTTGGTAACTGGTTATATTGACACGGAATTCAAAATAAAAAAAAAAAAAACAGGTGTGAAAGAAGTTAAGATTTTTATATTATTCATTCTAATGAATGGAATGTAAATTATCGACAAGCGAGAGAGTTTCTTTTTTCGCATATTGATACTAAATAAAATTGTAACTTCTTTGTCTCTATTATGTACAATTATTATTCTTAGATAAACAGATCAATTTTATCGATTGATCTTTGTATTTAAATCCTATTGAAAAAGTTGACATTCATTTGTTTAGAAGCGTCATTTTATTAATCTATAAATAACTGATGTTGAATATTTGAGAAATTAATTTTTCTTATTTTTGACAAAAAAAAATATTCTTTTTTTTTTGTTTAACGTTTAAATCAGAACTTTTATGTTCTGTTTTTTTCAATTCATATTCAATAATATTTCAGTAAATTAAAAATTTAATTTAAAAAGAGTTGAAAATAGAATTCAGACTGATAATCTTCATCTTATCGTTATGTGAAAACACTTGTGTAATTCGTATATGAAACTTAAAAAAAATTATTTTTGCATTTTTTGATATAATTTTTTCTATATTGGGGAAAAATTAAATTTTTTTGTTTTCCTTATAGGAAGAAATAATTAAAAAAAAATTATTTTTTTATTTTTGATAACAAAAATATTTATTAATTAATACTAGTATAAAATGAAAAATTAGTATTATAAAAATTATAAAATAAAATAAATTTTGCAATTTTACAGAAAATGGACAACTGGGCGTTATTTTTTTTTTTTTGAAGTTATTGTTATATAGATAGAAAATAAGAGGTACCCTCTTTAGAATATCGATAGTGCTTGACACAGGTTAATTAAGTCACTAAAGACCTTCAATTGGAGGTGCTTCAACGATTTCATCTCAATAGCATGTAACCGATGAGATAGCCTCACATGATTAACTTCAATTATCTATAAAAATTATGAAATTTACATATTTATATATATATATAGCTTAATCTTCTTTGTGAAACAAGAAAAATGTTTCATTGTCAACTTATTTTTAGAAACTCGATCTTTTTTTGTTCTTAATACCCCATAAAGTCCGATAAAATTAATTTCGATTTTAATCCTTAATAAGAATAAAATTACGATTTTATCACTGTTCTTATCTTATTTTAATTATTTTTATTATATAATATTGATAAATATTTTTTATTACATTTTTAAAAAAAAAAAAAAGGTTTATAAATATTTATTTATTCGGCACGCGTCTACCTATGACCTTTTTGTTTTTTTATAAGAATTTTAAAAATATTTTTATTGATATTTTTATAAAATATATAAAAATTTTTAATTTTTATTAATAATTTGTATTTTAGTTATTCGTTTATTATTTAATAATTTGAAAAATTTCGCTTACCGTTTCAATTATTTTTTTCCGTTATTCACTTGATTTAATTTAATTAAAGGAGTGAATCACTTTATCGTGTATAATTTCCTTAAAAGTAATTTCACCGCATTCTTTCAACTTGTTAAATTCTTTTATATAATATGGAATTAAATAGTTTTCAATTCTTCCTGGAAATAAATCATGTTTTTCACTCTTTTTTTTTTCTCTCTATGTATCTCTAGTATAGAGAAAATTCAAGGCTATAAATAAAATATTCAATTTTCTTCACGTTCACTGAAATGAAGAATATTATATATAATTAAAGGACTATTTCCATTCAGATTCTTAGGAGAGGGAAATCTATTTTTACGTGAATTTTTTTTTTTGAGAAGAACATGAACGATTTGTCCTATTTTAAAAATATGTCGTAATTCGTATAATAATACTCGTCTTGAGAAATAGTTGTGCATACATTATAGATTATACAATATGAATGAACTGAGTTGTTCCAGTGTGTTAACGTGTACACTTGAGAGCGAGCGCGAGAGTTGTCGCATCACAAAAGATATATAAGTACACTTAAGGTGTTTCCTTTTCTAGATAGAGACTTGCTTAAGTAACTGCTTATATGCCAACATTTGTATAATGAACTACAAGAGTCGTCTTTCCCTTTTTATCGTAATTAAGCGAAAAAAAAAAATAAATAAATAAAAATCAGTGTCTAGACATTTTTTTTCGCACAAAAAAAAATTGACTCAAAATGATAATTCAAATTTTTAAAAATAATTTTTAAATAAATAAAAATAAAGGGAAAAAAAATTTTAAAATAGATTTTTCCAAATCGCGAGAAATATATAAAATTCAATTTAATGAGATAAAAGTAAATCCGAAATCAATTTCGCAATTACTTGCTTTTCAATCAAACGTGCCTATTCCCACAGCACCATTTGATTGTTGATATCGACAACACATTATATTCATGATATTATATCGCGCTTGAGTAATTTATTACTCAAATATTGGCAAATCTATTGAAATAATCATCTATTCTTATTATCCATATCCGCGGGATATTATTTTGAATTTAAATATAATTCATGATTTTTTTATATCCATAAATTTTTTTAAAACTAAATTAATTAAAGAAAAACTGTAGTTTAAATAAATTCCTAATCAGTGGAATATTAATTATTTTTTTTAAGTAATAATTTTTGTTTAATAGGTCAGAAGGTTAATAATTAATAAATTAATAATTGTTGATTGGCATAAGAAAAGTAATGTTTTTCATATTTGCACAAGACTACGCTTGAATTACTTTCTTCCGCCCTACTTCCGGTTATGAGTGTGACACTCTTTAGTCATGATCACTTACTGCTCCAATGGAACGATGCGGCTAGAAATAACAATATCGGCTTTTTTACCTTTCAAGCTTGAATCATCTTTTTTTCTCATTTCTTTCCTTTGGTTAATTTTCCTTTCCGCTGTTTTTTTTCCTATATTGCTTCTTTAATTTCTCCCTTCTTTTTTTCCGAATTTTTTTTTTTTTTTTACACTCTTTTCGCATAAAAAAAGCCTTTTTATTTTCATTATCTAAATTAAGAATTAAATTTATTATCCTAAGAAGCAATTATACAATTGTGATATTCAAATGTTTTAGATTTCAATGGATATTATTTTGGTTATCATTCTCGCTAAGATGTGCGACCTACCCCAATATCGATCCATGCGTTCATTCTACCCCCTTCCTCCTCCTCTCATCCCTGAACCAGAATTGCATCTGCGAAGGAAAGATTTAGATTTATGCTGTCGTGACATTTTAGAAATAAATCCAAATGTTAATTGGCTCTAATTTTTTTTTTTTATTATTTACAAAAATTTAATTAAGAGATTTATTTTAAAATTCCCCAAAATTAAATTGTAATTAATTGAATTTTAGAAATATTGAAAATATATTGTTGAGAAAAAATTTGAATAGACAAAAAATTCTTAGCTAAAAAATTATAGTAAAAATTTCTGATAAAAAAAAAATTATTTTTACAGATTAGTAGATGATAGATGCGTTGTGTGTCCAGAAGCTGGAGATTTATCAAATCCTCCGAAAAAATTCCGAGGTAAAAAAAAATTAAATATAAATTTTATAATTAGTTAAAAAATTGAATTTCTATTGTTTCTTTTTTTTCAGATTGTCTTTTCAAAATATGTCCTATGAATCGATATTCCGCCCAAAAACAATTTTGGAAAGCCGCAAAACAAAGTGCAAGCTCAAGTACAGACGCTGTTTTATTAAAAAGACTTCACGTAAGTAATAATTTATTATTGATAGAATCAATTACAAAAAATAATTTTTTTTTTTTTTATTTCAGCATGCAGCCGAAATTGAAAAAAAGCAGAATGAAAGTGAAAACAAAAAACTTTTGGGCACTGTTGTCTCTTATGGAAATGTTGTTCAAGTAGGAAAATAATTTTTATTTGAAGAAATATTTATATTTATTTAAATTGTATTTATTTAAATATTTAAATTTCCAAAAAAATTAAATTTATCAATTTTCTTCCAGTTACTTCATCTGAAATCGAACAAATTTTTGACGGTGAATAAACGATTACCAGCGCTATTGGAGAAAAATGCAATGCGCGTTTATTTGGACGCAAATGGCAATGAGGGTTCCTGGCTGTATATTATGCCATTTTATAAACTTCGAAGCGATGGCGATAGCGTTGTTGTGGGTGATAAAGTAATTATGGAACCTGTGAACGCTGGTCGTCAGGGTTTACATGTTGCAGCAAATTATGAATTGAGCGACAATCCAGGTTGTAAAGAAGTAAATGTCGTTAATTCATCAACATCATGGAAAGTCACATTATTTATGGAACATCGTGAAAATCAAGAGGAAATTTTAAAAGGCGGCGATGTTGTACGTTTATTTCACGCTGAGCAAGAGAAATTTCTCACTATGGATGAATATAAGAAAAAGCAACATGTTTTTCTTCGAACAACTGGTAGAACATCGGCCACTGCCGCAACAAGCAGTAAAGCTCTTTGGGAAGTCGAGGTGATTAATTTCAATTTATTTACTTTTTTAAATCTTCATTACTATTTTTTTTAAAACAATAGTAATAAAATAATAATAATAAAAGGATTAATATATTTTTTTAATAAATAGAAAATTATAAATTGCAATTTTTTTTTGTTTTTTTTTAGGTGGTTCAACACGATCCATGTCGAGGTGGTGCGGGTCATTGGAATTCATTATTTAGGTTCAAACATTTAGCAACGGGTCAGTATCTCGCGGCGGAAATTGATACGGACGAACCTGTTGAAACTACAAAAGGAAAAAGAGGTGATTATTTAAACGGATGCGATTATTTTTACTAAAATAAATTAATATTATTTCAAGGTTATTTTTTAATTTGAATATTTTTTTTTCAATTTAAATATCATTATTTATTATTGTTATTATTTTTACTATTATTTTTATTATTATTTATTATTTTTACTATTTTTTATTATTTTTACTATTATTTATTATTTTTACTATTATTTATTATAATTATTATTTTTATTTTAGCTATATTTTATTATTTTCGTTTATAGATCCTGGGCCAGTGTTCAGATTAGTTTCAGTACCACACAGCAATGAAATTAGTTCTCTGTTCGAATTAGACCCCACGACTTTAACAAGGGGTGATAGTTTAGTGCCTCAGTCATCATTTGTAAGACTGCATCACATTTGTACAAATACTTGGGTACATTCGACGAGTGTACCGATAGATAAAGACGATGAGAAGCCCGTAATGTCCAAGGTTCGTTCCTTTTTTTTCACAAAGTTAATTTAATTCTCATTCGGAATACGTAATTCCTAAATTGTAAATTTCGTAATTACTAAACTGATAAAAATTAATAGTTTAGTAATTTAATTATTGATAAATTAATAACTAAATCAATTTATTAGATAAAATTTGATAATTTTACAGGTGGGTTGTGCGATGAGTAAAGAGGACAAGGAGGCATTTGCACTGAGATCAGTATCTCCGGTTGAAGTTCGCGATTTAGATTTTGCGAATGACGCATGTAAAGTGTTGGCGTCAATTAGTAGTAAATTAGAGAAGGGAACAATTTCGCACAATGAAAGGCGATCAGTGACAAGTTTGTTGCAGGACATTGTTTATTTTATAGCCGGATTAGAAAATGAGCAAAATAAGTCTGAAGCTCTTGATCTAACTGTCACGAATACAGTCAGAGATAGACAAAAATTATTACGTGAACAATACATTCTTGGACAGTTATTTAAAATTCTCCAGGTATTGCATTTTTTAAAAATGTTAGTTTTATATTATATTAAAAATTCCGCTATTTCAGGCGCCATTTCTAGAATCTGCGGAAGGTGAGGGACCATTTCTTAGAATAGAAGAACTCAATGATCCAAGACATGCTCCGTATAAATATATGTTTCGATTATGTTATCGTATACTCAGGCTCTCACAGCAGGATTATCGGAAAAATCAGGTTTGATAATTGTTGTTTTTCGAAAAATAAGTATTATTTTATTTATTTTTTGTTAATTACAGGAGTACATTGCAAAGCATTTTGCCTTTATGCAAAAACAAATTGGCTACGACATTCTGGCGGAAGACACAATAACGGCTTTACTGCATAATAATCGGAAACTATTGGAAAAGCATATAACAGCCGCTGAGATTGAGACATTCGTTGGTCTCGTGAGGAAAAATATGTATAATTGGGAATCAAGATTTTTAGATTACTTATCTGATTTATGTATCTCCAACAAGAAGGCCATTGCAGTTACCCAAGAATTGATCTGCAAAAGTGTTCTTAGCGAAAAGAATAAAGACATTTTAATAGAGACTAGGTAAATTTTGATAACGTCCAACGTTAGCGATTTTCGTCTACTGTTGCTAACAACTTTTCGTAGGATGGTCAAAACCCCGGTGGAAGTCGTGGACATTGATGAGAGGCAAGAAAACGAGGAACCACAGATATCCATAATCGAGGAACTTGATGTTATGCTCGTTTGGAATAATGGAACGGTTTGTCGCAACTTTTTTTTTTTTTCTCTTTTTTTACTTTAATTGAATTTTTGGAAAATTGGACAAATTTTCCAAAAACAAAATTAATAAATTATTTTTCAGAAAACATTGTCTTTGAGTGAATTGTCACGTGGCGCAAAATTGGGAAATATTGAAGACGCAGCAATATTGGATTATTATAGGCATCAATTGAATTTATTTAGCAATATGTGTCTCAATAGACAATATTTGGCGCTGAATAATCTCTCGCCCCATTTAGATATTGATTTAATACTCAAGTAAATGAAATGTTTTTGTTTGAAAAAAAAAAGAACCGTGAAATGCAAAATTTTTCTAATTTTATTTTTATAGATGCATGGAAGATGAAACTGTTTCATATGAATTGCGAGCTTCTTTTTGTCGATTAATGCTTCATTTACATGTGGATAGAGATCCACAGGAACAAGTTACACCAGTGAAATACGCACGTCTTTGGTCTGAGATACCATCGAAAATGAGCATTAATGAGTATGTATTTATTTTTATAATATTTTATCAACTTTTCAAAAATAAGAAAATTTGTCTTTCAGTTACGATACAAATAAAATGCCTGATGAAAATAAAGAAGCAGTAAGGGCAAAATTCAGTTCAACAATAATGTTTGTTGAAGATTATTTATGCAATGTTGTGGCAAAAGTTTGGTCGTTCGCTGATCAAGAACAAAATAAACTTACGTTTGAGGTGAATTAATCGAGAAATTTTTTTTTTTTTTTTTTTGTTTTTTCATTTAATACAAATTCTATTTTCCAGGTCGTTAAACTTGCCCGCGATCTAATTTACTTTGGATTCTATGGCTTCAGCGATTTGCTTACTCTGACGAAAACCCTCCTAAATATTCTCGATTGCGTGTCTGAAAACGATTGCTCAAATGGAAAAATCCCCACTGGAGAAATTGATTGTAAGTATATATAATATATAAGAAAAATGAAAAAAAAAAATTGCTTTGAATGGAAAAATTATTTTTATTGATTTATTTTTTTATGGGCAAACATTTTTTTTTTGTACATAAACATGTAAATTTATATAAAAAGCTTTTTTTTGGGAAATTTTTGTAAATATTCGCGGTTTAATTTGTTTAAAAATTGAAAAATTATTTTAATTGTAGTTTGATAAATGTAAAATAATTACAACGTAAATGTTTCATAGCCGAAAGCGTGGAATCTGAGGAAACAGGTAAAATTGTAATTATTTAAAATTTTAGTAGAAAAAATTATGTATTTTGTACATAGTTAAATTGAAAGAAAGCATGTATTTGTAAATATTATAAATATAAAACTAAAATTAAAATTAAATAGTAAAAATATTTTTACTATGAAATATTTTTGAAAATTACAAATTTCATTAGCAAATTATTAATTAAAATTCTTTTTTTTATAGCCGAAGGCGGTGTTTTGAGATGCATTGGCGACATGGGAGCAGTAATGACAAATTTAACATTGGGACCAGCGGGTCAAGTTCTCGCAGGTAGTTCCTCACAAAAACCAAATCCATCGGCAAAAAAAGAATATCCCCTTGTGATGGACACAAAATTGAAAATAATTGAAATTTTACAATTTATACTTGATGTAAGATTGGATTTTCGAATATCTTGTCTGTTGAGTATTTTCAAACAAGAATTCGACGAAACGGAAAAAGCTGCCGGTGATGTTAATCTTGGTCAAAAGGGTATTGATTTAGAATTAATTGGCACACAAGCAGAAGGCATTTTTGGGAGTAGGTAAGTTTTTTGAAAAGTAAAAAAAAAAAGAAATTGATAAAAGGAAATTTAATTTAATTATTTTATTATTTAAATGTAGTGAGGAATGTGTCGCCTTGGATTTAGACGGTCAAGGTGGAAAGACATTTTTGAGGGTTTTGCTTCATTTGGCAATGCACGATTATCCACCTCTTGTTTCCGGTGCTTTGCATCTTCTTTTTCGTCATTTCAGCCAAAGACAAGAAGTGTTACAAGCCTTCAAGCAGGTAATTTTTTTTTTACTAAATTAAATATTCGCTAATTTTTTTTATAATCTCACTATTTTTATTAGGTACAACTTTTAGTTTCGGACAGTGATGTTGAATCTTATAAGCAAATAAAAGCAGATCTCGATGTTTTGCGGCAATCTGTAGAAAAATCGGAACTATGGGTTTATAAATCGAGAGCAACAGAAGAACATGAAGCGAAGAAAAAAAAGAGTAAGAAAGAAGAAGACGAAGGCACTGCTCCGAGGAAGACACCACCTCAATTATCATCTCTGGAGAAAAAAGGTTAAAATTTTCTCTAAAAAAAAGATTTCTTTTTTTCTTTTTCTTAGATTCCAATGGTAATAAATTTTTTTTTAGGATCGGCAATTGATTTGGATATTGGTCCACCGTTGCACGCCGATCAAGCTGAGGAATATAAAAAAATTCAACGAATTTTAATGAGAATGAATAAACTTTGTATTCAAACATTGCCAAGCGGTCAAGTGATACCACGAAAGCATGAGCAACGACTTTTGAGAAATGTTGGTGTTCATATAATTGTATTAGATTTATTACAAGTGCCATTCGATGCTAAAGAAGATGTACGAATGAATGAATTAATGCGATTGGCACATGATTTTTTGCAAAATTTCTGCTTGGGAAATCAACAAAATCAAGTTTTATTGCACAAACAATTGGATTTATTTTTAAATCCAGGAATACGTGAGGCACAAACTGTTTGCAGTATTTTTCAGGATAATTCAACACTTTGCAATGAAGTTAATCCAAAAGTTATACAACATTTTGTTCATTGCATTGAAACACATGGAAAACATGTTCAATATTTGAAATTTCTTCAAACTATTGTAAAGGCGGAGAATCAATTTATTCGAAAATGTCAGGAATTGGTTATGCAAGAGGTTTGTTTTATTAAAATATTTATAAAAATTATATAATAATAAAATGCTTGATCTGTCCTTCTGTCCTAACTTGAAGTTGGTCTTTTATGATTTCACGTGTTTTTTGAATAGTAATCGACGTGTCAAATTTGTGTCAAATTAAACTTGAAAATTTTAGAAATAATTAAATTTCAAAAGATATTGTTAATTTTCAAACAATAATAAAATTTTACAGAATTAAAAATAATTTATCAAAAAATTTTTTGGAAAACATTTTTTAAATTTAATTGAATTTTCAAAAGATTTAAAATTGAAATTTTAGAAATTAATTGAACTTCAAGTGATTTTAATTAAAATTTTATATGATTTAATTTAATAATTTGATAATCATTTTTAATTGAAAAATGGTTTCAGATAGTTGAATTTTCAAAGAATATTATAAAAATATTTAAAAATAATTGAATTCCCTTATAGAGTTATAATTGAAATTATTAAATTTCAAAAAATTTTCGATGGAAAATTTTAGAAATAATTAAATTTTAAATGCTTTTAAATTCAAATTATTGAAAATTCAATTAATTTTGAATTCAAATTTTTTAGAATAATTAAATTTTCTTTAATTTTGATTTGAAATTTTGGAAAATAATTAAATTTCAATTAAAATTTTGGATAATAATTCATTTTTAGTTGATTTTTTATTGAAAATTTTGATAATTAATTTTAAATTGAAATTTTAGAAAATAATTAAATTTTATTTGATTTTAAATTTAGAAAATAATTGAATTTTAGTTGATTTTGAATTGAAAATTTTGAAAATAATTGAATTTTCTTTGATTTTGAATTGAAATTTTGGGAAATAATTGAATTTTAATTGAAATTTTGAATAATAATTTAATTTAAGTTCATTTTTTATTGAAAATTTGGATAATTAATTTTGAATAGAAAAGAAAATAATTGAAGAATATTATTTCATTTTAAATTGAAAACTACGAAAATAATTGAATTTTAAAAGATTTTGAATTAAAAATTTGGAAAGTAATTGAATTTTCTTTGATTTTGAATTAAAATTTTGGGAAATAATTGAATTTTAGTTGATTTTGGAATTGAAATTTTGGAAAATAATTGAATTTTTGTTAATTTTCAATAGAAAAATTTGGAAAATATTTGAATTTTAGTTGATTTTAAATTAAAATTTCGGATAATAATTGAATTTTATGTGATTTTAAATTGAAAATTTTGAATTAAAAATTTGAAAAATAATTGAATTGTCTTGGATTTTGAATTGAAATTTTGGAAAATAATTAAATTTCAATTACAATTTTAAATAATAATTCATTTTTAGTTGATTTTTGATAATTAATTTTGAAATGAAATTTTAGAAAATAATTTTATTTTATTTGAATTTAAATTGAAAATTTGGAAAATAAGTGAATTTTAGTTGATTTTGAATGGAAATTTTGGGTAATAATTGAATTTTATTTGATTTTAAATTGAAAATTTGGAAAATAATTGAATTTTAAAAGACTTTGAATTTAAAATTTAATAATTTAATAATTAATAATCTGAGGCCTATAAACATATAATTTTTATTTTTATCATTTAATATGGAATAATATTCTAATAAATTTAAATAATTATTGATAATATTAATTTTTAATTTCTCTATAACAAATAATGAAATACTCAATTTGGCGCGCTTGCGCGCGTTTAATATTGCTAGTATTTATTAAAATAATTTTTAAACAAATTTTATTTTAAATTGGGAAATATTTTAGATGGTTCAATCTGGAGAGGATGTTTTGGTTTTTTACAATGATCGAGCGTCATTCAGTCAGTTTGTCGAGATGATGAGATCGGAGAGACACAGAACGGAGGAAAGTAGTCCATTGCGATATCATGTTGAACTTGTGAAATTATTGGCTTGCTGCACAATGGGAAAGAATGTCAATACCGAAATTAAATGCCATAGTCTTTTGCCATTAGACGATATTGTTGCCATGGTTTCTCATCCGGATTGCACTCCAGAGGTTTAATTAATTTTTTATTTTGAAAATTTTCTTTTCTTTCACTTTTTTTGGGAGTCGAAAAAAATTATATATTTTATAAATTTAGGTAAAGGAGGCTTACATCAATTTCCTGAATCACTGCTATATTGACACAGAAGTAGAAATGAAGGAAATTTACACGTCAAATCACATGTGGTCATTGTTTGAAAAATCATTTATTGTCGACATGGGTCTAATAGCGAATGCAACACATGATCGAAGTCATGCCGATACTGTTCTTGAAAATTATGTGACAAATTGTTTGATGAATATTATCACAACTTTTTTCAGCAGTCCTTTCTCTGATCAAAGTACAACAGTTCAGGTAATATTTTTTTACATTTCAATTAATTCGAAACAAAATTGAAAACATTCACTTTTTCTTGGATATATTTATTTATTGATTATGAAAATTTTGCATACTTTTGCGTTTGATGTCCGTATATTCACATTAAAAAAAAAAACAAACTTTTTTTGACAAATTTTCTACGTGTGCCATTTGAAATTATAATTTTTTCTTATATTTATCGCTTGCGAAAAATTTTAATTCTGAATGTGTGGCATACAATATGCTTGGAAAGAAAGAAATTATGTCTTGGAAAATGAAAATAATTTTTTTTTTTTAACACTGCACTATTAATATTATGGGCATCAAAATAACACCCGTGATTTTTAGTTTATTGGAGAAAAAACTCGTTATTTTCTAAATAACATTGATTTTCTTTTTTTTTTTTAAAGAAGTGTGCTGTGTTCTTTAACAAATGAATTTATTTTGCATTCTGCTTTTCAAAGTGCACCAAAATGGAGGTAAATTTTTTTTTTGAAAATTTAGGAATTGAGGCGTAGATTTTTTTTTTGAATAGAGGTGAGAATTTAGAAAAGCTAGATTTAGAAAGCAGTTGAAATTAATTTAGAGTCACAAATATGTAAATATTATGTAGATTTAAAAATAGAATAAAAATTATTATTTACTTTGTAAATTTTTAAAATTAAAAACTAGAAATTAAAAAAAAAATAGGAAATTGCAGAATAATGGAAAAATTTGTCAATTTATTTGGCTTTTTTTTGGTAAATTAAAGATATAGAAAATTAATACATTTTTTTATTAATTTAATTAGAAATCAAGTTTTTCAAGAAATTTTTTTTTTAATTTTCTTTTCAAATTAGTATTTTTTTGCTCATTATTATTTTTCTTTAACATTCTTGGGAGAAAAATTTAACGAAAGCAGAATAAAATGTTCCTTTGATTTGGGCTTTAATGCTAATTGCACAAGCGGCATGTTCTGTATTTTCGGCATGTGTCAACTGGTCTTCTTTCTGGTCTGGTCTGTTTGGTGATGGGTTAAAAACTAATAGAAACACCTGCACGAAGCAAGGCTATACTGGAATCTAAAGGAGTGTGACCGCACCAGTAATAATAATTGCGAAGATAGTGTAAGTGCTAAGATCGCAAAATATGCTTCATTGGATGCTTGCATGCGTCTTTATTATCAAATTTTTCAAGTAAATCTCAATATTATATATTTTATGTTTTTCTCAAAAATATATTTACATCGATGACACAAAAAAAAGGGCTTCAGTACCGGTAAAAAAAAAAGAATTTGGGTTTATTAATATACATGGGAAATTTAATTCATTAACAAAAAACTAATTACTTATTTTTAAATTACAATGATTAAATTAACATTAAATGCATGAAAATAAATTAAAATGAAAAATCTAATTAATAAATGAAAATTATTCGTTATTCATTAAATTTAATCTTTTGAATCTGCTGATAAAAAAAATATTCAATGAGAGTTTATATTAATTTTTTGCTATACAGACTCGACAGCCAATATTCGTCCAGTTATTGCATGCTGCGTTCAAAGTTTCTCAATGTACGTGGCTCAGTGCAGGACAACGCTTCAGTGTAGAAAATTGCATAAGAACATTGTCCGATGTCGGTTAGTAGTTTTTAAAATTTTATTCCTTTTTTTTCAATTTTAAATGAAGAACATGTTTTTCAAGTTAAATTTTTTGGATATTATTTTCTTTTATTTAATCGCAAATATTTTAATATAAAAAATAAAAACAATTTCTAAATAGAAGTGATAAATTTGTAATTTTTGTTTTTCAGCCAAGTCGAGAGGAATTGCAATTCCAACGGATTTGGAAAGTCAAGTCGCTTCGATGTTTAACAAAGCTGCAATGCTTAGTAGACAAACAAGTAAATGGCTTCAGGCTGCAAAACAACCAAAAGTCGAACGTACTCACAGTCAAGTGAGATTTAATTTTAAAAATCAAATTTTTTCAATCATTATTATTATTAATACTCAAAAAGTATTATCTTTTCAGCTAATGAGATTAGATCGCAGTATCATTGAAGGACTACAGGATATTGTTTCTCTATTGGAAGAACAATTGAAGCCTTTGGTACAATCTGAATTGTCTCTGCTTGTTGATATTCTTTACAGACCAGAATTACTATTTCCAACAGCAACGGAAGCAAGAAGAAAATGTGAAAATGGAGGTTTCATTCATCGGTGAGAAACTAATTTCTTTTTTTTTTCTCATAATTTTTCACAATTTATAAAATTAATTTTTTTTATTTTAGATTAATAAAACACACGGAGAAATTGTTAGAAGTTAAGGAGGAAAAATTGTGTGTCAAAGTTTTGAGAACTTTACGGGAAATGATGGCAATTGATCCTGAATATGGAGAAAAGGTGAGATTAAATGAAAAAAATTCTATTTTTTTTATTCTCAAAGCATGAAGTTAAAATAATTCACGATCAAAAATTTACAAGAATAACAAGAGCATTTGCATTTTTTTTCGGTAAGGAAAAAGAAAACTGCTAAAAATTATTATTGATTATTGATATTTATGTTAATAATAAATAATTCTTAATAATCTTTAATAATTTTTCTGCATAATTTGTTTCAAGAATAAAATTTTTCTTGAATGTTAAATTTCGCAGCACATTTAGAAAATCAGTATGCGATTAGAATTCACGGCTTGCAATTGAAGTTTTAACAATGAGTGTGAAAAAAAACATTTTTTTTATGAGCTATTTAAAAATTTTAAATTTTGAAGTTTTTACTCGAGCAGGTGAGTAGCTTTTTGTAGACATATAGTTCTTTAGCTTCAAGTGTTTTCATGCTGCTAAATGAAGATTCAGGATAATGCTGAAAAAATTGAAACTCCAAAGGAAATTGAATCCGAAATCCCACCGGGTTCATTGCAACAGATTGAAAATCATCGATTGACACAACAACAGCGGGTAAAATAAAACCCCAAGTAGGCGTCGATGTTTTTTTTTCTTTTTTCTCTCCCTTAGTTATTTTTTTAATAGATTTCCATTATTTTCTTATGTTTTAATTGCAAGTTTCGAATTCAAGTTTGCAAGTTTCAATATTAATTTTGCCTGATTTTGCCCGATATGAAAAAAAAACAATTTTTTTTGATATTTTGGTAGAAAATTACCTGAAATTTAATGTTGTAATTATTATTGTATTTATAATTTTTGGTAGAATTTATATTTTTTCGAATATTTCGAATTATTATTTGAAATTGTATTTGCAATTCTTTAAATGAAAAATTTCCAAATATTTTCCACTTAAAATTTATGTCTATTTTTTATAAATTATAATTTATAATAAAATCATTAATTTTTGTTTGTAGTAAAAACAAATATCTTTTATTTTTTTATTGTTTAAAATCGAATTTTATATTAAATAGTAATGATACATTTTTTTTATTCTCTAGGGTGATGTGCTGAGAAATAATCTACTTAGCAGATATTTTGGCAAAGCATTTACTCAAAAACCAGATAATATGGAAATTAAAAATGCCTGTACGGTATCAGTGACTCATGGACCTGGAGGTATTTATTTTTTTTCTAAAAAGAAACTTAAAAATCTTTTCAAAGAAGGTAATTAAATCTTTTTTTTTTTTTTTAAATAAAAATTTAATTTTCATTTTCAGCAAAAATTCTGAGTAGAGCTGGTAGAACGTTACACGAGGTACAAAGTCATTTGGATCGTGAAGGAGCATCGGATCTACTTGTGGAATTAGTGATAAGAAGTGTTCATTCACCGAGTATATTCGTTGAAGTTGTTGAATTGGGAATTGCACTATTAGAGGGAGGTAATCCAATTATTCAAAAGAGCATTTTTTCCAAATTAATGGCACTGGACTTGAGTCAATCATTTTTCAAGGTGAAAAATTAGTATGCAAAAGAAAAATATTTAAATATAAGATAAATTTTTTTTAATAATTTTATTGCATATTTTAAGGTGTTTTATGACAAAATGAAGGATTCACAACAAGAAATCAAGTCAACAGTAACAGTTAACACTTCGGATTTAGCGGCAAAGGCTCATGAAGACAAGGAACAGAGTAAGGAACTAGAAAAAATATCGCGAAAGCCAGGTGTGATAAATTTTTAGTTTTCTAATTTCTGTATTTTTATTTTAATGTTTTCTTTCTGTTGTAATTATTATTCAATTATTATTTAATTTCTTTAATATTTCAATTTATTTAAATTATTATTTTAATTTAATAATTGAATTAAACGTTATGAATGATTTTTCTTTTTTTTGGCAATGTTTAAAACTTTTGGAGATTTTAAATATCTGTTACAAATCAGGAAAACCGAATGGAATTGTGATAACTGATGAATTGCGGGAAGAATTGAATCAAGCCGCAGCATCAACGGTCCAGGCTTATGCATCGATAAGAAATTCAATGCCAGGCGAAGATGCATCGAACAATGCAGCACTCGGCTGTGCTTTAGAGGATATGCTTGTGGAAAAATTGGAAAAACATACAGGCGCTGGAGTTGAGAAAGACGAAACCCAATTGAGTACAAAAGTTTTGGTTATGCAACCAATTCTTCGATTTCTTCAACTTCTATGCGAGAATCATAATCGTGAACTACAAGTAAATGGATTTTCTATTTTTAATTTATAAATTTTCAATTTTAAAAAATTTTTATTACTTTTTTTTATAGAACTTTCTGCGTAATCAGAATAATAAAACAAATTTCAATCTTGTCTCGGAGTCACTTATGTTTTTGGATTGTATTTGTGGTTCAACAACTGGTGGATTGGGTCTTTTAGGATTGTACATAAATGAGCACAATGTCGCGTTAATTAATCAAACATTGGAGACATTAACGGAATATTGTCAGGGACCATGTCATGACAATCAAAATTGCATAGCCACTCATGAATCAAATGGTTTAGATATAATAACAGCATTGATTTTAAATGATATCAATCCATTGGGTAAAACACGAATGGATCTTGTTTTGGAATTGAAAAATAATGCAAGTAAACTATTACTCGCAATAATGGAGAGTCGTGGCGATAGTGAAAATGCGGAGAGAATATTGTATAATATGAATCCAAAGCAACTTGTCGATGTTGCATGCACGGCTTTTCATCAGGAATCATTGGATGACGATGCTGATGTTGATGATTCTTCTTCTGATAATGAGGATGGTGTTTCTCCCAAAGAGGTATTTTTATTTTGTTTTCTGTTTAAAAAAATTAAATTATTAAAATTTTCTTTTAATTGTAGGTGGGACACAATATTTATATTCTTTGTCATCAATTAGCACAACATAATAAAGAATTAGCAGCTTTATTAAAACCCTCCGAACAAAGTAATATGGATCCGAAAACTAATAAGGCACTTCAGTATTATGCCTCTCACACTGCTCAAATTGAGGTTATTATTAAATAAATAAATAAAAATCTAATGTTAAATCTAAAATATCTATAATTTTTTTTTGTTTCAGATTGTCAGGCACGATCGAACTTTGGAACAAATTGTCTTTCCCATACCGGAAATTTGTGAACTTATAACACTTGATACGAAAATTCGTGTTTTAAATACAGCTGAGAGAGATGATCAAGGCTCAAAAGTCTCTGAATTTTTTGAAAGAACAGAAGATATGTTTAATGAAATGAAATGGCAAAAAAAACTCAGAGGTACGTTTTTAATAATTTTAACATACAAATATAGTTTATTTTTTTTCAACTTTTTATTATTTTTATTCATCAGCTTTATGATTTTTCATTTATTAAATAATAATATTACTTTTAAAAAGTAATTTGTTTTTTAGGGCAACCAATGCTTTTTTGGATGAGCAGTTACATGTCTCTTTGGAGTAATATTCTCTTTAATTGTGCCGTACTAATTAATCTTATTGTTGCGTTTTTCTATCCATTTGTCGATTCTGTTCCCAGTAAGTCATATTTTATTAATTAGTTTAGCGGAAATTTATTTTTATTTTATTTGAAAAAAATTTTTAATTAAAACTATTTTTTTCTTATTTACAGTCTTTATTTTACTTTAATTAAACTAAAAAGAATTTTATTAACAATTTATTATTACAGAACTTAGTTCACATTTTTCGGGACTCATTTGGACAGTTATGCTTTCATCAGGAGTTATTGTTGTCACTCTACCAAGAGAATCCGGCATACGTACATTAGTTGCTTCGACTATTTTAAGATTGATATTTTCTTTGGGACCAGAACCAACTCTTTGGTTACTTGGTTTCTTAACAGTGAGTTAAAATTTTTTTTAGTTATTTTTGTTTTACAATTTAAGTCAGTTTAGAAATTTAAATATCTAAAGTGAAAAATTTATTTTAATTTTAATTATTAATTTTAATTAGTAACTGAAATGCCTCGAATTATTTCAGGTTGTTTTAAAAATAGTTCATCTCATTAGTATTATAGGAAATCAAGGAACGTTGACTAAAAATATCGAGCATATTATAACAGACGTCGAATTACTCTATCATTTATCATATCTGATATTTTGTGTCCTTGGAATATTTCTGCATCCATTTTTCTACTCTGTCTTGGTAATTATTAAAGAATTAAATTTTTTTTATTTATCAATTTAGAGTAATAAGTTGAATTTTTGGAAATGAAATTAATATTATATTAATTAATATAATTAATTATATTAATTAATATAATTATAATAATTAATATAATTAATTATATTAATTAATATAATTATAATAATTAATATAATTAATTATATTAATATTAATTATTAACTGTGAGTTAATTTAATGTAAAGAAAAATACAATTATGTTTTCAGCTCTTTGATGTTATTTACCGGGAGGAAACTTTGCTCAATGTGATAAGATCGGTAACGAGAAATGGAAGATCAATCATTTTAACAGCAGTTCTTGCACTGATTCTAGTTTACATGTTTTCAATTATTGGATTTATGTTCTTTAAAGATGATTTCTTAGTCAGTGTTGATGAGGAAATAATCTGTAAGTTTGGTATTTAGTTAAAAATTATTCTATAAATTTTAAAAGTTTTTAAAAACTTGTGCTTAAATTTACAATTAAATAATTAAATAATTAATAATAATTAAATAATTAAATTTACAATTTCAATTTAATAAAATTTTTATTTTATTGTTTTCTTTTTTAGCACCAGAGAAAATTGCAGTAACTGGCACATGCAGTAAAGAAAATACAGAAAGCTGTGAAACCACTGAAACAATTTCTCGATCCGTTCAAGAAAATGAACGGGATTCAGAATTAATTAACGTTGGAGGTGAATCGAAAGAACGAGCTTGCGATTCTCTTGTTATGTGTATCGTTACAACTTTAAATCAAGGACTTCGTAATGGTGGAGGAATTGGCGATATTTTGCGAGCACCTTCAAGTACAGTGAGTAATTAAAAATAATAACTAATATTTTATTACCAAAAATTACTTTAGTTTCATTTAAAAAAAAATTCATTACAATTTTCAAGGGAATTTCTTTTTTTTTTTTTTTTAGGAACCATTATTTGTTGCAAGAGTCGTTTACGATTTACTCTTCTTCTTCATAGTGATAATTATTGTTCTCAATTTGATTTTTGGTGTTATCATTGATACATTTGCGGATCTCAGATCAGAAAAGCAGCAGAAGGAACTTATTTTAAAAAATACATGTTTCATATGCGGTACGTTGAATTTTTTTTTTATTAAAACTATTTTCTATTTTAAATCACTATTAATAGAAAAAAAAATAACTGAGTTTTCTTTCTTTCTCGATTTTAGGTTTAAATAGATCAGCATTCGACAATAAAACAGTGTCGTTTGAAGAGCACGTGAAACATGAGCATAATATGTGGCATTATCTTTATTTCATTGTTCTCGTTAAAGTTAAAGATCCGACTGAATTCACAGGACCGGAATCATATGTTTATGCAATGGTTAAGGTAATTAGTTCATGGAGTTTGGAAAATTGTTTTTTAAATGTTCATTTCTTTAAGCTCTATGTACTTTCACAGGATCGAAATCTCGATTGGTTTCCAAGGCTGAGGGCTAAATCATTAGCAGCCGATGAAGGCGAAGGCGAACAAGTTGAACTTCGAAGTTTACAATCACAATTAGAAAGCACGCAACAATTAGTTAAATGTCTATCACAACAACTCACTGAACTTCGCGACCAGGTTTGTTTTAATTATTTTTCTAATTTAAAAGTACATTTTTAATTTTAATTTAATTTAATTAATAAAAAAAAAATTTTTAAAGATGACGGAGCAGCGAAAACAAAAACAACGATTGGGACTTTTAAATTCAGCGTCAGCATATCTGCACAATATGTCTTCATAAATTTAATTCACTAATTATTGTCGTCGTGTTTTCCTTAAAACCTTGACAATGACCTTTTAATATCTGAAGAATAAATAAGCATTTAATAATGTAAAATCCATATCGAAAGTTAAATACGTGTGTAATAGATTTGTACGGTCTTGTTCCTAGCAAATGGAAAATAGTATATAGAATGTTGTAATACGTATTTGTTATTGTTCTATTATTAATTAAAAAAAAAATCATTGTTAATGATTATAAAAATATTACTGTGAAAGAGACACAGTGATTTATGTAACTTGCTCTATGAGTTTAAGAAAATTCGTTGTTACTCTTATGTTTAATAAAAAAAAAATTATCCATTTTTCAATAAATTAAGTTTTCTTTTTATAATAATTATAAGTTTAATTTTCAAAAGTTTAAATTTTCAAATATGTTTGAAAAAAAAGTGGAAAAAAACAATTAACCAATCAGCATTGAGGAATTTAGTTTTAGTTACTCAGTTAAATAATAGAGGCGCTCCTATCGTTTCGTTTACTATAACCTCAAAATTGTTTTTGATTTTGTAAATAAATAAATTTTAAATCGCGTTTTAAATATAATAATTAAAGTGTAATTAAAGTTTTATTGTTTTTGTGAAAGAAATATTAAATAATTTCTTTTTTTATTATCATGCGAAGAAAAATAAAAAACATTTTACGAAAATGTTTATAAAAATGATATAAAAGATTTAAATTATAATTGTTAGAAATTTGTATTATTGTTTTAAGTGAGAAAAAATACAATTAAAAATGAATAAAGAAGTGTTAAATATCGAAGGCGCAACTAAAAAATCACAAAGAGAAACATTAACTCCTTATAAAATAGCAATTGTTATGTTTGTTAATATTTATTGCGATGAAAATGGAAAAGGTAAGTTATTTTTGTGTTATTATTTTTAAATATTATTAAAATTTTTTTTTGCAGAAATTCTAGAAAGGCGAGATTTTTGCATAGCTGCTTTAAAATTAATTCAGGTGAAAAATGTTTTTAAAATGAAAATTTAAAAATATTTTTTTTTTAAGGAGCAAATAGTAAAAAAAAATTATTTTTTCAGTCACCAGATATGGATTTGCGTCCACTATTTAATTATCTTTATTCATCAGAATTTGTTCTTCAACAATTTACACAAAATCTTGAGAATGAATTGAAATTATTGTGCGATAATGGAGTAATGGGTTTATTGGATCTTTTTGAAAATCTTGGCAAATTAACAAAATCAAATACCGAACATTCATTGTCACAGCCATTATTGAATAAAAATTCTGTTCTTGGATTATATGTACGTCGAATTATTATTTTATTCGAAAGATTGACATTCTATCAAATTGTCTTACTTTATGAATCATTAAAGGATTATATAAAAAGCAGTATTAATGATGATGCCGAAAATTCGGTGGGTTTAAAAACTGATGAATCATTTTCTCGTAAGTAAGTAGTGAAAATTTTTTTTATTAATTATAATATCATTAAAAAGAGAAAATAAATTAATTTTTTTTTTATAGAAATAAACATATTTGGGGTGGAAGACAAGCAGAATTACTTGTTGCACAACAAGCTCATGCTTTACAAACAGATGAACATAAAGCCCTTCCACCAGCTGAACTTCAAGCTCTTGTTCGAGAATTATTAACTTGCAGTCCTTATTACGCGGAAGCTGTAAGAAAAATTATTTTTAAATAATTATTAATTATTTTGGGGCGGTTCAAGTCCTACACATTTAGATTCTACACCGTATAAATTCTACACGTTAGATTCTACAATGTTAAATTCTACACAAATTAAATTTTGCACAATATATTTGTTAAATTCTACACGTTAGATTCTACAATGTTAAATTCTACACACATTTATATTTAAAAATAAAAATTAATTCGTTAAATTCCACACAGTTAAATTGTACATCGTTAAATTCAACAAACTTTTATATTTAAAAATAAAAATAATTTTGTTAAATTCTACACAGTTAAATTGAACACCGTTAAACTCTGCACAAATTTGTTTAAAAAAATGATAATTATTACTATAAAATTCTACACAGTTAAATTCTACAAAATAAATTTCTTCACAGTTTTTTAGTTGTGTTAAATTCTACACACGTTTATATAAATATAATAAATATTAATTTTGTTAAATTCTACACAGTTAAATTGAACACCGTTAAATTCTGCACAAATTTATTTTAAGAAATGAAAATTATTACTGTAAAATTCTACACAGTTAATTTAACAAAACTAATATATTTATTTTGTAGAATTTAACTGTGTAGAATTTTACAGTAATAATTTTCATTTCTTAAAATAAATTTGTGCAGAATTTAACGGTGTTCAATTTAACTGTGTAGATTTTAACAAAATTAATATTTATTATATTTATATAAACGTGTGTAGAATTTAACACAACTAAAAAACTGTGAAGAAATTTATTTTGTAGAATTTAACTGTATAGAATTTTATAGTAATAATTATCATTTTTTTAAACAAATTTGTGCAGAGTTTAATGGTGTTCAATTTAACTGTTTAGAATTTAACAAAATTATTTTTATTTTTAAATATAAAAGTGTGTTGAATTTAACGATGTACAATTTAACTGTGTGGAATTTAACGAATTAATTTTTATTTTTAAATATAAATGTGTGTAGAATCTAAATGTGTAGGACTTGAACTGCCCCATTATTTTCATTAATTTATTGGTAAAAAAAATTTCTTTTCAGCACTATTTGAGTTATCTTAATTGTTTACGAGTCAATGAATATTGTGGCGCTTTGGAAAGTCTTTATCATTGTTTTGATAGACTAGCACCTTTGGAAAATCGTTCAACATCAGAAGATAGATCTCGAACTTTTAGATACGCGGCTTTGAATCTTGCAGCACTTCATGCGCAATTCAATAATAAGTATGTTTAAATATTTAAAAAAAAAATTATCCATCTCCAGTTATTAAAAAAAAATTTAATTATTTACAATTTTAGAGATGTTGCGCGTTCAGCATTGAAAGAAGCAATTATGACGGCTCAAGAAGCTGGTGACAATGTTTGTCTTCAACTTGCTCACGCTTGGATGTATCATTTAACAGATGAAAAAAAGTAAGATTTAAATTACAAAAAAAAAAATGGAAAATTCTTGCAATTATTAAATGAGAATTTTTTTTTCTATTTAGAGGTCCACTAATTGAAAGATCTGTTGGTAAAGCTTGTATGTTAGGAATTTCACATACAATAAGTTTGGGTCTAATTGCATCGGCACATAATTCAGCAATGGAGGGAGATAATCCTCAACATATTTTTGAGGTACTGAGAAAAATCACTATTTCCTTTTTGGCAAATTTATTTTCATTTTTTTTTCAGACTCTCATGAAATCGGATATTGTCAATTGTCAACATTCAATGATTGATCTTATGTCAATGACCTTAACGGAAAAAGCCGCATTGTGGGCATATTATGGAAAAACTGAAATGTCCTCAATATGTTCGCAACTTTTACTTTTACACAATACAGGAGAAAAGAAACAACAAATATTTAATGGTCCATCAACGTGTCAAGCTGTTGTTAATATTGCTAATATTCTTGTTGAATTTGGTGAATATAATTTAGCCAGTGTTGTATTAGATCATGCCAAAGAAAGATTTCCCAATGAGCCCAGTAACAAGGTATATTTTAAAATAATTTAAAAGAAAAACAAGTTTTTTTGTAAAAATGGAAAAAAAATTTTGTTTTTATAATAATAATTAATAATTTAATTAGGTTTGGAAATTAAGTGAACAACTTTATGAATTTAATCAATTGTTAAAAAGTGAAAAATGGCGAGAAGCAGAAGCGATAGCGACACAAATTGTGAGTTTAGATCCATTGGAAAGTAAATTTAGGTATGTAATTTAGAATACTAATTAACAATGAATTAAGTAATTTATTGAATTTGTTAATATTTTATTTTAGACAAGTCGAGGTTTGTTTAGCAAAAGGCGATTATCCAATTGGATTGGAAATTGTAAATAGTATAGAAAATATGAAAGGTGTAACGCCACAAAATCAAGTTCGAGCAATGCTTCTTTCTAGTCAAATAACTTGCGCTTCGATACATTTGGGATCAAGTATTGCTGGTTGCAATTCAATTGTCCTTTTAAATACCGCTCTTGAAATCGCTACGAAAAATCATTTATCATACTATGCGGCACTTATAAAAATGCATTTAGCAAATATACAGGTATTTAAATTAAATTATTTTCAATTAAAATTTCCCCAAAATAATTGTATAATGTAAAGAAAAATTGATTTAATAATAATTTGTTTCGATTTTGTTTTTAAATAGCTTTTAATGGGTATGCCTTATCAAGCATCGAAATTGGTTGATGAAGCAATTGTACAAATCCTTACACATGGTGGTTTTTATGATCAAGGAAGAGCATTAGTTTTACGTGCAAAATGTTTGGTAGCCACATCGCCGCCTTCAAGTCAAAAGCACAATGCAGCAATTTTAAATGCAATTAAATCATTGCTAAAAGCAAAAATACATTTTCGTAAAATTGAAGCCTACGGTCGTGTTAAAAGTACATTGTATTTGCTATCAATTTTTTACAATGAACTCGATATGAAAAAAGAAAGAAATCAATGTGCTTTTGAATTTCGTCAACTTGATGAACAATATTCCGCAAAATTGAATACAATCTCTTTGTATTGATTTTTTTTTTGTATTTTAAACTGTACATATATTTTTAATTATTCTTTTCGTAAATAATTAATATTCTCTCAAAAAAAAGGTAATATTATTTTAACCTTCCTTTTTGAAAAAAAAAATAATTTTAATTTATTTAAAAAAATATATATTTTCTAAATTATTAAAATTTAATATTTGAATTCCTTGTATTGGAATTTAAAAATGCGGTCGCAATAATGTCGAGTCGATATTGTTACCACGACAACAGGACAATACAAAGTAGTAACAGACACTCAATCATTCATTTTCACTTTTAAACTTGTGAAGTATTCTTTAAAAAAAAGAAAACGAAAATATTAATTTATAATCACTAATTTTGAATAATTATTGTGTGTATCTTTAAAAAAAAATAATAATAATGCCTTTAGTTGAACAATCAAGTTACGGTAGTCAACAAATTAATGTGCCACCAAGTTTACCGATGATTTTAAAACAATTTTGCAAAGCTGCAATAAGAACACAACCATACGATCTTCTTAAATGGTCCAGTGCTTATTTTCGCGCTTTAGCAGAAGGTGAAGAACCTCCGTCAAAAATTAGATTGGAATATCCTCCACCCACAACTGCTTCAGGATTAACTTTAGGATTTTTAAAAGTTCTTTTACGACAATTAGGAGGTAGATTTCAAAATTATATCAAGAATTAATTCTATTAATTAATTATTAATAATTTTTAATTAATATAGCTAATTAATTATTAATTAATATAGCTAATTAATATTTAATTAATCTTCATTAATTAATAATTCATTGGACTATTTTCGATTTTATCATTATAAATATAATAAAATTCCCTGGAATAATTAAATCGATTTCGATTCTTAATTGAAATTAATGTTGAATTTAGATTACAATAAAGTGGTGCCTGTGGAAACACTTTTACGTAGATGGGATTGTTTATGTCTCGATCGTAAGGATTTAAATTTAATAATGTTAATTGGCAAATTTCGTCGCAAATGTCAAGTGAAAAAATTCCTCGCAATTGCTGTAGGTCTATTAACATCAAGTTTATTTGAAACGATGATTATGATTTGTGAATTATTTACACATGAACCTGACGGTGGATCGGCAATGATTCCTGTCTCATTATTCATGGAATTATATGGGTCCGTATTAAAAAAAAAAGATGTAAAAATTTTCTTTTTTTTTTTATTAATAATAGAAAATTAATTAAGATTTTTGGCTGGACTTCGATGCGATGGAACCGCAAGAGATCCTGGCGATGATCCTCATTGTACATTCTTTGACGAATCAGATCAAGGAGATAATTCCGAAAATCATGATTGTTTGGAGAAAAGTAAAATGAAAAATTTTTCATCTCCAACAAGTCAGGATACGGAAACTGATGTTAATCTAGATTTGGAATCATGTAAAGATGATGACGAGTCATTAATTAAAAGTAGAAATTATTAATTTTTTTTCTATTTTTCAAATTAAATTGTTTCTTTACCTTTTTTTAAATTTAAATTTTTTTTTTAGATGAAAAGAACAAGACTTCAGAAAATCGTGAAGAAAAATTGACATCAGAAGAAAGTGATGAACAATTATTGTCAAATGGCAAATCTCCAAATAATGAAACATCGGATAATAGTTCAAAATTGGCGGATAATAATAATTTTATACAATCTGATAATGAGGATTCGGTGGAAGTGAAAAAAATTTTGGATAAAAATTCCGAACAAAGTAGCGTTGAATTAAAAATTAAAAACAATCGTCGAATTTCCATTTCAGATGGAGAACGAGTAAAAATGAAAATTTCTGATTCTTCATTGTACAAATTTTATCCAAATATACCAGGTAAATGTCGAAAGAAATTTGAAATAAAATTTAATTTTAATTAAGCAAAATTATTTTAATTAAAGGAATTGGACCTCGTTTATCAGCCGAGGAAGTTGCTTGTATTGCAATATGGATGAGTGAATGCGCAAGAAGACAAGAAGGAATGGTTGGTCCTCGAAATCTTCGTCATTCTCAATGTCCACCTTTGGACAAACAACGAATTCATCGCTAATAGAAATATCAAAAAATAATTTAATATAAAAATTAATAACGAGGCATTGAAACAGTTCCTCAAGACTGATTGTTATAAAAAAATTCATTTTTTTGTATCGTTGACGATACAAATTTAAAAAAAAGAAAAAATAATTAATCACTTTCTCAATCGTTAGTTTCTTTAGAGATTTAAAATAGAATTGTTATGTTAACATTGACTTATTGATTTATAGACTGTAATTCTATATTTGAAAACTGTAGTAAAATTTATTCAGACGAATAAAATATTAGAAATATATATATATTCTAAATTAATTTTAACGTATAGAGAAATAATAAATTAGAAAACGAGACTTTCTTTTTTTTTAGCTTGCACACGTTTTATTTTAGGTTTATAAATATAGTTTCTTTCTTAACAATTATATACATTGCGTTTGTAGAATTGCAATTATTTTTTTTAACAGACTAGAATTGTTTATGTATTTTAAAACAAAGGAAAAGTTGTTAAGTACACAAAAAAAAAGGAAAAAAAAATTAAGAGTTAAAAAACAAACTTAAAATTCCATTTTGAAGATGTAAAACTAGTCATTTTCACTAAAAATTATAATTCTAAAAATATTAAATAATCTTTTTTTTAAATAATTCCCTAATAAATAATAAATAAATAAAATAATTTCTTACCTAAAATGTTTCTTCAAAAGTTCTAGAAACAATGTTTAATTTCAAAATCTCATTCTATCACAGAAATATTTCGAAAATTGTTTTTTTTTTTTGATAAACAAAATGACTATTTTCACACGCACACATAAAATTGTCAAACAAGTAAATGTGGTAAAGTGCGAATCCTGAGAATTCTTTTAATTTGATGATGAAAAAGATGATAGACTGTTAAAATTATTAACAATCCAACGAGTGTTAAAAGTAAATTTCTCGCTTTTGTACGACTTGCTCTCCATTCATAAAGTTCATGACGATAAGAAAATCGATTACGATATTGTGATGGTAATTCAAATCTACTTTTAATTGGATAAAGCGATCTATAAAAATCATTTAATAATGCTCGTACAATTTCATTTTCTGATCTTCGATTTGGATCCATATCATCATTTAGACAGATAAATTTTCTGTAAAGAGAAAAAAAAATATTAATTGACAATTAATTTTTTCAAAAAATTAATTTCTATTACTCACTTTGGTTCTCGGCGAATTTCATCTAAAATTTGTACAGTCATTGAAATATTGCTCGTCAACATTTCGAAAATTTCATTTTTTCCAGCTTTAACAATTTCATGTTTGTATCGCATTTTCTCACCAAATTTAGTTTGAAGCTTATCAACAATCGAAGGACATTTTATAATTAATTCCCTTGAAACGATCGGCTAAAGTTCAAATTAAAAAAAAAAAATTATGATTGATAATATTAAATAAAAATTTTTAAATAAATTTGAAACTCACGAGAGTTGAATCTAAATATCGTTCTCCAGGCGGTGGTAGTGGAGTATTTTCAATTTTCACTTTCTGCGAACAATTTGTAATTATACTTTCAAAATTCACCACCAAACCATAATCTAATGGAAGAGAATGCATCCTCGATAAAAGTGTTCGAATTTCTCTATCCGACCAAGTTCTGAAAAGGAAATTTTTTTTTTTTTATAAAAATAAATTTAAAACCTGAAATAAAGTACTTACTGTGATTTATCAGTATCGAATGAATCAAATATCTCTGAAGCAGTTAATTGTCGTTTCTCACTGACTAGAAAATAAAAATAAGAGAATGCAAATTGCATATCTTCTGCACTTCTCACTTTATGACTAGACGTTTTTTTAAATTCAAAATCAAATTTCTTTTGCATATCATTAATTATTAATTTATCTAATAAATGTGGCATATGAGCGGGAACTCTTCGTCTTTCAAATTTATATGCCGCATTATATATTCTATTCACATATAATAATGATTCAGCGTATGTATCAAGTTGTCTTGATTTTCTCTTCCATTGATCGGCATATTTTAATTTATGTGATTTTATTGAATTATTCACATGCACTATATTTATAATATCATCATTTAAAAAACGTTTAAATTGCCTACGACGCTCGGTAGCTGTGAAATTTTCCAATTTATTTTCTTTCAATAATTTTGAAATAAATTTTTTTCTAATTTCCATTGAATTAAATAATGTTTCATTTTTTATTAAATATTGAGTTTTGTTTTCATTTTTATTCACATTCTTATTTTTTATATTTCTTTTCAAATTTTTATTTTCCTTTTTATTTAATTCTGTATTATTTTTTTTTGATTGCAAAACACGTAAAAGCATGGAATTCACTGTGTTGGCAATGGGAAAATTTGAACTTTGTGTTATTAAAGAATTTAATAATTGTTCAGCTTCAAAATTACGTTGATTTGTATCTCTTAAGAATTTATAGGGATAATCACTTTCGTCTTCAACAACATCACTGTCAGTTATTAATGGTAATGGATCACAATCTCCTCCTAAAAAAGAGATTCAATAAAAATTATATAATAATAAAATGCTTGGTCTGTCCTTCTGTCCTAACTTGAAGTTGGTCTTTTATGATTTCACGTGTTTCTTGAATAGTAATCTTATAACGTGTCAAATTTGTGTCAAATTAAACTTGAAAATTTTAGAAATAATTAAATTTCAAAAGATATTGTTAATTTTCAAACAATAATAAAATTTTACAGAACTAAAAATAATTTATCAAAAAATTTTTTGGAAAACATTTTTTAAATTTAATTGAATTTTCAAAAGATTTAAAATTGAGATTTTAAAAATTAATTGAACTTCAAGTGATTTTAATTAAAATTTTATATGATTTCACTAAAAAATTTATTAGAAATTACAGACAAAATACAATAATTTGATAATCATTTTTAATTGAAAAATGGTTTCAGATAGTTGAATTTTCAAAGAATATTATAAAAATATTTAAAAATAATTGAATTCCCTTAGAGTTATAATTGAAATTATTAAATTTCAAAAAATTTTCCATGGAAAATTTTAGAAATAATTAAATTTTAAATGCTTTTAAATTCAAATTATTAAAAATTCAATTAATTTTGAATTCAAATTTTTTAGAATTATTAAATTTTCTTTAATTTTGATTTGAAATTTCGGAAAATAATTAAATTTCAATTAAAATTTTGGATAATAATTCATTTTTAGTTGATTTTTTATTGAAAATTTTGATAATTAATTTTGAATTGAAATTTTAGAAAATAATTAAATTTTATTTGATTTTAAATTTAGAAAATAATTGAATTTTAGTTCATTTTGAATTGAAAATTTTGAAAATAATTGAATTTTCTTTGATTTTGAATTGAAATTTTGGGAAATAATTGAATTTTAATTGAAATTTTGAATAATAATTTAATTTAAGTTCATTTTTTATTGAAAATTTGGATAATTAATTTTGAATAGAAATTTTAGAAAATAATTGAAGAATTTTATTTCATTTTAAATTGAAAACTACGAAAATAATTGAATTTTAAAAGATTTTGAATTAAAAATTTGGAAAGTAATTGAATTTTCTTTGATTTTGAATTAAAATTTTGGGAAATAATTGAATTTTAGTTAATTTTGGAATTGAAATTTTGGAAAATAATTAAATAATTGAATTTTTGTTAATTTTCAATAGAAAAATTTGGAAAATATTTGAATTTTAGTTGATTTTAAATTAAAATTTCGGATAATAATTGAATTTTATGTGATTTTAAATTGAAAATTTGAAAAATAATTGAATTTTAAAAGATTTTGAATTAAAAATTTGGAAAATAATTGAATTGTCTTGGATTTTGAATTGAAATTTTGGAAAATAATTAAATTTCAATTACAATTTTAAATAATAATTCAATTTTAGTTGATTTTTGATAATTAATTTTGAAATTAAATTTTGGAAAATAATTTTATTTTATTTGAATTTAAATTGAAAATTTGGAAAATAATTGAATTTTAAAAGACTTTGAATTTAAAATTTAATAATTTAATAATTAATAATCTGAGGTCTATAAACATATAATTTTTATTTTTATCATTTAATATGGAATAATATTCTAATAAATTTAAATAATTATTGATAATATTAATTTTTAATTTCTCTATAACAAATAATGAAACAGTCAATTTGGCGCGCTTGCGCGCATTTAATATTGCTAGTTCATTAATTAAATTAATTAGATTTTTAAAAATTTACCATCAAATTCACAAAGAGTTGTGTTACAAGATGGATCACAAGCTCCGTCTTTAACCCAAGCCCAGGGACAAACATCCGAACAATCTGGCACCCACCATGCTAAATAAACTTTTTGTCCCTGTGCATGAGTAATAAAATCTTCTGGCCAAACCTCTGCACCAAGCATAACATCGTCATTAAAGTAGATAAATTTCTCCGAAAGACCTGAAATTCTTTAAAGAAAATTTTCAAATAATTTTTTTTTATTAATTTTAAATTAAATTTTTTTATTAAATTAATATTTTGCAAATTATAATTTACCTATGAATATGACTTTCAATTGCAGGACTAGAAAAAGTTGGCAAATCATTTTTATCAATAAAAATATCATCATGAGTAACTAGAGTAACACGTGAATTATCCATATCCAACCAACTTGGTATTTGTCCATTTGTCACAATATAAACATGTCTTATCCAAGGCGCATACATTTCCAATGATCTCAAGGAATATCTCAATTCATCTTTATCACTAAATCGCGAAGCAGCTGCATTTACATCCATTATTGATACATATCTATTTAAATTATCAATAAAAATTGGATCTGATCCATTTACCCATGTATAAACAACGTCAATAGGAACGTGTTGACATAATTTTTTTTGAAATGATATACCTAAAATATTATCATTAAATGAATGAAATACAGCTTCATATTTTTCTTTACTCCACGCTAACCAAACCTGTTTTTAGAAGAAAAAAAAAAATTATTAGAAAATACAGAATTGAAAATAATTTTTATTTAATAAAAAATATTTTGATACTTTAAAAAATTACTTACAATAGAAAAATAAAACAATAATAAAAAACCAAATTTATAAATGACAAAAAAATTTCTAACCTCTCCAAAATGGATTACTCCAATAAATATGCAAGTAAATGCAATGACGATAATTAATAGGGAATATTTGTGTGACAATAAATCGTAGCATCTTCGTTGAATTAATTTACATGTACTCATTATGTTTTAAAATTGTAATTAAAATCGCAAATCTTTTTTCATTCATAAATGAATACCGGTGATGAACTGTTTATATTTCAATAAAGGTAATTGAAATTTAATTGAAATTTCTTTTTCCAATATAATCCTTGATTCATTGTGTACTTTATTTTCAAAATAATTAAACATATTACATACAGAAATATTTAATTAAAAGGAAAAGAATTTTACTTTTTTTTTTTTGTTTACTACTTGTCAAAGAGACACAAGACACGGGGAACATAGTGGAATAAAACGTGGAACGGAACGGTACACGGAACGATCGATTTAAACCGGAAGTGTGTTCATTCAAAAGTAAAATCGCAGTTAATTTAAAAGAATAATAAAATTTAATTAATTTAAAAAAGTAATTAATTGTTATTTAAAAATATTATTGCATTTAGATTTAATTTGTGTAATAAATTTATAATTTTATATTTCATCTGAAAATTTGAATAGTTAGTCAAATTTTATGGGGGAAGTGTGTTTGTAGTTTCCGCTTCCGCCATTAACGGTGTTTGCCGCCAGTGAGCGAATTTGCGTATATTGAAATCTGTTTTCTGATTTTATTGTCTTCTTTTTCATTAATAATTGAAATATTCATCAATTTTATAAATTACTCAAATTTTAAAAGATCTGAAGACAATTTTCATCCAGTGGTAAGTTAAATCATGTTAAATTTTTATTTTAAAAAACGTTTGTCATTGTAAAAGCATCTTGAGAATGGAAGAAAAGTACATTTTTTCACTATTCTTTATTTTCTGTATAATTCAACAGTTTATTACGTATAAAATCGTTTAATAATATCTTTTCCATGTTTCTTTTATCTTTTAAAAAATTTTTTGTCAACTTTCAAGTCTTTTGTGTCTTGATTTTGAGGTTATGTATGCAGCCTCATGGGCGTCCATCAGGTAAATTGAAATTTTCTTCTTTCTTCATTTAAGTTTTTCAAGCAAAAGGGAAATCATATCATTTGAATTTAGTTTTTTCTTATTAATTAAACGATATATTTGTCAATTTAAATATTGATTTGTCATACAGAAATAAATAAATTGATAAATTTATCATTTTTAACTGTCAAAAAATGTTTTTAATTTCGTGAAGTTTTCTTTATTGAAAATGACTTTTTTACTTAAATGTATTGAAAAGAATAGACGCAGTTTCTATTAAAAATTATATTTATTTAATATATATAGACATTTTTGATGTTTAATTTTAATAAATTAATAAGCAGAACGTTATTCGCGAGAAATGTTGGACATTTTCACTTTAAAATTTCATATATGCAATTAAGTGTATGGAATTATAAACAGTATTATTCTATACAGAAAAATACATATATATATTTAGTCTCGTTCATTTATAATTAAAGTATTTTTTTTGTAAACTTAAAGTTACAATAATATATTATCATCTTATGCGATTAAGTAAACAATATTCTCCTTAAATTTTCTCAATTTTTCTTGTTGTTCTAATTCAGGTCACATTTTTTTTTATCAAAATTCGTTTTTTGATTAAATTAGAATCTTATTACAAAGCAAATTTGTAATAATTACAATAATTTTCGTATATTATAATATAATATATTGAAGACAAAATCATTCGTATAAGCAGGTTTTTATTAATCAGTCTTTATCGAGGAAATATTGCGCTGAAATTATTTTTTCCAATTGGTAATTTTTTTTTTCTATATAATATTAATGGTCTGTTAATATTATTAAATTGTTTATATTACCACCACACTTAAATAATATTGACAGAATAATTTTTAAATGTAAATGTTTTTTTTTTCAAAGTAAATTAGACTGTCCTTTAATTATAAATTAAATGACACAAAAATAATTGATTTCTTTTTTATACAATGTTTCATTGTATTTATATATAGCACCGTTTTAGACAATTATTAAATAGTGATTTTTATAAACGTAACATTCATATATATTTAGAATTTTGCAAAATAAGTCCCAAATTTTTTTTTTATTTCTTTTTATCTGTTATCACCGACCAGCTCGAGCGATCATTTTCACTAGAATAAGTATACTGAAAAATTGTGTAAATTTGTGCATCCAATATAATCTGAAAATGAATTTTAACAATAATTATTTTATTATAAATTTGATTTTAATTAAAAAATTTTTTAATTATTTTTTTATTTAAATTTTTTTTATAATTTTTTAAATGACAATTAATTAATTTAAAAATTTAGTTTTTTAACGCACTTACTTTAGTAGTCGATTTCTAGCTTTACTCAATGTATCTGGACCGTCTTTTAAAATATATTTTCTTATTCCAAGCATATAACGATGCACATAACTGTCCCAATCTAATGTTGTAATATCAACATTAAAACATCCTGCGTCATTTGATTCTTTTACAACTTTTGCTAATTCATTCATATTATTCCCATGAAAGAACCATTCATTAATGGCAAAAAATTCTCCCGTAAGAGCTGCTCGTTGAAAACGTTGTGTAATTTTCATCATTCTGAAAAAATTATTTTTCCCTATTATTATTTCGCATTTTAAATATTTTTTAAATTAATTTTTACTAATTAGAAAAATAAATGAAGGAAAAATTAATAAATTTACTTTTATTATTGTATAAAATGTGACGAAACTAATTATTTTCATTTTTTAACAGCATTAATAATCAACTTACTTGGGTTTACCTCCTTGGAATTTCAAAACCATATCTACAATAAACGCAGGAAAAAAATGAAGCATTGCAACCATTATTTTATGAATCAATTTATTTGTTCTAAATGTAACACCTGGATACCACATGACGTATTTTGATGGTGATTCAATGGCATGTTTTCTGGTGAGTCGACCAAATTCTCCCCATCTAAAATAATTATATAAATTTAATTTTATTAAATTTCAAATTAGTTTCAAAATTTTCTGAAACATTTATTTAGAAAATATTTTTAATCTCTTTTTTGATTTTATTGTCAATATTTTCAAGTTAAAATTAAATTTTTCACATATAAAAGCTTACTTAACAGGATTGAACGTTCCACTGGTGCAATTATAAATTCTAAGATTGTTAGTACGTTCGATTGCATTGTGCCATGAAGCACAAATAAGAGTATCGACAACATAATCGACTGGTACAACATCAACAACCATTCTTGCATTACAAACAATACTTCGAATTGTCCCTCTTCCTATTTCCATCATAATTCCTGAAATTATGAAATCAACATTAACTACTTCGAATTAAATCCAAAAAAAAATTTTAAATTAAAAATTTGAAATTCTTTTAAATTAGATATTAAAATGGCAAAAATTATCGTTTTTTATTTCGATTGGATATTGAGGAAGATATTTTTTTGGAGTAATTTTCAATTAAATAGTTAGTACACTCACCGGTTATTCCGCAAACATTATCAACCCATCCAGGAAATGGTTCTTGATAAGCGGCACAAACAATGCTTGGTCTTACAATTGCAATTGGTAATCCAGCTCCTTTCGTCATTATTAAATTCTCCGCTAATCCTTTTGTCAATGTATATGTATTAGGATGTCTTCCCATTAATTTTTTCTCCAAAATTCTTAATGTTTCGTCATCCAAATTTTCACACATATCGATAACAGTATGTGGTTTTACTTTTGTACTGCATCATTAAAGATAAATTATTTCTATTTCCATGTAAGTTGGAAATTTTTAATTAATTAATAATAAATATTAATTAATTATAATAATAATAATAATAAATTTTTAATTAATAATTATTAAATTAGTCCAAAAATCAGTGAATGATTTAATTTTTTGAAAATCAATAATTATTATTAAAAAGTTACCTGTATACTTCTTCTTTTATATCGAATAGATCAGCGTTGCTATAAGCAGTGCTGACGTGAATAATACTGACGAGATTGGACATACTTTTGCAAAGTTCTATCATTCTATCAGTGCCTTTTGTATTTAAGTTAACTGCTATTTTTAATGGCTCATCAAATCTTACTGTTGCTGCACTATGAAAAACAATATTTACTCGTTGCATTAACATTGCTTTATCTTCTGGACTAAGGCCCAATTCTGGTAAATTCATATCTCCTTTTACTGGAATTACTTTGCTTAGTGTTCCAGGATACTCCCAACGAATCCTGTCGTATACCTAAACGCAAAAAAAAAAAAATTATTAAAAAAAAACCTCTTTTTCCTATAATTTCATTATAAATTGTTTTATTATTTATTGAGTTAAAAATTATTACTAACTGGATTGTCAATGAGTTCCATAAATCTCTGTTCGACTGTTTGTCCCTTTTTTGGACGGATTAAAATGAAAATTGTAGCAAGTCGTGGGCATGATCGTAAAAGTTTTTCAACAAGTGCTTTTCCTAAAAAGCCTGTTGCTCCCGTTATTAAAACAACAGATTCGGCGAAAAATGCCTCAATTGAACTCCCACCTGGATTAGCATTTTCAATTTGTTCCTCGCCTGTAAATGTATTTGTTTTTCCCATTATGGTGAGAGGTCTTCTTACAATTATCCTTTCTGAAACAGAGTAAAAAGAATTTTCTATTTCTCTTTCTCTCTCTCTCTTTACTTTCTCGTTACTTTCCACTATTGCGGCTCTCACTTATTTCTTTTTTTTTTTAAAAAAAAAAAAATCAGAAAGTATTTTTTTTATCTCAGATTTCACTTTTCCTCGTATATATGTATAATAATATTCAAATTTACAAGTCATTATTGATGAAGCTCTCGATATTATTGATATATTTTTAAACAAATTGAATAATAATTAAACTCTATTAAAATAATAGATTAGAATTTATTATCTACATTTTTATTACATAGTTTGTACAATCAAGTCCCTTATGCTATTAAAATACAAATAAAATAAATTTGATTTTAATAAATTAGTCGTTGAATTAAATATTATAATTTAATTATTATAATAATATTTATAATCGAATTTAATTAGAGTATATACAAATTAGCTGGAGCTAATTAAAAAAGTATTACTCAAATTTATTTGAATGAAATAGAAAAAAAAAAAAAAAAAAAACTTTTTCTCTCATAACTGAGAATAATCGAAGAAATAGCTAATTGAAAACCTTGAATTTTTACTTCTAGGAAAACATTTGAATATAAAATTACTTCAACAAATGTTACATTAATTTCTATTTAAACAATAATTTTAATCAAATTTTTCTCAGCAAATTAATTTTTTGATTCTATAAATGAATTCTAAATTATTTTTTTAATTTCATTTTCTTATTGTTAATATATAGAATAAAAATGATTTTTGCATTAAATTAAGATAAAAAATTTATTATTGACGTTACACTACTGAGATATTTTCATCGACATTATTGATTCTTTATACGCAGAAAAGCTTGTTTTATATAGGCTTATAACTTTATACGGAATATTGATTGCATATTTAGCAGGTGGTAACTTTTTCGTGCTCTTGAAAAATTTGAACTTCTTGACATAGAATATGATATAGAAAATATTTTAAGAACAAAAAAAAAAAAATATATATATATATATAGATGATGGTGTAAAGTTATTTTAATTATTTATTGTATTCGCTTTATCGATTTCTATATAGGCGGAAGTTTTACGTATATAGTAATTTGTCTCAGGGACAAGAACTTTTAGCCAATAATAATTGTTGACACATGATTGTAACGTTGTACAATCGTTTATAACTTAACACTGAAACATGTATTTTTATAAATATCTATATATATTTTTTTTATTTTTCAATGTTAATTAACTATATTTCATTTAAGTGGAAATACTTCGTCATTAATAATTAATAATTAATTTTTAATTTAAAAAACAAATTAAAAAATTTTTATGAATAGGAAAAACTTCAAGCTAAATTAAATTGTGATTTGCAAATATTGTTTGATAATAATAATTAAAAATTAAAATTTTTGAAATGTCAAATATTGATAAATTAAGGAATTAATTTTGCGAGTCATGCGATTGAGAGTAAGACCGGTTGTAAATGGTTGTTGACTTCTTTTCTTTCATTTTTTTTTTTTTATAATTTTTATCAGAAACAAAATATTACCTCTTAGATAATTAGAAAGTTATTTAAAGTTTTAATTAAATAATTCAAGAATGACGTAATTTTGCTGTATATTTGTGCGAAAGTATTTTATTTTTTTCGATAAAATTTTAATATTTATTTTATTTATTTTTAAACATTTTTAATTGTTTTTTTTTTAATTTATATATTGTGTTTTCTTATCTAATTTTTTATTACTTTATTTTTTCCATTTTTTTTAAACATTTATATAAAATATTTTAGATTATATCTAACGTTATATATTTAGTTTATTTATATAAAAAAAAAATTCTTAAGTAGTTGAAAAAAATGATAAGATAATTATTCAAATAATGAAAATGACGTCTTCAATACAAGTTTCTAAACTCGAATTAGATAAAAATGATATTTATTATTTTATTTATGTATTATTATTATTATTATTTATTATTATTATTATTATTATTATTATTATTATTATTATTATTATTATTATTAATATTTTTTTACTATTTAATTTAAAAAATAATTGAGATAAATAATAAATAAATAATTAGTATTAGAAAGGTAAAGTGATGATTTGATAAATTTTTTTTTTACATCGCTAAACCTTCAAATAAACATTAATCTACATTCAATATTTCGAATAATGACTTTCGTATAATATATAATTTCCCCCTTTATTTGAAGGCTACTGAATAAAGAAATGAGTACAAATAAAATTATTAATATTATTCCTAAAGGAGTAGAACTATTATTCTAATCTAGGGTAACTGTCCTATAATTATTGACTCATTAAGAACATCATCAGTTTCAAAAGCAAATATATAAACATTAAACATAAAAAGCCTGCTATTTCTTTTGTTAGATCATAAATTAATATAAAAAAAAAAAAAAATTCACTTAAGTCATTTTAAAAATTAATTGAAAATAAAAATATAGCATTTTCAATTTTACAATAATTTTCTCTATAAAATTAACCTTTAATATATCAATATTTATTTTATGTGAAAACATATCGAATATAACATTAAAAAAATTATACTATTTGTCACATTTTTTTTTTTTTATTAAAATTTGAAAATAATTGAACCCTTGATAATCGGGAAAGAATCAATAATTGGAAAGGCTACATTACCATGCAATATATATATATATATATATATATATATTTTAGAGGTCATTTGTATATTCTTTATGAAAAAGAAAATTCGAGACGTGAAATTAGTTTTGACATTAAAAAAAAAAATTTTACGATTCAATCCATAATCTCTTTTCCCACGTGTAAACTAGTGCAATATCGATTTTAAAAGTAATGTAAGTTCTTGACCTGCATGATTTCCTAAATAGATAATAACTGACATTCTCAATTGTTTTGTTTTTAATATGAAAAAATTACTTCTTTTTTTTTTAAATTTGTTAAAAAAATTAATTAAACATTTAATAAAGGTAAAGACAACTTTAACAAATTTGAAATTATTTTCTTAGATAAATATATTAACATTTTTTTTTTGTAGCGAAATATTCATCATACATCTAATTTGTATTTTAATAGCATAAAGAATTAGATTGTACATACTATGTAATAGTATATAAAGGAGATAATTCTATTCTATTGTAGCAAAATATTAAAATTATTATTTTTTCTTTGTTTAAATTTTTTAACAACAATATTATTAGTTATTAATTTAATTATTGAAATAAATTATTAAATAGTAGTATCATTTTGTAAGAAATATAATAACAAATTAACGAAGTTAATAAGATATTTAATTATTTATTTTTTATTTCAATTTATTAACTTTTAATAATATTTTAACATTATTAAAACATTATTAAAACATTATTAAAACTAATATTCATTAATAATTGATTTTAAAAAATAATAATTTTTAATTGATAATTACACTAATAGTGCTGACTCTTTTTTTAATTTGATTTCTTTTCTCTAATTTTATATTCATAAGGTTATTTTTGAACCTTAATTATAAAATTAATGTTAACGAAAGTCAATCGAATAGTTGATTTATTTATTTTTTTTTTTTTAGAAAAGTCACAGTCGAAAGTTTATTGAGTTGACACATTTTTGCATCTTACACTTTCCTTTAAGAGGTTTATCATTAAAATCATCTCTCTTTGCTTGTTTTGCACTTAAATAAATAAAAGATTACAATGAGGATCTCGTTACTGACGATTTCTCGTTCATTCGAAAAAAAAATAGATTTAACAATATTATTATCAACTTCTATATCAAAAAAATTAATAATAATTTTTTACACTAATTTTAATTTAATCAATTAAAATTTTATTAAAATATTTAATAATTAATTAAGTTTATATTAAATTATTTTTAATTTATTTATTTTTATTTTAAGTTATTTAAACATGGAAATTTTTTTATGGAAAAAAAGAAAATTGTGTATTTTGTAAAATGAAAATTTACCCGTTTTCTTGTTTCAATTAAACTTTTCTTATACATTGCCAATTATTTCAATGGTATTTGTTTTTATAGACACTATGACGCATTGTTTATACACTTCTATACGTACTAACTCGCGATTAAATGTGCATCAGTTGCTATGAAATCGCTACGATTCCAAACAACTACTGATAGAACTTTACTAAAAGACAACTCAAGTTATCATTGCATTCAATTTTATTTGAAAAGGGGAAGGGGGTTGATGTGGGATTAACTTTGTCGGCTTTAACATTAACAGGTGTGTTTTCACAGTTTGCTAGAAACTACTAAAGATGGCAGTATATAATAGGGATATCAATAATAATTAAATTATTTATTTACATTTTTTTTTTAACAAAAATTAAAAAAAAAAAATTACAAACTCTAATTTTAAAGAAAATTAATTGTTTTTTAATTCATAAAAAATCTTATGAATTTCAACGAATTCATTTTTAAATTAATGTAAATTTGATTTTAAATTATCATATTTTTTTCTGTAATGTATTATTAATTTTTTTTTATTTAATTCATTTATTTTAGAATTTTGATTGCAAATTTTTGATTTACATATGTAATTATATTGACTAGTTTGTATGAATTTTATTTTTTAATTATAAAAATATTTTCGTTAAGAGAAAGTTTAAAATAAAAATTTCAGAAAAATGAAAACAAAGAATAATTTAAATTTAGCAAATTTGGATAATAATAATAATAATATTAAATAAATAAAAATAAAATTAAAAGAAAGAGTAAAATGAAAAAATTATTATTTATAATTAAAAATAATTTTTCTGAGTTTATACGAAAACAAGGAATTAAAAAAATTATAGGTGAGAGTATTTTCTCAATATTTACACTAAAAGAGATTAATTATATAAGTAACACAAGCGCATATATATACGACCCGGAAATACTTTCTTCGGATACATTCATGCAATGCTCCTTTTTTTCAACATCCACATATAAACTTACCTTGTTACATGCAGAATCCCACTAGTCTTCGCGAAAAGAGAGAGTATCTGACATACTCGACGTTCTTCTTTCAACTGAAGTGCAACAAGCTTTCGTACCCCTCTAAATAACTTCTCTTACTAACAATTTATTTTCCACTACCATTGCTCTTGTTATTTGTCACATTTATGTTATTTTAAAAAAAATAAAATAAACGATTGAAATTTTTTTATTAAGAAAAATTATTACTGAAGTTACAAAATCTTTTTTTTATATAATTTCATGGAAAAAAATTATTTTAAAATTGTCCTTTTATCTAAGAATAAATAACTTTTTTTTGCAAGTTATTTAGTTGAGAGAAATAAAATATGTTTTAAATAAAATTTTTTGGAAAATTAATTGAATTTACTTGAAATGCTTTTTTAAATTTTAATTTTAACAAAGTTGATACCATTAGATTATTTATAAAAAAATGTATATATAATTGCAAATTTATTTTTTTTTAGTCTTTTTTAAAAAGATAAAAAGAATTTGAAATTAGAGAATGTTGAATTAAAAAACGATTTTAAAATATGGCAATAATATTTTTTTCATTATCATCTTATTATTACTTTTGACATTTGTTATATATTTATTATATTTACAAGAAATGAGGGAATAATTTTGAAAAATAAGTTTTAAAATTTAAAAAAAAAAACTTCAAATTTGTAATCACTGATCCTGAAAAACATTTAAATATATTAAAAAATTGACATTGACTTTTACAAAATTTAAAATATTGAAAATAGATAATAATTTACAAAACTAAAAGTTTTTTTTTAATTTAAAATAATTTAATTGATAATTTTTTTAATTATAAAAATCAAATAAACTCTTAAGTTGCAAAGTGTTCATGAAGTGAAAAAATAGGAAAAATTCATTTATTTATTTTTAAATTATTGTAATAATTTTTAAATATTTTAAAATATTTTTTGCATTTCAATTAATTTTTTTGGTTTCATTTCATTGAAACTATTTTTTTTCAACGCCAGCGCCTGTTTTACGGCTACCATTCATACACTTTTGCCTTTTCGTTGCATTATTGAAGAAATATTCTTCAGTTTTAATTAATTAAAATAATGATGTTTTTTTTAAAAAATAATATAGTAAAAAGCTATTGAAAACAATAATAACAAACAGTAAAATTTTGTATTATTGTTTCTTCTTTTGTTTTTTATTTATTATTATTACTTTTTAAACGTTTATTATTATTTATTTTATATATTTATATCAGTAATTATTTATTAGTTGATAAATTTAATTTTTCGTGCAAAATTTGTATTTTAAAATATTAGAAAAAAAATCTAAAGAGAGTGACTACATATTACGTATGATTATACGAGGGAAAAAGTGTATATTGAGCTTTGAAGCTTCATTTTTTAATCCTCAGAAAGAATCTTCAAAGCGATTTAAAAACTATAACCGCCTTAAATTTCATTAATATGTTGAAAACAAATATCTGGGAAAACCACATTTTTTTTTATAAATTTTTCATATCAATTATATTAACTACATTTATTTGTTTCTTCCCAAAAAATAAATTATATAGGTATAAATATATTATTAATATATTTATTTATACAGGAAGTAGTTAGTCATCAGTTTCTCATAATTTCAGGAAATCGATATAGAAAAAAAATCTCATTAATCAAAATTTAGAATGTAATTGAAGTAAAGAGCAGATTTAAAGATTTATATCTTAAAACAATTTTATATCGGAAATAAATTCTTATAATCTTAATCGTTCATATTCTGAAAAATGACAATCATTTATAGATTATTATTATTATTAAAAAGATCTTCAAAAATAAATGTTTAAACGTCATCAGGAAACAAAAGATTATAATCTCCTTCACATAATTTGGAAATTTTTTGAAGGTTTTTTTTTTTTTTTTATTTTTTTATATATATAATATTATCATACAGAACGTCATATTTGATTAGGTACTTTAATCATAATCGAGTTTCATTATAAATGTTTATTTTTAATAATATTTTGTTATAATTATTTATAATAATAATAATAATAGTAATAATAGTAAAAATAATATAAAATTTTTTCTTATTAGTTAAAACTTTATCATATTTCGAAATTTATTTGAATTTCCAAAAATTTGTTTCTATATAATTATATTAATTGTTTATTGTTTTTATAATAATTTCTGATTTTTCTGAATTTTTTTCCCTCTATATTAGATAATAATAACAATATTTCTACTAAAAATTTAGTTTTTTCTATATTAAAAATGTTTGTGTTTGTACTTTTATAATTTTGATAATAATTTATCGTTCCAGACAAATCTTAAAGAGTAATGACATTTCTTATATAGTAATTATTAAATCTTGATGTAAATGTGATTTGTTTTTATCTCATAATTCAAGCCCTCCATGTTAATTATCCACTAAAGTTTGAGTATTAATTATACAATTTATTCTATTTTTCAATTCCTATTGAAATCTTTATTTAATTAATTATTTTACTTTATTTGTTTTTTATAAGATTTTTAAAAATGTTATAAGATATTTTTTATTACAAAAATAAATAAATAATTTTAGTATTAATTTTTGGATCAAGATGGTAATTTTGATTTTAAAAAAAAATTCTTTAAATTTGAAATGATTTTCGTTTTTATTTAATTGTATTTTTTTTAATGATACAATAAAATTGATATGCCAATTTATTATCATCGGAGAATTTTTCCGTTGAGCTCTAATTCTCATACATAACAAATATATATATGTATATGCATATAACGGTCATTTAATTATAAGATAGAAATTTAATCAGCAATCCTTTCGTTATTTTTAGAATTGGGAAGATTAATTGTACCGCAAATAACATAGAAGTTATATTTCGAATGCTGCTAATACTCACACATATATGTAATTATGTATACATAAATATATATACATTGATATAACAAGCTTAAAAAATATTAGCTGTTATAATTATTTCTAAATCATATAAATTACATATACGTCTCATGACATTGCTTTAGTGATGATGAGTCAGTGATATAGCGAATGCCAAGATTTTTCGATAAAAATTTCTATGAAAAAAGAATTTCACATTTTTACAAATTGCACAATTTTACGAAAATGGATAATATAAGTTTTTGTTACATCTTGCATATTTTTTTTTATAGAAAAAAAACACGATAATTAAAATTATAAAATAGAAATAATTTAATTATATTTTATCATGAAAATTCTATTTTAAAATCGGAATATAAAATTGAATTTTAATAAAATTGTCATATTTTTGAAGTCTAAAATAGTTTTTTTTTCAATTTTTAGGCATCCGGTTCTTGAAGGAAAAGTGTTTGTTGCAGAATTGCTACTGGAGGGAGATCTGAGCGCAATGTATGTATTAATTAATTTTTTCTCTAAATTTTTCTAATTAAAAAATAATTTAATTTTTAACAATTTTTTTTCTTCTATTTTAAAATTATAATTTAATTTAATAATTGTTTTTGTATGATATAAAATTCTAATTTCTAAATATTTTCCGGCAGTTGGACGAGAAGAAGAAAAAAATCTACTTGAAGAGAAGATCATCATAATGAATCAAATTTTCTTTTTTTTTTTGTCAAAAACATGCTTTTTTCAACAATTGCCAGTATTTAATAAGGTTTTAATTTAATTTAATTTTTGCAGTTCATATCCAAATTGAAACCCGAAGGACAAGGAAGGATTTGGAGGAAGAAAAGTGGTCTCAACATACTGTCATTTTTTTTATAATTTTTTTTTTTAACGATAGTTTAGCTCCCGATCTCCACAGAAGTGCGATCAAGAAAGAGGGATCTTCGGGAGTGGCCCAAGAAGAAGGATTTAATTTAACAATTATTTGCAGTTGAATTTATCGTGGTGAGAGAAATAATTTTTTTTTATCTTTTTAATTATTTTTTTTTAGCAAAGAATGTTTATTACATTCTTTATTCATTAATATCTACTATTATTTAATATAAGAAAAATTTATTATCGTTATAAGAAAAAGAAAAAGAAAATGAAAAATTTTCATAGAAAGTTAATAATTTGATTTAAATTAGAACACAATTGGAAAAAATCCGATAATAAATGTGTTTTCCACAATTGATATTTAGAAGACGAAATTATGTCAAAATCAGATCTAAAGTCCAAAGTAAACCCAAAGTCCAAAAAGTGGATAAATTTTG